TTTAATGACGTCCCCATAAGAATAACAGTGGGTCCAGAACACACCCTTGTGGATTTTTTTTTATTTTTTTTTTTCCTCCCCTGACAGATACACACACATATGTCGTCTCCTTTTTCTCCATGTTCCTAAACACTGGTCTTCATCCAAACCAGACCAATCAAAAGCAGTTGTGTTAAGCTCAATTTGCACTAACATGAACTACGAACACCCCCCACCCTTCTGTCTAAACACTCCTGTCTCAAACGTGTTGAATCAGAGCTGTTTCCTGTCGTTTAAACAAAAGTATTTCTCCAAATTTGATGTGGGGTTGTCGTATAATACAACCGCATAGTTTGTGCCGTTACAAACAAAGTATTTTATAATTACATTGCGTCTGCTTCATCCAACCCCTTTTCAAACCTGTATCATGGAGATTGTGTTCTGTAGGTTTTAAATGTGGGCTCTGCAGTGCTTGAGAAAGAAGGACAATCATATTCCACCTTTATCCACTGCTCTATTGTAACGGACAATCAGCGTTATAGTGTGTGTGGGTGTGTGTGTTTGTGTGTGTGTGTGTCTGTAAGCAAGTAAGTAAGTAATCTTTATTTGTATTGTGCATAAATAATAAATTGTGTGTGTGTGTGTGTGTGTGTGTGCGTGTGTGTGTGTGTGTGTGTGTGTGTGTGTGTGTGTGCGTGTGTGTGTGTGTGTGCGCATGAGTGATACTTGTCCTTTTGGCCTGTCCACTCCCTGTGAGTGATTGTGTGTGTGTGTATGTAGTAGTTGTCCTTTTGGCCTTACGGCCCTGTGCGTGTGTCTGTGCGTGTGACAATGTACGTATGTGTGTGTGAGTGTGTGTCCGTGAGTGAGTATGTGTCTGTGTGTGTCTATTTGTAGGTATGCATGTGTGTGATGCGTGTTTGTGTTGTGTGTGTGTCTATGTCTGTGAGTGACCAGTACGTATGTCTGTGTGCGTGTCAATGTGTGTGTGTGTGTGTGTCCGTCTATTTGTGTGTGTGCGAGTGTGTGTGCGTCCACTCCCTCCACAGACGTGACGTAACCCGTCGCCGCTCTATAGATCGTCTCTAATGTGTTCTAAACTGGGGCTCATCAGAGTCAGACATGGATCACTTTTTCAATTGGACGAAAACCTTGTCGTTTAGAATCTCAGAGAGAATCAATTCATGTCAGAGAGAGACCAGATAGAGAGATACCAGAGAGAGACCAGAGAGAGAGACCAGAGAGAGACCAGAGAGAGAGACCAGAGAGAGACCAGAGAGAGACCAGAGAGAGACCAGAGAGAGAGATACCAGAGAGAGACCAGAGAGAGAGACCAGAGAGAGACCAGAGAGAGAGACCAGAAAGAGACCAGAGAGAGACCAGAGAGAGACCAGAGAGAGAGATACCAGAGAGAGACCAGAGAGAGAGACCAGAGAGAGACCAGAGAGAGACCGGAGAGAGACCGGAGAGAGACCGGAGAGAGACCGGAGAGAGACCGGAGAGAGACCGGCGAGAGACCAGAGAGAGACCAGAGAGAGACCAGAGAGAGACCAGAGAGAGACCAGAGAGAGACCAGAGAGAGACCAGATAGAGAGATACCAGAGAGAGGCCAGAGAGAGAGGCCAGAGAGAGAGGCCAGAGAGAGAGGCCAGAGAGAGAGGCCAGAGAGAGACCGGAGAGAGACCGGAGAGAGACCAGAGAGAGACCAGAGAGAGACCAGAGAGAGACCGGAGAGAGACCAGAGAGAGACCAGAGAGAGACCAGAGAGAGACCAGAGAGAGAGAGGCCAGAGAGAGACCAGATAGAGAGATACCAGAGAGAGGCCAGAGAGAGGCCAGAGAGAGGCCAGAGAGAGAGACCAGAGAGAGAGGCCAGAGAGAGGCCAGAGAGAGGCCAGAGAGAGGCCAGAGAGAGGCCAGAGAGAGACCGAAGAGAGACCGGAGAGAGACCGGCGAGAGACCGGAGAGAGACCAGAGAGAGACCAGAGAGAGACCAGCAATAGTCCAGCAAGAGTCCAGAGAGAGACTAGAGAGAGAACAGAGAGAGACCAGAGAGAGTCCAGCAAGAGTCCAGCGAGAGACTAGAGAGAGACTAGAGAGAGACCAGAGAGAAGAGAACTAGAAAGACCAGAGAGACCCAGCAAGAGACCGGAGAGAAACAAGTCAGACCAGAGACTAGAGAGGGACCAGCAATACTTGTTCCAATGATAAATCTTCAAAATAAATGTTTTTTTTGTCATTTTTTTCTTTATTCTTTAGTCTCTTATGTTGTCAGAGAACTTGCGTTTTTGAGTTTTGTGTTGATAAATGCTGCAGCTCTATCCAGACCAGTAGTGGATCTATCTGCCCTCTCCTCTTTTGCAACATGCCCTTCGCTGATGTGGCTTTCTCCGTTTGCATTTTGGCTTTATGTCTCGTAGCCCCGCCCCCTCTGCTCTGTAATCCCGCCTGATCCCAAACCCCCCAACACGCCGATCAAACAGCCAATGGCGTGACGGCGTGGACTGACGGACAGACAGCTGTGAAAGAGGCCAAAGCATGACAGCAAAAGATTAGAGAGACCGCACAGCTTTCATCACCGCTGACCACTTTTGATCGGGACGAGGTTTACGCACATGGATCTAACGCTTCAGACACGGCCACGATGGAGATTTAGGATCCCACTTTCAGACTGGACCATTTTTCGGGACATTTATAAATATTAGGATTGCGATCATTGCTTAAATAGATTGTTTTGCTTCAACTGTGCACTGAAAATCAAAGTATTTCTCATGTAGTTTAGAACAAGTTTGTAGATTTCCTGTAAAAATACTGGAGCAGCCGATTGGTCAAACCTTCATTTCGATCCCATTTTTTCAGCTTTCGCGCGTTCATCTAGACCCCATAACCTTCAAGAGGACTCTTCCGCAGCTGCTTTTTACGCAAACTCCCAATTTTTTTAGACTTTTCTTAGACTTTTTGGACTGATTTTTCCAGGAATATGCTTCTTTGGCCTGCAGCGGTCGCGTTGGGGTCAAACAGAGAGCTGCTGTTTGGATAGACGAACTGACGCCAACGGTCATTGACGAAAACTCGGGAAACTCATCATTGTTGTCGGTTGAAATTAGTTTTTGGGTCTTAGAAGTGGCGTGAGCTATGCTAGCACGGACAATGGTTGATTTGGTGATGGTGGAAAGGCTGTAGCTCACACTCTGCCTCGGACTTTGAGAATGTCGTTGGAAGATTGTTTTCCGAACGCTGTGATTATTGGATGTTTTTGAGAATGCAGTGTCGTAGTTTAAGCGTTTAACAGATGCACCAGAAATGTTGTACCAGAACATGAGACGAGTAAGTGCATTTCCCTCTGTATCACAAAAATAATCTTATTTTTGTTTAATAAATAACATGGCGTTTGTTCGACAAAAAGACTCTCTGTTTAACTCTTTAGGCTGATTGGCTTGTTCTCTGCTCTCTCTCTGGTCTCTCTCTGCTCCCTCTGCTCTCTCTCTGGTCTCTCTCTGGTCTCTCTCTGCTCCCTCTGCTCTCTCTCTGGTCTCTCTCTGGTCTCTCTCTGTTCTCTCTGGTCTCTCGCTGATCCCGCTCTGGTCTCTCTCTGCTCCCTCTGCTATCTCTGGTCTCTCTCTGGTCTCTCTCTGGTCTATCTGCTCTCTTTCTGGTCTCTCTCTGGTCTCTCTCTTGCTGCTCTCTCTCTGCTCTCTCTGGTCTCTCGCTGATTCCTCTCTAGTCTCCCTCTGCTCTCTCTCTGGTCTATCTCTGGTCTCTCTCTGGTATCTCTCTCCCTCTGCTCTCTCTCTGGTCTCTCTCTGCTCCCTCTGCTCTCTCTCTGGTCTCTCTCTGGTCTCTCTCTGCTCCCTCTGCTCTCTCTCTGGTCTCTTTCTGGTCTCTCTCTGTTCTCTCTGGTCTCTCGCTGATCCCGCTCTGGTCTCTCTCTGCTCCCTCTGCTATCTCTGGTCTCTCTCTGGTCTCTCTCTGGTCTATCTGCTCTCTTTCTGGTCTCTCTCTGGTCTCTCTCTTGCTGCTCTCTCTCTGCTCTCTCTGGTCTCTCGCTGATTCCTCTCTAGTCTCCCTCTGCTCTCTCTCTGGTCTATCTCTGGTCTCTCTCTGGTATCTCTCTCTCTCTGCTCTCTCTCTGGTCTCTCTCTGGTCTTTCTCTGGTCTCTCTCTGGTCTTTCTCTGGTCTCGCTGCTCAGCTTTAGTAAGCAGTAGTTCAATTTCTTGTTCTCTTTTTTCCATGTTCCACTATTATTCAGCAGTTGTTTTCCCCCCGCCCCTTCTGTCCAAATGCTGTGTTTTCAATTTCAGACACGGATCATGAATAAACACTGTGCCATTCAAATAAATAAATCATAGAAATGGCTTTTTCTCAGTTTAAATTAAACCACATAGTAAAGTTGTTTTAGTGTGTGTTTGTGTGTTCATGTTTGTGTGTTCATGTTTGTGTGTTCATGTTTGTGTGTTCATGTTTGTGTGTTCATGTTTGTGTGTTCATATTTGTGTGTTCATGTTTGTGTGTTCATGTTTGTGTGTTCATGTTTGTGTGTTCATGTTTGTGTGTTCATGTTTGTGTGTTCATGTGTGTGTGTTCATGTGTGTGTGTTCATGTTTGTGTGTTCATGTATGTGTGTTCATGTATGTGTGTTCATGTTTGTGTGTTCATGTTTGTGTGTTCATGTTTGTGTGTTCATGTATGTGTGTTCATGTATGTGTGTTCATGTTTGTGTGTTCATGTTTGTGTGTTCATGTTTGTGTGTTCATGTTTGTGTGTTCATGTTTGTGTGTTCATGTTTGTGTCCTGTCTCCTCAGGCCAATCCTCCTCCTCTTGTGGTGAACGCCGACAGCACAGAGGCTCCTCCTTATGTGAGTAACACACACATTCTGCTGGGAGCACAACAACACACGCACGCACACGCGCACGCACGCACACACACACACACACACACACACACACACACACACATACACACACACACACACACACACACACACACACACACACAGGTCCAGACAAATTGCGCCAAATGGCAAACGCACAATACCAGAGAAGGAGAAGAGAGAGCAGAGAGACCATAATGTGAATGCACATCATGGAGGTCTCCATAGTGTCTTGTGGTTGCCAGTTCCAATGTCTCTTCTTCCTTCTGTTCAAATGCTAAATCCGACATCAATGTCCCCGGCGTTTGATTCTTCTGCATTTCTGTCCGGACCTCCACATGTTGATGCTCTTCTGGAGGTTTTGACCTATTCTTGGGTTTCATGTGACGTCGGGGAAGTGGGGCGAATGACATACGTGGGACCAGACCGGACCGGACCGGACGTATCCTGGCGCTGCAGTCTGCCGAGTATATACACAGAGATATAGTAGAACAAGAAGAGCTGTCAAAAGGCCATCTTCTTGTGCGGTGTACGCTTGTAGCAACCGTGCAAATAGAGAGAAAGACAAGAGTTTCTTCCGTGTTCCAACTGTGTTCTCATATAAAGGAGGGCACTTTAAAAACATTTTTCAGTTCTCCCTTGGAATGGAGTGTCCCCGATTAAGACTGTTGTAACAGCCGTACACCGCACAGGAGGAGAGACTAAACAGACAACAATGATTTTCAATGGTCTCTGCTCATTCGCCCCCTACTGGCCAGGTTCATGAAACCCAAGAATTGTACATGTTTTTAGTGGTAGAGGCAACCGGAGCAACTTCAACAACAATTCAATTCAATGTGTTTTGTTTAGACCTGAGTCACAACAGTAGTTATCTCGGAAGACTTTACATTGATGTTGATTAGCCGACAACAGATCAGAGAATCAAACTGTTCAAACACCGGAAATGCAACAATAACAAACACATAAAACCATCAACCACCAACAACTCTAACAGTGGGAGAAAGTGAGAAACCCCAGGGAGGCCCACTTTGAGATCTGCTCCCATGGACAGGCTACAGATCCAGGACTCAGGACTGTAGGACGAGGACAGAGGCCCCGGGATGCAGGACTGAGGCGGCTCCCAGGAGTCCGGGCCGGGGAAGACGAGGAGGAGGAGGAGGAGGCCGGGTTCATTTTCTTTTTTTTCAAAGAATCATTACAAGCTTTCTGTTGGCTGAGAGTTCATAGATCATTCAGAAGTGAGCGCCGCGGTCACTCACAGCTGACCTTTAGGAGAAAAGCAGATTAAAACCACAGCTAATGATTCAAATGTATGTAACATGTGTCGCTGCGTCCTGTCAGTGTAAACACAGCCGTCTGTCAGAGGCTAAAGCTCAGGGACGTAACTTTAGTCTCAGAATTAACACCTGTAGTTCGTCCAACAGAAAGAGTCTCGTAAAAGTAAAATGTTGTGAACTAATCAGACCATGACGTGCTTTCTCTATTTTATCAGAAAATATGTTATGTTTTGGGACCAGAAAGAGACCGAAGAGACACCGGAGAGAGACCGGAGAGAGACCAGAGAGAGACTAGAGAGAGATCAGAAAGAGACCAGAGAGAGACCAGAGAGAGACCAGAGAGAGACCAGAGAGAGACCAGAGAGAGACCAGAGAGAGACCAGAGAGAGACCAGAGAGAGACCAGAGAGAGACCAGAGAGAGACTAGAGAGAGACCAGAGAGAGACCAGAGAGAGACCAGAGAGAGACCAGAGAGAGATCAGAGAGACCAGAGGGAGACTCGAGAGAGACTAGAGAGAAACCAGAGAGAGACCAGGGATAGATCAGAGAGAGACTCGAGAGAAACCAGAGGGAGACCAGAGAGAGACCAGAAAGTTTCCAGAGAGAGACCAGAGATGGACTAGAGAGAGACCAGAAAGAGACCAGGGAGAGACCACAGATAGACAAAAGGTAGACCAGGACTAAAGAGAGACCAGAGACCCTAGAGGGAGATCAAAGTGAAAGACCAGAGAGAGAGACCAGGTTGAGTCCAGAGAAATTGACACCAGACCGAGACAAGAGAGAGAGAGACCAGAGAGAAAACAGTAACATTCAGTCAAACCCAGATTATCTTCTTCCTCCCTTGTTGTTTGACCCTGCCCTGGTCAGAACTGTGGGTGTAGCTGGTGTGGTCCACATGGTCTACACTGGACGCACTTTGCTCTTTTCAGCCGGAGCAGAGGTCCATATGTGCGGCTGCAGTGTGTGACACGCTGCAATCTGGACTAATCTGACACTGGGATTAGATTTGGGATTATGGGAGCGGCCTGGGACCACTGACCCACTGCTCATCCACAACAACAACACACAGACACACAGAGAGAGATACCATGGGAGAGACCAGAGAGATACCATGGGAGAGACCAGAGAGATACCATGGGAGAGACCAGAGAGATACCATGGGAGAGACCAGAGAGATACCAGAGAGAGAGACCAGAGAGACAAGAGAGACCAGAGAGAGACCAGAGAGGGACCAGAGATAGACCAGAGATAGACCAGAGAGAGAGACCAGAGAGAGGGACCAGAGAGAAACCAGAGAGAGACCAGAGATAGACCAGAGAGAGGGACCAGAGAGAGGGACCAGAGAGAAACCAGAGATAGACCTGAGAGAGACCAGAGAGAGAGACCAGAGAGAGGGACCAGAGAGAAACCTGAGAGAAACCTGAGAGAGACCAGAGATATACCAGAGAGAGACCAGAGATATACCATGGGAGACACCAGAGAGTTACCATGGGTGAGACCAGTGAGAAACCGGAGAGAGACTAGAGAGAGAGAGACCAGAGAGGGACCAGAGAGAGACTAGAGAGAGACTAGAGAGAGACCAGAGAGAGACTAGAAAGAGACCAGAGAGAGACCAGAGAGAGACTAGAAAGAGACTAGAGTGCCACTAGAAACAGACAAAACAACAATAATCCAATCTTTAAAACATGTTCACGTGGCTGTGATTTGTTCTTGTGTCTTTGGCGTAAACACAGACGAGAAAACGGCTTTTCTTTTTAAATTTAATTACATTTATTTTTCACAACAGTCGCCTCAAAGACTTCACAGCGATGTCGATTCTTCAACAATAGATCAGAGAAACAAACAGTTCCAACATAGGAAACACAATAACAGACGAGCCATGGGTCCATAGGGAACGGAACGAGCCCTCAGACCCTCACAGTCCTCAGACCCTCACAGTCCTCAGACCCTCACAGTCCTCAGACCCTCACAGTCCTCGGACCCTCACTGTCCTCAGACCCTCACTGTCCTCAGACCCTCACTGTCCTCAGACCCTCACTGTCCTCGGACCCTCACTGTCCTCGGACCCTCACTGTCCTCAGACCCTCACTGTCCTCAGACCCTCACAGTCCCAGACCCTCAGTGTCCTCAGACCCTCACTGTCCTCAGACCCTCACTGTCCTCAGACCCTCACTGTCCTCAGACCCTCACTGTCCTCAGACCCTCAGTGTCCTCAGACCACCACTGTCCTCAGACCCTCACTGTCCTCAGACCCTCACTGTCCTCAGACCCTCACTGTCCTCAGACCCTCACTGTCCTCAGACCCCCACTGTCCTCAGACCCTCACTGTCCTCAGACCCTCACTGTCCTCAGACCCTCACGGTCCTCGGACCCTCACTGTCCTCGGACCCTCACTGTCCTCAGACCCTCACTGTCCTCAGACCCTCACTGTCCTCAGACCCTCACTGTCCTCAGACCCTCACGGTCCTCGGACCCTCACTGTCCTCGGACCCTCACTGTCCTCGGACCCTCACTGTCCTCGCCCCCTCACTGTCCTCGGACCCTCACTGTCCTCGGACCCTCACTGTCCTCGGACCCTCACTGTCCTCGGACCCTCACTGTCCTCGGACCCTCACTGTCCTCGGACCCTCACTGTCCTCAGACACCCACTGTCCTCAGACCCTCACTGTCCTCAGACCCTCACTGTCCTCGGACCCTCACTGTCCTCAGACCCTCACTGTCCTCAGACACCCACTGTCCTCAGACCCTCACTGTCCTCGGACCCTCACTGTCCTCGGACCCTCACTGTCCTCGGACCCTCACTGTCCTCAGACCCTCACTGTCCTCGGACCCTCACTGTCCTCAGACCCTCACTGTCCTCGGACCCTCACTGTCCTCGGACCCTCACTGTCCTCAGACCCTCACTGTCCTCGGACCCTCACTGTCCTCAGACCCTCACTGTCTTCAGCCCCTCACTGTCCTCAGACCCTCACTGTCCTCAGACCCTCACTGTCCTCAGACACCCACTGTCCTCAGACCCTCACTGTCCTCAGACCCTCACTGTCCTCGGACCCTCACTGTCCTCAGACCCTCACTGTCCTCGGACCCTCACTGTCCTCAGATACTCACTGTCCTCGGACCCTCACTGTCCTCAGACCCTGCTGCATCAGAGAGGAACCACTCAGAAACGCATAGAGTCTAAGCTGTAGATCCAGGACTCTGAGGAGGTCCAGGACTGAAGAGGCTCACATGGGGGTGGGGAGGGGAGACCAGAGAGAGACTGGAGACAGACCAGAGAGGTCAAAGAGAGAGACCAAAGAGAGACCAGAAAGAGCCCAGAGAGAGACCAGAGACTGAGGCGATGCGGAGCAGGACTGAAAAGGCTCTCAGGGGGAGAAGGAGGTGCAGGTCAGAGGTGTGGACCAGGGACCAGTAATGAATCTCATGTTTACAGCAGTGACACCAACTTTAATTTAAAGGGTCTAAAACTGAGAAAGGCACTGGATAGCTGGGTTTTGAGTGAATTTAACTGTTTTCTCTGGTCTCTCTCTGGTCCCTCTCTCTCTCTCTCTCTGGTCTCTCCCTGGTCTCTTTCTTGTGTGTGTGTTTGTGTGCCTGTGTGTGTGTGTGTGTGTGTGTGTGTGTGTGTGTGTGTGTGTGTGTGTGTGTGTGTGTGTGTGTGTGTGTGTGTGTGTGTGTGTGTGTGTGTGTGTGTGTGTGTGTGTGTGTGTGTGTGTGTGTGTGTGTGTGTGTGTGTGTCTGTGTGTTTACTTAAGCCTCTGTGACATCACTACGACGTCACCGCTAAGATTTTAATCCACATGCGTCATTCACAAACTGAACCAGGAGCAGACACAAACCACACTTTTCATCACAGCCGCGGGATTAAAGTCTGTTTCTCCAGCATTCTACTAACTCTACGGTCTGAAGTCTACACCCGAAAGATCAGAGAGGGACCGGAGGGAGAGACCAGAGTGAGACCAGAGAGAGACCAGAGAGAGAGAGACCAGAGTGAGACCAGAGTGAGACCAGAGAGAGAGACCAGAGAGAGACCAGAGAGAGACCAGAGAGAGACCAGAGAGAGACCAGCGAGAGACCAGAGAGAGACCAGAGAGAGACCAGAGAGAGAGACCAGAGAGAGACCAGAGAGAGACCAGAGAGAGACCGGAGAGAGACCAGCGAGAGACCAGAGAGAGAGACCAGAGAGAGAGACCAGAGAGAGACAAGAGAGAGACCAGAGAGACCCCAGAGAGAGACCAGAGAGAGACCAGAGAGACCAGAGAGACCAGAGAGAGACCAGAGAGAGAGACCAGAGAGAGAGCAGAGAGAAACCAGAGAGAGACCAGAGAGAGAGACCAGAGAGAGACCAGAGAGAGACCAGAGAGAGAGACCAGAGAGAGACCAGAGAGAGAGAGAGAGAGACCAGAGAGAGACCAGAGAGAGACCAGAGAGAGACCAGAGAGAGAGACCAGAGAGAGAAAGGCCAGAGAGAGACAAGAGAGAGACTAGAGAGAGACTAGAGAGAGACCAGAGAGACCCCAGAGAGAGACCAGAGAGAGACCAGAGAGAGACCAGAGAGAGACCAGAGAGACACCAGAGAGAGACCAGAGAGAGAAACCAGAGAGAGACCAGAGAGAGAGACCAGAGAGAGACCAGAGAGAGACCAGAGAGAGAGACCAGAGAGAGACCAGAGAGAGACCAGAGAGACACCAGAGAGACACCAGAGAGAGACCAGAGAGAGACTAGAAAGAGTCTCATCATATGGACTATAGTTGGCTCCTCATCCTCGTGGAGACACACAGACATTTTCCAACATGTTTTTGCTAAAACAGTGAAAGCTTCACTCACCTCAACGCGGCTCCACGGCTCGTTACGTTCTCTTTCTGTGTGACTTCTGAGGAGTTCTAGAACCTTCAGTTTGCTTTAAGGTGTTTTGTGTTCGCAGGTGAACGGCACAGAAGCAGACTATGAGTACGAGGAGATCACACTGGAGCGGGTGAGTTATGGGAATCTCTCCTCTCTCCTCACCCGTCTCCTTTCCTCCCTCCTCCTCTCCCTCCTTATGGTCTCCCTCCTCTCTGCCTTCTCCTCTCCTCATTCCCCCCCCTCTCCCTCCTCCTCCACCATGTTGCCTCCCTCCCATCTCTCCTCTCCTTCCCCTTGCTCTCCCACATGCCCTCTCACCTCTCTCTCCCCTCTCCTTCCCTCCTCCTCCTGCTCCTCCTGCATGGCCTATCCTCTCTCCCCTCTCTCATCTCCCCTCTCCCCCCTGCTCCTCCTCCTGTATGGCCTCTCCTCCTCTTCTCTCCCCTCTCCCCCCCTGCTCCTCCTCCTGTATGGCCTCTCCTCCTCTCCTCTCCCCTCTCCCCTCTCCCCCCCTGCTCCTCCTCCTGCATGGCCTATCCTCTCTCCCCTCTCTCCTCTCTCCTCTACCCCCCTGCTCCTCCTCCTGCATGGCCTATCCTCTCTCCCCTCTCTCCTCTCCCCTCTCTCCTCTCCCCTCTCGCCCCCTGCTCCTCCTCCTGCATGGCCTATCCTCTCTCCCCTCTCTCCTCTCTCCTCTACCCCCCTGCTCCTCCTCCTGCATGGCCTATCCTCTCTCCCCTCTCTCCTCTCCCCTCTCCCCCCCTGCTCCTCCTCCTGCATGGCCTATCCTCTCTCCCCTCTCTCCTCTCCCCTCTCCCCCCCTGCTCCTCTGACCGCAGGCGCTGTCCTCTTCCTCTTAGTCTCTTTTCTCTCTGACCTGGATCTGTCTGCTTCAGTGGCTTCACTCACGCTCTGCACACGACCTGAGAGCTCTCCTCTCACTCACCAGTCGCCTCCTCGATACTCAGAGCTCAGAGGAGCAGAGAGGAGCAGAGAGGAGAGAGAGGAGCAGAGAGGGGCAGACAGGAGCAGAGAGGAGAGGAGCAGAGTAAGAAAGGAGAGAGAGGAGCAAGGAGGAGAGGAGCAGAGAGGAGAGGGGCAGAGAGGAGAGGGGCAGAGAGGAGCAGAGAGGAGAGGAGCAGAGAGGAGAGGAGCAAGGAGGAGAGGAGGCTTTAGTTTAAACACTGTTGTCTCTGGATCAGTTTCTGTGTTTGCTCAAATGTTGATGTTCACAAATAACAACAAAACTGCTCGATCTGGGCTCTCTACTCTACTCTACTCTACTCTACTCTACTCTACCCTACCCTACTCTACTCTACTCTACTCTACTCTACTCTACTCTGATCTCTACTCTACTCTACTCTACTCTACTCTACTCTACTCTGATCTCTACTCTACTCTATTCTACTCTACCCTACTCTACTCTACCCTACCCTACTCTACTCTACTCTACTCTACTCTACTCTGATCTCTACTCTACTCTACTCTACCCTACTCTACTCTACTCTACCCTACCCTACTCTACTCTACTCTACTCTATCTCTACTCTACTCTACTCTACTCTACTCTACTCTACTCTACTCTACTCTACCCTACCCTACTCTACTCTACTCTACTCTACTCTACTCTACCCTACTCTACTCTACTCTACTCTACTCTACTCTACTCTACTCTACTCTACTCTACTCTACTCTACTCTACCCTACCCTACTCTACTCTACCCTACCCTACTCTACTCTACTCTACTCTACTCTACTCTACCCTACCTCTACTCTACCCTACCCTACCCTACTCTACTCTGATCTCTACTCTACTCTACTCTACCCTACTCTACTCTACCCTACCCTACTCTACTCTACTCTACTCTGATCTCTACTCTACTCTACTCTACTCTACTCTACTTTACTCTACTCTTACTCTACTCTACTCTACTTTACTCTACTCTTACTCTGATCTCTACTCTACTCTACTCTACTCTACTCTTACTCTGATCTCTACTCTACTCTACTCTACTCTTACTCTGAACTCTACTCTACTCTACTCTACTCTTACTCTGATCTCTACTCTTCTCTACTCTTACTCTGATCTCTACCCTACTCTACTCTACTCTACTCTGATCTCTACTCTACTCTACTCTACTCTACTCTACTTTACTCTACTCTTACTCTACTCTACTCTACTTTACTCTACTCTTACTCTGATCTCTACTCTACTCTACTCTACTCTACTCTACTCTACTCTTACTCTGATCTCTACTCTACTCTACTCTACTCTTACTCTGAACTCTACTCTACTCTACTCTACTCTTACTCTGATCTCTACTCTTACTCTGATCTCTACTCTACTCTACTCTACTCTTACTCTGATCTCTACTCTACTCTACTCTACTCTTACTCTGATCTCTACTCTACTCTACTCTACTCTACTCTACTCTTACTCTACTCTACTCTACTCTTACTCTGATCTCTACTCTACTCTACTCTTACTCTGGGCGGCACGGTGGCTGAGTGGTTAGCACTCTTGCCTCTCAGCAAGAAGGTCCTGGGTTCGAATCCCGGTCGGACCAGGGCCTTTCTGAGTGGAGTTTGCATGTTCTCCCCGTGTCTGCGTAGGTTTCCTCCGGGTACTCCGGTTTCCCCTACCACTAAAAATATGTCCAATAGTTCTAGCATGCGCCTCCTGTACTGGCAACCCCGCTCCCATCTCTGTGTGGAGTGAGAGACAAATGCCCAAAAAATTAACAATTGTAAACCGCTTTGAGACTCAGATCTGCAGTGAAAAGGCGGTATATAAATAAAAAACTTACTTACTTACTTACTTACTCTGATCTCTACTTACTTACTACTCTACTCTTACTCTGATCTCTACTCTACTCTTACTCTGATCTCTACTCTACTCTACTCTACTCTACTCTCCCTCAATTGGGAGCATTTCCACCGGCCATGTATAACCAGTACCAGGCCCTTCTTTAGTCCCTCTTGGACCTGGTTCTATCCAGGCCAAGCTGGTGCTAAAGTGTAAATGGAAACTCAACCAGGTAGAGTAGAGTAGCGTAGAGTAAAGTAGAGTAGAGTAGAGTCCTGTCTCAGTACCTTGTGTCTCAGTATCATGTGGTCTTGTGTCTCAGTACCATGTGGTCTTGTGTCTCAGTACCATGTGTCTCAGTACCATGTGTCTCAGTACCATGTGTCTTGTGACTCAGTATCATGTGGTCTTGTGTCTCAGTACCATGGGTCTTGTGTCTCAGTACCATGGGGTCTTGTGTCTCAGTACCATGTGTCTTGTGTCTCAGTACCATGGGTCTTGTGTCTCAGTACCATGGGGTCTTGTGTCTCAGTACCATGGGGTCTTGTGTCTCAGTACCATATGGTCTTGTGTCTCAGTACCATCTGTCTTGTGTCTCAGTACCATGTGTCTTGTGTCTTAGTACCCCATGGGTCTTGTGTCTCAGTACCATTGGGTCTTGTGTCTCAGTACCATGTGTCTCAGTACCATGTGTCTTGTGTCCAGGGAAACTCTGGTCTGGGCTTCAGTATTGCAGGAGGCACAGACAACCCTCACATCGGAGACGACCCGTCCATCTTCATCACAAAGATCATACCAGGAGGAGCCGCCGCACAGAACGGACGCCTACGGTAAAAACTGGTCTATCTCTGGTCTCTCTCCGGTCTCGCTCTCCGGTCTCCCTCTGGTCTCTCTCTCTGGTCTCTCTCCCTGGTCTCTCTTTCTGGTCTCTCGCTGGTCTCTTTCTGGTCTCTCTGAGGTCTCTCTGAGGTCTCTCTCTCTGGTCTCCCTCTGGTCTCTCTGGTCTCTCACTTTAGTCCACCTGGTGTCTACAGATCATGGCATAATCATATTTTAATTGAATAAAGGCTGAAACTGCACTTGTCTTCTCCCTCCTCCTCACATCTTCATCCTCACTTTTCCTCTTCTCCTCCTCGTCTTGTCTCTCCTCCCCCTCCTCTGCCTTCCCCCCCTCCCCTCCCCTCCCCTCCTCCCCCTCCCCTCCTCCCCTCCTCCCCTCCTCCCCTCCTCCCCCTCCTCCCCTCCCCTCCTCCCCCTCCTCCCCTCCTCCCCCTCCTCCTCCCCCTCCTCCTCCTCCTCCTCCTCCTCCTCCTCCTCCCCCTCCTCCTCCTCCTTCTCCTCCCCCTCCTCCTCCTCCCCCTCCTCCTCCTCCCCCTCCTCTCCTCCCCCTCCCACCCCCTCTCCTCCCCTCATCCACCTCCTCCTCCCCTCATCCACCTCCTCCCCTCCTCCTTTCATCTCTCCTCCCCTCCTCCTCTTGTCTCTCTGCTTCCTCCTCCTCCTCCTCCTCTCCACCTCTCCCCCTCCTCCTCCTCCCCCGCCTCCTCACCTCTCCCCCTCCTCCTCCTCCCCCTCCTCAGGGTGAATGACAGTATAGTGCGTGTGAATGAGGTGGACGTCCGCAGCGTGACCCACAGTGGAGCGGTGGAGGCGCTGAAGGAGGCGGGCGGCCTGGTGCGTCTGTGTGTGCGGCGCCGACGCAGCCTCAACGACCGCGTCCTGGACATCAAGCTGGTCAAAGGGCCCAAAGGTCAGCACTCACATGGTCCCTACATGGTCCATACATGGTCCCAACATGGTCCCTACATGGCCCTTACGTGGTCCTTACGTGGTCCTTACATGGTCACTACATGGTCCTTACATGGTTCTTACATAGTCCCTACATGGTCCTTACATGGTACCTACATGGTCCCCACATGGTCCTTACATGGTCCTTATATGGTCCCTACATGGTTCTTACATGGTCACTACATGGGCCCTACATGGGCCCTACATGGTCCTTGCATGGTCTTTACATGGTCCCTACATGGTCCTTATATGGTCCTTACATGGTCATTACATGGTCCCTACATGGTTCCTACATGGTCACTACATGGTCCTTACATGGTCCTTACATGGTCCTTACATGGGCCCTACATGGTCCTTACATGGTCCTTGCAGGGTCCTTACATGGTCCTTACATGGTCCCTACCTGGTCCTTACATGGTCCCTACACTGTCCCTACATGGTCCCTACATGGTCCTTACTGTCCTCACATCAAGACCAGAAATTTGTTCCCATTTTTATGATTTTTGAATACTTTTGTTTCTTTCTTTGGGGTCTCAAAGGAGTCTCCCTGGTCTCTCTCTGGTCTCTCTCTGGTCTCTCTCTGGTCTCTCTCTGGTCTCTCTCTGGTCTCTTTCTGGTCTCTTTCTGGTCTCTCTCTGGTCTCTCTCTGGTCTCTTTCTGGTCCCTCTCTGGTCCCTCTCTGGTCTCTTTCTGGTCTCTCTCTGGTCCCTCTCTGGTCTCTCTCTGGTCCCTCTCTAGTCTCTCTCTGGTCTCTCTCTGGTCCCTCTCTGGTCTCCCCCTGGTCCCTCTCTGGTCTCTCTCTGGTCCCTCTCTGGTCTCACCCTGGTCCCTCTCTGGTCTCTCTCTGGTCCCTCTCTGGTCTCCCCCTGGTCCCTCTCTGGTCTCTCTCTGGTCCCTCTCTGGTCTCTCTCTGGTCCCTCTCTGGTCTCCCCCTGGTCCCTCTCTGGTCTCTCTCTGGTCCCTCTCTGGTCTCCCCCTGGTCCCTCTCTGGTCTCTCTCTGGTCCCTCTCTGGTCTCTCTCTGGTCCCTCTCTGGTCTCCCCCTGGTCCCTCTCTGGTCTCTCTCTGGTCCCTCTCTAGTCTCTCTCTGGTCTCTCTCTGGTCCGTGTGTGACTGTAGTTGTGCATCCTCCTGGCTGTTTGTGTGACTGCAGTTGTGTGTCCTGCTGGTTGTGTGTCTGACTGCAGTTGTGTATCCTCCTGGTTGTGTGTCCTGCTGGTTGTGTGTCTGACTGCAGTTGTGTGTCCTGCTGGTTGTGTGTCTGACTGCAGTTGTGTGTTCTGCTGGTTGTGTGTCTGACTGCAGTTGTGTGTCCTGCTGGTAGTGTGTCTGACTGCAGTTGTGTGTCCAGGCCTGGGCTTCAGTATCGCGGGGGGAGTGGGGAACCAACACGTCCCCGGAGACAACGGCATCTATGTGACCAAAGTGATCGAGGGTGGAGCCGCACACAAGGACGGGAGGCTGCAGACGGGAGACAAACTGATAGCGGTGAGGACACACACAGACACACACGCACACACACAGTCAAAGACATAGATGTGTGTGTGTGTTTTTGATGTGTGTGTACGTGTGTGAATATTGCACATGTGTGTGTTTACCAATTGTGATACAAAAAATAGAACAGTTTCAAAACAGTGTATTTATGTGCAAGTTTAGTTGTGTGTATAGGTGTGTGTGTGTGTGTGTATTTTGTGTATGTGCGTCTTTCTCTGTCCCTTTGTGTGTCTGTGTGTATATGTGTTTGTGTATCTGTGTGTGTGCATGTGTGTATGTCTCTTTTTGTGTCTGTGTGTCTCTGAGTGTGTGAGTCTCTGTCTCTGTGTGTGTCTGTTACATGTCTTTCTCTGTCTCTTGTGTGTGCATGTGTGTGTGTCTCTCTGTGTCTGTGCGTTACTGAGTGTGTGTCTCCGACTCTTTGTGTGTCATAGTATGTATGTGTGTGTCCGTGTCTGTGTGTATGTTACATAGGGTTGCCAACTTGAGAACAAAAAAATAAGGGACACCATTTGGGTGGATCGGGTTGAGCACTTTTTAGTCCTAATTTCAGTCTACACAGTAATCATGGAATTTCACAATCACAGTTTTTAGATTGTAATTTATTGACTACATATATAAAAAAAATCCTTAGTCAAAAATGAAATTGAATAAATAGGTGGAAACTCTGGCTGGTTAAGGACTTAAAGGCACACCGTGTAACTCTTGGCCACTAGGGGCGCTAGACCTGCAACTTTCACGTTTAGCGCCCCTAGTGGCCACAAGCAACTCAGCACTGTCGCAAAAGTCAACAAACAGTCAGCCGGTGTCTTTTGAGTGTGTATTCAGACAGCATGCACTGGTGTGTGTGTTCAAACTGTAGAGACATGCCTACAGATATTGAGAGACTCTGCTGTGGTCAGCCTCCAGACCGCTGCATTAGTAATCTACCACACATGGACTTCTATATCCTGGATGAGGGAGTTCTGCGTCTAGCTCGTGCTGCGTGGAATGACATCTTTGCAGTCGATGACATCCAGGAACCAGGTGAAGAGCAGCGCTCATACAGACATGCAGCTTACAGCACGATCCCTTTCGCGTTTCCTCTTTTTAGCCTCCTCCGAAGGTTTAAAATTTTTCCTTGCCTCAGCCATGACCAGGAGTCGAGCAGGTGAAAAATGAGTAGCAAAAGCCTTAGCTCCATGAGTATATCAGCGCCTGTAGCCGTAAAGCAAGTCTTTCTTCCAAGTCACGTGACCTGGTGGCAGACGGTCCGTCTGCTCGAAACTTACATGGGCGGTATTTCAAGAGGGCAGCCCCGCTCGGAGCATTGCAAGTGTCAAGCGCTGTATATTGGCCCAAGTATTCATATAAAATAACTCATACGTGTCAACTCTTTAGGTCACAAAGTCCGCGGTGTGCCTTTAATGCATTCTTATTAGTAATATAAAAAAATTAAAAAATATAAAAAAGACAAATACTGTAACATACATTATTTATGAATGTTACAGTAAAGACCAATTTCTGTAAAAGCAGATAAAAAAAGAAAAACATGTATTCATTAAAAACTCACAAATCAGCCTGTAGTAGTTCATCTACTAGTTCATGTAGTCATCATTATTTATATTGTCTGAGTTTTGTGCAGGTTTGTGGCTTCAGTAAAAGCTATTGTTCGTTTACAAAGCTGGTCTGGATATTTGTTGACGGTCCCTAAGTGCTTTTCTCTGCGCTTGCAGTGCATTGGATTCAGAGGATTTCTCTGCATTAAAACAGCGCATTGAATTTGTAAAACATAGAGATGATCATTTTAGCACAATTACTTTTGTTTAACAAAGTAGCTTTCGTGAGCTATTGACCGCGGAAGTCCGAATTTGGGAAAATGACGCTACTTTACCAAACTTCTGACGTGATGGTGCTGCGGGCACGGCCCACGCTGGCGCCTGTCAACATTAAACCAACGTCTGTGATCAAGCCTACGCCCCTTTGACACTGATTGGCCGAAAGGTAGATGCTTCAACTGTGATCATTACTGTGTGTGTGTGACATGCAGTGAGTGAGTGATGCATTTGAGGTGGCTCTGAAAATACGGGACAAAAGCCGTCCCGTATCAGTTCAATACGGGACGCACATAGTTTTTCTATAATACGGGACAATTCCGTATTTCAAGGGACGGTTGGCAACCCTAATGTTACATGTCTCTCTCTCTCTCTCTCTGTCTCTTTGTGTGTGTATGTTACTTTGAGAGGTGAAAATCATCACACACACATAAACACACATTCACAGAGACACACACAACATTAGCATCCCAGTTGATCCTCAGATGCAGTGACAGTGCTGCCCTCTAGTGGAATCATTGAGACATCACTTCATCTGTCGAGCTTTTGACTAAGAAATGTGCCAAATAAAAACATTTCCATCCTTCCTTAAATCTTTTCTGTTTCTGCTCTCTCTGGTCTCTCTCTGGTCTCTCTCTGGTCTCTCTCTGGTCTCTCTCTGGTCTCTCTCTGGTCTCTCTCTCTGGTCTCTCTGGTCTCTCTCTGGCCTCTTTCTCTGGTCTCCTGCTGGTCTCTCTCTGGTCTCCTGCTGGTCTCCCTGCAGGTGAACAGCACATGCCTGGAGGAGGTGAGTCATGAGGAGGCAGTGGGAGCTCTGAAGTCCACTCCTGACGTGGTTTATCTTCGCGTCTGCAAACACACTCCTGTCTTCATCAACGACAGCTTTCCCCCTCCGGACGTCACCAACTGTGAGTGACCATGAAGACACCAGACCAGCAAGAGGAGGCACCAGGAAACACAGAGAGAGAGAGATTAGAGAGAGACTAGAGGGAGACCAGATAGAGACCAGAGAGAGACTAGAGAGAGACCAGAGAGAGCGGAAATAGACCAGAGAGAGACCAGAGGAAGATCCGAGAGAGATCAGAGAGAGCAACAAACTCAGACTAGAACCTGACATTTGACACACAGTGTCCTCTGACCATAGACCTCTGACCTCTGACCATAGACCTCTGACCATAGACCTCCGACCATAGACCTCTGACCTCTGACCATAGACCTCTGACCATAGACCTCTGAACTCTGACCATAGAACTCTGACCATAGACCTCTGACCTCTGACCATAGACCTCTGACCATAGACCTCCGACCATAGACCTCTGACCTCTGACCATAGACCTCTGACCATAGACCTCTGAACTCTGACCATAGAACTCTGACCATAGACCTCTGACCTCTGACCATAGACCTCAGTCCGCTGACCACAGACCTCTGTTCTCTGACCATAGACCTCTGTCCTCTGACCCTAGACCTCTGACCATAGACCTCTGACCTCTGACCATAGACCTCCGACCATAGACCTCTGAACTCTGACCATAGACCTCTGACCATAGACCTCTGACCTCTGACCATAGACCTCAGTCCCCTGACCATAGACCTTTGACCATAGACCTCTGACCATAGACCTCTGTCCTCTGACCATAGACCTTTGACCATAGACCTCTGACCATAGACCTCTGTCCTCTGACCATAGACCTCTGACCATAGACCTCTGTCCTCTGACCCTAGACCTCTGACCATAGACCTCAGTCCGCTGACCACAGACCTCTGTTCTCTGACCATAGACCTCTGTCCTCTGACCCTAGACCTCTGACCATAGACCTCTGTCCTCTGACCAAAGACCTCTGACCCTAGACCTTTGACCATAGACCTCTGACCATAGACCTCTGTCCTCTGACCATAGACCTCTGTCCTCTGACCCTAGACCTCTGACCATAGACCTCAGTCCGCTGACCACAGACCTCTGACCATAGACCTCTGACCCTAGACCTCTGACCATAGACCTCAGTCCGCTGACCACAGACCTCTGTTCTCTGACCATAGACCTCTGTCCTCTGACCCTAGACCTCTGACCATAGACCTCTGTCCTCTGACCATAGACCTCTGACCCTAGACCTTTGACCATAGACCTCTGTCCTCTGACCATAGACCTCTGTTCTCTGACCATAGACCTCTGTCCTGTGTGTTGCAGCCTACTCGCCGCACCAGGAAAACCACGTCCACAGCCCGTACACCGGCGGCAGTCAGTCTGTAAGCCCCGCCCCCATGACTACCCCACGCTACTCGCCGCTGCCACGCACCATCACTGCGGACGAAGACTTATGCAGGTGACTGATGATGTGTGGGACTGTCTCACCTCCTGGTCCTAGAGCTCCTGGTCCTAGAGCTCCTGGTCCTGGAGCTTCTGGTCCTAGAGCTCCTGGTCCTAGAGCTCCTGTAAGGGTCCTCTCCAGGTGCAGAGGATCTGGGTTTGCGACTTAGTGTCTACTCTGGTCTTTCTGTCTGCTCTCTCTCTGCTTCTCTGGTCTCTCCTCTCTCTCTGGTCTCTCCTCTCTCTGGTCTCTCCTCTCTCTCTGCTCTCGCTCCTCTCTCTCTCCTCTCTCTGGTCTCTCCTCTCTCTCTGCTCTCGCTCCTCTCTCTCTCCTCTCTCTGGTCTCTCCTCTCTCTCTCTGCTCTTGCTGCTCTCTCCTCTCTCTGCCCTCTCTGCTCTCCCTCTGGTCTCTCTTTATCTCTCTCTGCTCTCTCTCGTTGACCGTACCATGTGTGCTCTCCCTCAGAGACCCTCGCCGTGTGGTTCTACAGCGGGGTTCTACTGGTCTCGGCTTCAACATTGTGGGCGGTGAGGACGGCGAGGGCATCTTCATCTCCTTCATCCTCGCCGGGGGTCCTGCCGATCTGTGCGGCGAGCTGCGCAAAGGAGACCGCATCCTCTCCGTACGTCTTTGAGCTGATTATCCAACTCCCAGAGCAGTCAATTTGACTGCATTTAGAGCTGCAGGTGTAACTCCTCAGCTCATGTACATCTGTGGTCTTCATAAGTTTGTCTGTAGTTTAGTTTGATGGTACATGTGTGTAGTTTTATGGTACGTGTGTGTAGCTTGATTGTACGTGTGTAACTTGATGGTGCGTGTGTGTATTTTGATGGTACGTGTGTGTGGCTTGATGGTACATGTGTAACTTGAGGGTACGTGTCTAACTTGATGGTACATGTGTGTAGCTTGATGGTACATATGTGAAGCTTGATGGTACGTGTGTAGCTTGATGGTACGTGTGTCTAACTTGATGGTACATGTGTAACTTGATGGTACATGTGTGTAGCTTGATGGTACATGTGTGTAAATTGATGGTACGTGTGTATACATTTATGGTACATGTGTGTAGTTAGATGGTACGTGTGTGTGGTTTGATGGTACATGTGTGTAAATTGATGGTACGTGTGTAGCTTGATGGTATGTGTGTATAAATCGATGGTACGTGTGTGTAGTTTGATGGTACGTGATGTAGCTTGATGGTACGTGTGTGTAGCTTGATGGTACATGTGTGTAGCTTGATGGTGCATGTGTGTAGCTTGATTGTACATGTGTGTAACTTGATGGTGCGTGTGTGTAGCTTGATGGTGCATGTATGTAACTTGATGGTGCGTGTGTACTTTGATGGTACGTGTGTGTAACTTGATGGTATGTGTGTGTAACTTGATGGTAAGTGTGTGTAGTTTGATGGTATGTGTGTGTAGCTTGATGGTGCTTGTGTGTACTTTGATGGTACATGTGTGTAGCTTGATGGTACATGTGTGTAGCTTGATGGTACGTGTGTGTAGCTTGATGGTACGTGTGTGTAACTTGATGGTACGTGTGTGTAGCTTGATGGTACGTGTGTGTAACTTGATGGTACGTGTGTGTAACTTGATGGTACGTGTGTGTAACTTGATGGTACGTGTGTGTAGCTTGATGGTAGGTGTGTGTACTTTGATGGTAGTGTGTGTAGTTTGATGGTACATGTGTGTAGTTTGATAGTACATGTGTGAAGCTTGATGGTACGTGTTCGTAGCTTGATGGTACGTGTGTGTAGCTTGATGGTACATGTGTGTAGTTGGATGGTAAACGTGTGTAGCTTGATGGTACGTGTGCGTAGCTTGATGTTACGTGTGCGTAGCTTGATTGTGCGTAGCTTGATGGTACGTGTGCGTAGCTTGATGGTACGTGTGCGTAGCTTGATGGTACGTGTGTGTAGCTTGATGGTAGGTGTGTGTAATTTGATGATAGTGTGTGTAGTCTGACGGTACATGTGTGTAGTTGGATGGTAAATGTGTGTAGGTTGATGGTACGTGTGTGTAGCTTGATGGTACGTGTGTGTATTTTGAGGGTAAATTTGTGTAGCTTGATGGTACGTGTTTAGCTTGATGGTACGTGTGTGTAGCTTGAAGGTACGTGTGTAGTTTGATGGTACATGTGTATCTTGATGGTACGTGTTCCTGGTCCTCGGCAGGTGAATGGTGTGGACGTGTGTGTTGCTTGATGGTACATGTGTGTAGCTTGATGGTACGTGTGTAACTTGATGGTACGTGTGTGTAGCTCAATGGTACGTGTGTGTAACTTGATGGTACGTGTGTGTAGCTTGATGGTACGTGTGTGTAACTTGATGGTATGTGTGTGTAGCTTGATGGTAGGTGTGTGTACTTTGATGGTAGTGTGTGTAGTTTGATGGTACATGTGTGTAGTTTGATGGTACATGTGTGTAGCTTGATGGTACGTGTTCGTAGCTTGATGGTACGTGTGTGTAGCTTGATGGTACATGTGTGTAGTTGGATGGTAAACGTGTGTAGCTTGATGGTACGTGTGCGTAGCTTGATGTTACGTGTGCGTAGCTTGATTGTACGTGTGCGTAGCTTGATGGTACGTGTGCGTAGCTTGATGCTACGTGTGCGTAGCTTGATGGTACGTGTGTGTAGCTTGATGGTAGGTGTGTGTACTTTGATGATAGTGTGTAGTCTGATGGTACATGTGAGTAGTTGGATGGTAAATGTGTGTAGGTTGATGGTACGTGTGTGTAGCTTGATGGTACGTGTGTGTAGCTTGACGGTACATGTGTGTAGTTGGATGGTAAATGTGTGTAGGTTGATGGTACGTGTGTGTAGCTTGATGGTACGTGTGTGTAGTTGGATGGTAAATGTGTGTAGTTGGATGGTAAATGTGTGTAGCTTGATGGTATGTGTGCGTAGCTTGATGGTAAATGTGTGTAGCTTGATGGTACATGTTTAGCTTGATGGTACATGTGCGTAACTTGAAGGTACATGTGCGTAGCTTGATGGTGCGTGTTCCTGGTCCTGTGCAGGTGAATGGTGTGGACGTGTCGGGAGCGTCTCATGAACAGGCAGCAGCAGCTCTGAAGAACGCAGGACACACTGTGACCATCGTGGCCCAGTACAAGCCCCAGGGTGAGTCCATGGTCTGAGAGGGACTGATGGTCTTTAACTGGACTTAGTGTCTCTCTGGTCTCTTTATGGTCTCTCGTTGGTCTCTCTCTGCTCTCTCGCTCTCTGGTCTCTCTCTCTGCTTTCTCTCTTGTCTCTCTCTGGTCTCTCTCTGGTCTCTCTCTGGTCTCTCTGCTCTCTCTCTGGTCTCTCTGCTCTCTCTCTGGTCTCTCTCTGCTCTCTCTCTGGTCTCTCTCTGGTCTCTCTCTGGTCTCTCTCTTGTCTCTCTCTGCTCTCTCTCTCTGGTCTCTCTCTGGTCTCTCTCTGGTCTCTCTCTGCTCTCTCTCTCTGGTCTCTCTCTGCTCTCTCTCTGGTCTCTCTCTGGTCTCTCTGCTCTCTCTCTGGTTTCTCTCTGCTCTCTCTCTGGTCTCTCTCTGGTCTCTCTGCTCTCTCTCTGGTCTCTCTCTGCTCTCTCTCTGGTCTCTCTCTGCTCTCTCTCTCTGGTCTCTCTCTGGTCTCTCTCTGCTCTCTCTCTCTGGTCTCTCTCTGGTCTCTCTCTGCTCTCTCTCTGGTCTCTCTCTGGTCTCTCTGCTCTCTCTCTGCTCTCTCTCTGGTCACTGGTCAATGGGTGAGTCCCACATCTGGACAAAATATAGACTGGGGAGGAGTGATGTCACGTGATCATGGACTTGCTCGATGAGGCACACACACACGTACACACACGCGCACACACACACACTCACACACGCACATACACACACGCACACACACACACACACACGTACACACACACACACACGCACACAAACACACACACACACACACGCACACAAACACACACACACACACACGTACACACACACACACACACGTACAAACACACACACACACGCACGCACGCACGCACACACACGCACATACACACACGCACACACACACACACACGTGTACACACACACACGCACCCAAACACACACACACACACGTACACACTCGTACACACACACACACACACACACACGTACACACACACACACACTTTCACCTGTGCTCTCTGTAACCGGACTCTTCGCTCGATGGGAGTCGCTGCCGGTCGCTGTCATCAATTATAAATGAGTTCTTTTCTGCTGGAGTTATTTTTAGAAGCACTGCTATCGAGCGCACACCAACGCAAAGAGGGAGGCGAGGGACTGGGGGACCGCGCTGAGACAGAGGGAATGAGGAGAACATGCAAATATAAGAAATAAGTTCAATATTAGAGACATAAAAAACCACTGCCGCTGCTCAGGGGAAGACTCTGCATAAGGAGAACGTAACGAGCCGTGGAGCTGTGTCTGGGTGAATGAAGCTTACAGCCTCTTCCTCTTACTGTCAGAGGAAGAGTTGCACACACCTCTCTCTCTGGTCTCCCTCTAGTTTCTCTCTGGTCTCACTCTGGTCCCTCAGGTCTCTCTATGGTCTTTCTCTGGTCTTTCTCTGGTCTCTCTCCTCTCTCTCTCTGGTCTCTCTCTGCTCTCTCTCTGCTCTCCTTCTGATCTCCCTCAGGTCTCTTTCTGGTCTCGCTCTCTGGTCTCTCTCTCTGCTCTTCCTCTGCTCTCCCTCTGGTCTCCCTCTGGTCTCCCTCTACTCTCCCTCTGCTCTTCCTCTGGTCTCCTTCTGGTCTCCCTCTGGTCTCCCTCTGTTCTCCCTCTGCTCTCCCTCTGGTCTCTCTCTGGTCTCTCCCTCTGGTCTCCCTCTGCTCTCCCTCTGCTCTCCCTCTGGTCTCCCTCTGGTCTCCCTCTGGTCTCTCTCTGGTCTCTCTCTGGTCTCCCTCTGGTCTCCCTCTGCTCTCCCTCTGGTCTCTCTCTGGTCTCTCCCTCTGGTCTCCCTCTACTCTCCCTCTGCTCTCCCTCTGGTCTCCTTCTGGTCTCCCTCTGGTCTCCCTCTGGTCTCTCTCTGGTCTCTCTCTGGTCTCTCTCTGGTCTCTCCCTCTGGTCTCCTTCTGGTCTCCCTCTGGTCTCCCTCTGGTCTCCCTCTGCTCTCCCTCTGGTCTCTCTCTGGTCTCTCCCTCTGGTCTCCCTCTACTCTCCCTCTGCTCTCCCTCTGGTCTCCCTCTGGTCTCCCTCTGGTCTCTCTCTGGTCTCTCTCTGGTCTCTCCCTCTGGTCTCCCTCTGGTCTCTCCCTCTGGTCTCTCCCTCTGGTCTCCCTCTACTCTCCCTCTGCTCTCCCTCTGGTCTCCTTCTGGTCTCCCTCTGGTCTCCCTCTGGTCTCTCTCTGGTCTCTCTCTGGTCTCTCTCTGGTCTCTCCCTCTGGTCTCCCTCTGGTCTCCCTCTGGTCTCCCTCTGGTCTCCCTCTGCTCTCCCTCTGGTCTCCCTCTGGTCTCTCTCTGGTCTCTCTCTGGTCTCTCCCTCTGGTCTCCCTCTGGTCTCCTTCTGGTCTCCCTCTGGTCTCCCTCTGGTCTCCCTCTGGTCTCCCTCTGGTCTCTCTCTGGTCTCTCTCTGGTCTCGCTCTGGTCTCTCTCTCTGGTCTCTCTCTGGTCTCTCCCTCTGGTCTCCCTCTGGTCTCCCTCTGCTCTCCCTCTGCTCTCCCTCTGGTCTCCCTCTGGTCTCTCTCTGGTCTCTCCCTCTACTCTCCCTCTGCTCTCCCTCTGGTCTCCTTCTGGTCTCCCTCTGGTCTCCCTCTACTCTCCCTCTACTCTCCCTCTGGTCTCTCCCTCTACTCTCTCTCTGGTCTCCCTCTGGTCTCCCTCTGGTCTCTCTCTGGTCTCTCTCTGGTCTCTCCCTCTGGTCTCCCTCTGGTCTCCCTCTGGTCTCCCTCTGCTCTCCCTCTGGTCTCTCTCTGGTCTCTCCCTCTGGTCTCCCTCTACTCTCCCTCTGCTCTCCCTCTGGTCTCCTTCTGGTCTCCCTCTGGTCTCCCTCTGGTCTCTCTCTGGTCTCTCTCTGGTCTCTCTCTGGTCTCTCCCTCTGGTCTCCCTCTGGTCTCCCTCTGGTCTCCCTCTGGTCTCCCTCTGCTCTCCCTCTGGTCTCCCTCTGGTCTCTCTCTGGTCTCTCTCTGGTCTCTCCCTCTGGTCTCCCTCTGGTCTCCTTCTGGTCTCCCTCTGGTCTCCCTCTGGTCTCCCTCTGGTCTCCCTCTGGTCTCTCTCTGGTCTCTCTCTGGTCTCTCTCTGGTCTCTCTCTGGTCTCTCTCTGGTCTCTCCCTCTGGTCTCCCTCTGGTCTCCCTCTGCTCTCCCTCTGCTCTCCCTCTGGTCTCCCTCTGGTCTCTCTCTGGTCTCTCCCTCTACTCTCCCTCTGCTCTCCCTCTGGTCTCCTTCTGGTCTCCCTCTGGTCTCCCTCTACTCTCCCTCTACTCTCCCTCTGGTCTCTCCCTCTACTCTCTCTCTGGTCTCCCTCTGGTCTCCCTCTGGTCTCCCTCTGGTCTCTCTCTGGTCTCTCCCTCTACTCTCTCTCTGGTCTCCTTCTGCTCTCCCTCTGGTCTCCCTCTGGTCTCTCTCTGGTCTCTCCCTCTACTCTCTCTCTGGTCTCCTTCTGCTCTCCCTCTGGTCTCCCTCTGGTCTCTCTCTGGTCTCTCAGAGTGTATATGGCTGTTGTTTTTGCTGTGATGGTGTGGTTCTGGTCTCTGGGGTCTTTGGTTTCAGCTCCATTCGTCTCTGTCACAGATTTCCCAGAGTACCAGAGTAGAGCCTCCTCCTCCACAGCTGCTCACATGGTCCGAGAGGTTCTAGAACACAGACTTTCATTAAAAACGGAGCCTGAGAATCTAAATCTGTTTGGGGAATTTCTCCAATAAGTTCATAAGATCCAAGTGTGAGGATTAAAGCTGGTCTCTCTCTGGTCTCTCACTGGTATCACGCTGGTCTCTCTCTGGTTTCTCGCCTGTCTCTTTCTGGTCTCTCTCTTTTCCCTCTCTTTTCTCTCTCTTTTTCAATATTTCTCCTTCAAACCTTTAAAGGAATGTGGAGAACAGCAGCGTTTTGCAGAATCTGTCTCGTGCTGATGCTCCAGTGACCGGGGGGAGGAGGGGAGGAGGAGGGGGAGGAGGGAGGAGGGGGAGGAGGGTGGAGGAGGGGGAGGAGGGAGAGGAGGGGGGGGGGGGGTGAAGGGGGAGGGGCCAGTATCACAGCGTGCCAAGAGAGCGTCTGTCTCCACACACCATCTCTGCAGCTGGTCACCAACGTACAGCTCTCCGGCTTCGTCTCACTCTGGTCTCTCTCTGGTCTCCCTCTGGTCTCCCTCTGGTCTCTCTCTGGTCTCCCTCTGGTCTCTCTCTGGTCTCCCTCTGGTCTCCCTCTGGTCTCTCTCCGGTCTCTCTCTGGTTTCTTTCCGGTCTCCCTCTGCTCTCTGGAGCCTTGGATTTGGGATTTTTGTGGAGCCCTGGTCTTTGTGAAGCCGGTAAGTGGAGTGAGTGAGTGAGTGAGAACTGCATGAATGAAGTTGAAAAACTGACTTAAAGCTACTGTCCGTAACTTTCACAACCCATGTCTCTGGTTCCTGGCTCTAAAACAGTTGCTCTAGTTCTAGTTTTCACTTCATGTGTTTGTGGTCTCTGTCAACTCTTTAGATCAGCTTTCAGACAGGACAGTGACAAAGAGAGTGACCAAAGAGACCAGAGAGAGACCCTAACCCTAACCCAGAGAGAGACCAGAGAGAGACCAGAGAAAGACCAGAGAGAGACCAGAGAGAGACCAGGGAGAGACCAGAGAGAGACCAGGGAGAGACCAGGGAGAGACCAGGGAGAGACCAGAGAAAGACCAGAGAGAGACCAGAGAGAGACCAGGGAGAGACCAGAGAGAGACCAGGGAGAGACCAGAGAGAGACCAGGGAGAGACCAGGGAGAGACCAGGGAGAGACCAGAGAAAGACCAGAGAGAGACCAGAGAGAGACCAGGGAGAGACCAGAGAGAGACCAGAGAAAGACCAGAGAGAGACCAGAGAGAGAGACCAGAGAGAGACCAGAGAGAGACCAGAGAGAGAGACCAGAGAGATCTTTCTGTCTGGATGTAAGAGAAGTCGTCCTCTCGCTCTGACCTCGGCTCTGCACAGATCGAGTTTAAAAAAGCTCTTTTCTGGACCTTGACTTGTCCCTGAACCAGAGGAAACACCTCCTTCCTCCACACTCTGTGCCCGAGCCACAGACCTGGAGCTGTTTTTAGCACCATCCACGCTGAAACCAGGATCCTGTCTCAGTTCTGTAACATTACTTTATACTTACTTCCGGGTGGATCGTCAAGACTATTGCTCCTCCTAACTGTCAATCATTCTGCTCACCAAGACTAGAGGGCGGATCTTTCCTACAAATTGGGAAAATCCTCCTTTAATCCACCTTTAATTATGTCAGAGTTAGAGATGTGATGCTTGCTTCAACTGCTGATGCAACACTGGAATTTCCCCACTGTGGGACGACAAAGGGATCACTTCATCTTAATGACACCACACTCAGACACGGGGAGAACATGCAAACTCCACACAGAAAGTCCCTGTCCTGTCTAGGATTCAACCCCAGGATCTTTTTGCTGAGATAGAGACCAGAGAGAGACCAGAGAGAGACTAGAGAGAGACTAGAGAGAGACTAGAGAGAGACCAGAGAGAGACCAGAGAGAGACCAGAGAGAGACCAGAGAGAGACCAGAGAGAGACCAGAGAGAGACCAGAGAGAGACCAGAGAGAGACCAGAGAGATACTAGAGAGAGACCAGAGAGAGACTAGAGAGAGACTAGAGAGAGACCAGAGAGAGACCAGAGAGAGACCAGAGAGAGACCAGAGAGAGACCAGAGAGAGACCAGAGAGAGACTAGAGAGAGACCAGAGAGAGACCAGAGAGAGACCAGAGAGAGACCAGAGAGAGACCAGAGAGAGACCAGAGAGATACTAGAGAGAGACCAGAGAGAGACTAGAGAGAGACTAGAGAGAGACTAGAGAGAGACCAGAGAGAGACCAGAGAGAGACCAGAGAGAGACCAGAGAGAGACCAGAGAGAGACCAGAGAGAGACCAGAGAGAGACTAGAGAGAGACCAGAGAGAGACCAGAGAGAGACCAGAGAGAGACCAGAGAGAGACCAGAGAGAGACCAGAGAGAGACCAGAGAGAGACCAGAGAGAGACCAGAGAGAGACCAGAGAGAGACCAGAGAGAGACCAGAGAGAGACCAGAGAGAGACCAGAGAGAGACCAGAGAGAGACTAGAGAGAGACCAGAGAGAGACTAGAGAGAGACCAGAGAGAGACCAGAGAGAGACCAGAGAGAGACTAGAGAGAGACCAGAGAGAGACCAGAGAGAGACCAGAGAGAGACCAGAGAGAGACAGCTAACCACTCAGCCGCTGCGGTTCTCCTGCTGCTGTGTCTTATTTAGTGGGGTTTTTCGCGTCTGTGATCTGCAAAGTGCGACGACAGTAAATAAATAAAATGAAATGAATGAATAAACAGCGGTTGCGTGTGTGTGTTTCAGAATACAGTCGGTTCGAGGCCAAGATCCATGACCTGAGGGAGCAGATGATGACCAGCAGCGTCAGCTCCAGCTCCATGTCCCTGCGACCCAGCCACAAGAGGGCGCTCTACGTCAGGTGACCCCCTCGCCGACAGCGTGTAGCTCCGCCCTTTCTGTCCGAAAGCTCCTGTCTGTGTGATGTCATAGTGGTACAATGACATCACGATGACATCACACTCATCACATTGAGTTTCTGATATCTCAATTTGATCGTGAAGAACGTCATTTCACCTGTGTGTGTATGTGTGTGCTCCTCCCTCTGGTGGCAGGATAGGGAATTACAGGCGAAAAGCATGTTTTACTCCTACACTCTCTCTCTAGTCTCTTTCTGTTCTCTCTTTCTGGACTCTCTCCGGTTTCTGGTCTCTTTTTTGTTTCTATCTGGTCTCTCGCTCTAGTCTTTCTCTGCTCTGCTCTCTCTCCAGTCTCTCTCTTTCTAGTCTCTCTGCTCTTTCTCCAGGCACTGTCTGTTCTCTCTCTCTGCTCTCTCTAGTCTCTCTCTTTGCTCTCTCTCTCTCCCTGCTCTCTCTCTAGTCTCTCTCTGCTCTCTCTCTCTCTCTCTGGTCTCTCTCTTTGCTCTCTCTGCTCTCTCACCAGTCTCTCTCTCTGCTCTCTCTCTGGTCTCTCTCTCTAGTCTCTCTCTCTCTCTTTGCTCTCTCTCAGTCTCTCTCTCTGCTCTCTCTCTCTCTCTCTCTCTCTGCTCTCTCTCTCTCTCTCTGGTCTCTCTCTCTGCTCTCTCTCTCTGCTCTCTCTCCAGTCTCTCTCTTTGCTCTCTCTCTCTCTCTGCTCTCTCTCCAGTCTCTCTCTTTGCTCTCTCTCTCTCTCTGGTCTCTCTCTCTTGTCTCTCTCTGCTCTCTCTCCAGTCTCTCTTTGCTCTCTCTCTCTCTCTCTCTCTCTCTCTCTGGTCTCTCTCTCTTGTCTCTCTCTGCTCTCTCTCCAGTCTCTCTCTGGTCTCTCTACCCCAGCTTTAAAGTTATCTTAAAGAGGACTATAGGAGTCATTTTAGATGAAGGTCATTACGCTCAGCCCTGTTTCCCCTTTTCCCACTGAGAGCTCATCTCTGGACGCTCCATCGCACCTTCCTCCTCCTCCTCCAATCACACGCCTGCACTCCTCCACCCTGCTCTGTGATTGGCCGGACAGTGGGGGGCTTCTCACACCGTGCATCATGTTACTGTCATACACAGTCAGCCCTGAAACGTCTGTATGTGTCTCTCCCTCTGTGTGTGTGTGTCTGTGTGTTTCTGTGTATGAGCGTGTGTGTGTGTGTGTGTGTGTATGGATGTGTGTGTGAATGTGTGTGTATGTTTGTGTGTGTGTGTTTCTGTGTATGAGTGTGTGTGTGTGTGTTTGTGTCTCTGTGTGTTTGTGTCTCTGTGTGTGTGTCACTGTGTGTGCGTGTGTCTGTGTTTGTGTGTGTGTGTGTGTGTGTGTGTGTGTGTGTGTGCATATGTGTGTGTGTGTCTCTGTGTGTTTCTGTGTGTTTGTGTTTCTGTGTATGTGTGTGTGTGTGTGTGCCTCTGTGTGTGTGTATTTCTGTGTATGTGTGTGTGCATATGTGTGTGTGTGTGTTTGTGTGTATGTGTGTGTGTGTCTCTGTGTGTGTGCGTTAAGTTTCTGTGCGACGCCTGTGTTTGTTTTATTGATGAAAAGCTGCGTTCAGGGACTTTGGGAAAACATTACTTCAGCTCTATTTCCCCCACACACTCAGACACACACACTGTTGCTCACACACGTACACACATAAACGCACACTCTTACTCATACCGCTCTGAGGAAACAGCTGCATGTAAACGAGGGCCGCCTTCAGACCATTTTACTGTGGCGGTAAAGCTGAAAAACACTAGCATACTTCACGTCTTCAGCTTTTCAGAGAATCAAAAACAGTCTACACCAGGGGAAGGCAATCCTTTTCTTCTGCGGGCCACTTTGAGGTATCGCCCTGTTTTTATAAGGTTCTTTTTTTTATTTATTTTTTTACCAGAAATGTATTTCAATGTATCACTAATAAATGTCGGAGTTCCTTAAATAGAACATAATAATAATAATGTTCCCAGGTCTGGTCTAATCGCTCTGTTCCTGTTGTGATGCGTCCTTACTCTATGACATCATGCGTTCGGTGAAATGACGTCATTAACGACTGTTTTTGTCGTTGATTTGATTCAGAAAATAAAAATACACAAAATAGAATATCTTGCGAAGTGGGAATTATGCTCTCATCGCTCTCTCTTTCTACTCTCTTTTTGCTCTCTCTCTCACTCTAGTCTCTCTCTCTCTGCTCTCTCTCTCTCTAGTCTCTCTCTCTCTCTGCTCTCTCTCTCTCTAGTCTCTCTGCTCTCTCTCTCTGCTCTCTCTAGTCTCTCTCTCTCTCTGCTCTCTCTCTCTCTAGTCTCTCTGCTCTCTCTCTCTCTCTCTCTGCTCTCTCTAGTCTCTCTCTGCTCTCTCTCTCTCTCTCTCTCTCTCTGCTCTCTCTCTGCTCTCTCTGCTCTCTCTCTCTCTCTCTCTCTGCTCTCTCTAGTCTCTCTCTCTCACTCACTCTCTCTGCTCTCTCTCTGCTCTCTCTGCTCTCTCTATCTCTCTCTGCCTTCTTTCTGCTCTCTCTTTCTGCCCTCTCTCTCTCTCTCTCTCTCTCTCTGCTCTCTCTGCTCTCTCTCTCTCTTTCTCTCTCTCTCCCTCTCTCTCTGCTCTCTGTCTGCTCTCTCTCTCTGCTCTCTCTAGTCTCTCTGCTCTCTCTAGTCTCTCTGCTCTCTCTCTCTCTCTCTCTCTCTCTGCTCTCTCTAGTCTCTCTGCTCTCTCTCTCTCTCTCTGCTCTCTCTAGTCTCTCTGCTCTCTCTCTCTCTCTCTCTCTCTCCCTCTCTCTCTGCTCTCTGTCTGCTCTCTCTCTAGTCTCTCTCTGCTCTCTCTCTCTCTCTCTCTCTCTCTGCTCTCTCTCTCTGGTCTCTCTCTGCTCTCTCTCTCTCTGTCTGCTCTCTCTGTAGTCTCTCTGCTCTTTCTTCGCTCTCTCTCTGCTCTCTCTTTACTCTCTCTCTGCTCTCTCTCCTCTTTCTCTGCTCTCACTAGTCTCTCTCTCTGCTCATTCTTCGCTCTCTCTCTGCTCTCTTTCTGCTCTCTCTCTCTGATCTCTCTTTACTCTCTCTGCTTTCTCTCTGCTCTCTCTCTTCTCTCTGGTCTCTCGCACTGCTCTCTCTCTCTTGTCTCTCACACTGCTCTCTCTCTCTCTCTTCTCTCTCCTCTCTCAGACCCTCACGCCTCTCCTCTCTCCCACAGAGCTCTCTTCGACCTGGACCCCGAGGAGCCGGACCCCAGTGCACCGGGGCAGATCCTCCCCTTCCACTTCGGGGACATCCTCCACGTGAGCAGCGCCGCGGAGGACGAGTGGTGGTCCGCACGCCACCTCAGCCCCCCCCCGGACTGTCCCGAGGTGGGGGTCATCCCCAGCCGCCGCAGGTCCGTCCCAATGCAGACCCACTACTCTGTGAAATAATTGGAATTTTATTGTTTTTATTTAATTTTAATTGCTTTTATTTTATACTTGTTCTGGTCTCTCTCTGGTCTCTCTCTGGTCTCTCTGCTCTCTCTCTGCTCTTTCTGGTCTCTCTGCTCTTTCTGGTCTCTCTCCGGTCTTTCTGGTCTCTCTGCTCTTTCTGGTCTCTCTCCGGTCTTTCTGGTCTCTCTCCGGTCTGTCTAGTCTCTCTGCTTTCTCTGCTCTTTCTGGTCTCTCTCCGGCCTTTCTGGTCGCTCTGGTCCCTCTCTAGTCTCCCTCTGCTCTCTCTCTCTGCTCTCTCTCTACTGTCTTTCTGCTCTCTCTTTGGTCTCTCTCTCTCTGCTCTGTCTCTGCTCTCTCTTTACTCTCTCTTTCTGCTCTCTCTCTGCTCTCTCTCCTCTCTCTGCTCTCCTCTCTCTCTGTTCTCTCGACTCTCTCTCTACTCTCTCTCTCTGCTCTCTCTGCTCTCTCTCCTCTCTCTGCTCTCCTCTCTCTCTGTTCTCTCGACTCTCTCTCCACTCTCTCTCTCTGCTCTCTCTGCTCTCTCCTTCTCTCTGCTCTCTCTACTCTCTCTCTCCTCTCTCTCTGTTCTCTCGACTCTCTCTCCACTCTCTCTCTCTGCTCTCTCTGCTCTCTCTCCTTCTCTCTGCTCTCTCTACTCTCTCTCTCCTCTCTCTCTGCTCTCTCTCTTTCTCTCTCTACTCGCTCTCTAGCCAAAATACATGCATGTGAAGAGTTCTATCGTTGTGGTCTGAAAGTTACAGTCCCCAGCTTTAATCTGTGGTTATTATGGAAGTCTGTGGAGGATTACAGTGTGGTGTAGATTACAGCTGCTTCAGATCCGCGTCGCATATATTTGCATTTATGAGGCACATTTTCCCGGGTTTCACCTCAGCATCAAACACTGAGAGAGACATATCTGGGACTTACACATTTTTAAGCAGGAAATCAAAGTGTTTAATGTTTGATCAATGCTACAATGACTGTCATGGAGCTTATAGATTGAGCTCTTTGTTAGCATTGTCCATCTGTATACAGCCTGTGTTAGCATTGTCCATCTGTATACAGTCAGTGTTAGCATTGTCCATCTGTATACAGTCTCTGGTTCAAACTATAATTCATCAAGTTGTTTATAGATTAATGATTGGTTTGATGCTGTTCCCAGAGCGGAGAAAAAGGAGCGGTCGCGACTGAAGCCGGTCCGAGTGATCAAGACGGACCAGCGATCGGTGAGTGAGCTTCATGTTATCATTATCACACTGACCCAGACCAAAGCAGAGGATTCACGCTACAAACCAAGCAGACCAAGGAATAAAATGCTAATAAAGCATTCAGCGTTTTACTCTGGACTTCTGCTGCTCTGTGACCTACTGTACTGTTGTTCTGCTCCTGCATCTCTCCTTTAGAGTATCTCTGTCTCTTAAGCCTAGTGTATACTTGCGCGGCGTGGCTTACGTTAGCGGTTGCGGTGGACCTACGTAAGCACAATTGATGTTATACTGGCGCGTTCCCCTTACGGAGTTTTGAGGAGAATGTTGTAATCCCACAACAAACCACATGAGGGCGATCACACAGGAGCGGTCCCATTTACGCTGCTACTTTGTCCTCTTCAGAACAACAATAACAAACAAAGCTGTTTGAGCTCATTACACGTGTTTCTACTGTAGGTTTATGTGATAGTTTTATGGATTCAGTATTTTATAAGTCATTTCAACTGTGATGCTGTGAATAAAGACACAGTTCTTGTTGGAAACATGGTTATTATTAAATAGTTTTCAGCACAAACAGCAAAACAATAATAGTGGTAAATATCTGAGACAAACATGAACGATTTACGAGTGCAGGAGGAAAGCAACAAACGCAGCTACGATTCAAACAAAGACAGGAACAGTTTATAAGTTATATATATGTTAGATATAAGTTATATATATGTTAGATATAAGTTATATATATGTTAGATATAAGTTATATATATGTTAGATATAAGTTATATATATGTTAGATATAAGTTATATATATGTTAGATATAAGTTATATATATGTTAGATAGTCCACAGTCTCCTGTATATCAGGCTCTGAGCCCAAACTGCTTTTCCTTCGAAGCACAAAGCTCTCTGCTCCATAGTGCCTCCTCCATGCTCCTGCTGCAGCCGCTCCGTGCTTCCTTCCAATACACACACACGGACCAATCACAGCGGAGCTTCCTTGCGGCGACCGATGAAAATTTCGATGCTGCGCGGCAGGCGACGTAAGGGCCTTGCGGTGACCAACGCGTTGCGCAAGTGACGTCACGTCACCTCCGTAAGCTCCGCGCCGCGCGAGTATAAACTAGGCTTTAGGCCCTGTTTATACTGAGACGCTGCGCAGACGTTTCCAGGCTATTAACAGAAACGACCAGGCTCCTAATGCAAATTTCTCAGCGTTCACATGAGGTTGAAAAACGATGTAGTTCTAGCGCCCGGCCAGTAGTGGGCAGAGAAACTTTACAACACTCACACGACCCCGAGCCCCGTGCCCAGCCCCCCCCCCCCCCCTCTCGGCAGTATACTCACTTCCTGTGCCAGACCCTCAGAACGCACCAACATCATTCTGCATTTTAACAGCAGCTGTGAAAATGGGAACTGAACCTAGAGCTTCGCGTGGTCTCGTTTGGACGAACGAAGGAGTAGAATTATCCTCTGTGCCGCGCTGGAAGCACACGTAGCTAGTTAGTGCGACCGCCGCCATTGTTGTTTATGTTTGTTCTCCGCTACTGCGCATGTCCAAATTTACGTGCGGGGAGCAGCGGGCAGTGTCTCTAACTGTCTCTAAGTGTCTCTAAGTGTCTCTAACTGTCTCTAACTGTCTCTAAGTGTCTCTAACTGTCTCTAACTGTCTCTGTCTCTAACTGTCTCTAAGTGTCTCTAACTGTCTCTAACTGTCTCTAACTGTCTCTGTCTCTAAGTGTCTCTAACTGTCTCTAACTGTCTCTGTCTCTAAGTGTCTCTAACTGTCTCTAACTGTCTCTGTCTCTAAGTGTCTCTAAGTGTCTCTAAGTGTCTCCAACTGTCTCCAACTGTCTCTAACTGTCTCTAAGTGTCTCTAAGTGTCTCTAAGTGTCTCTAACTGTCTCTAACTGTCTCTAAGTGTCTCTAACTGTCTCTAAGTGTCTCTAAGTGTCTCTAACTGTCTCTAACTATCTCTAACTGTCTAAGTGTCTCTAACTGTCTCTAACTGTCTCTAACTGTAGCTAACTGTCTCTGTCTCTAAGTGTCTCTAACTGTCTCTAACTGTCTCTAACTGTCTCTAAGTGTCTCTAAGTGTCTCTAACTGTCTCTAAGTGTCTCTAAGCGTCTCTAAGTGTCTCTAACTGTCTCTAACTGTCTCTAACTGTCTCTAACTGTCTCTAACTGTCTCTAAGTGTCTCTAAGTGTCTCTAACTGTCTCTAAGTGTCTCTAACTGTCTCTAACTGTCTCTAAGTGTCTCTAACTGTCTCTAACTGTCTCTAAGTGTCTCTAAGTGTCTCTAACTGTCTCTAACTGTCTCTGTCTCTAAGTGTCTCTAACTGTCTCTAACTGTCTCTGTCTCTAAGTGTCTCTAACTGTCTCTAAGTGTCTCTAACTGTCTCTAACTGTCTCTAACTGTCTCTAACTGTCTCTGTCTCTAACTGTCTCTAACTGTCTCTAACTGTCTCTAACTGTCTCTAACTGTCTCTGTCTCTAAGTGTCTCTAAGTGTCTCCAACTGTCTCTAAGTGTATCTAAGTGTCTTTAACTGTCTCTAAGTGTCTCTAACTGTCTCTAACTGTCTCTAACTGTCTCTAAGTGTCTCTAACTGTCTCTAAGTGTCTCTAACTGTCTCTAAGTGTCTCTAACTGTCTCTAACTGTCTCTAACTGTCTCTAACTGTCTCTAACTGTCTCTAACTGTAGCTAACTGTCTCTAACTGTCTCTGTCTCTAAGTGTTTCTAACTGTCTCTAAGTGTCTCTAACTGTCTCTAACTGTCTAACTGTTTGTGTCTCTAAGTGTCTCTAAGCGTCTCTAAGTGTCTCTAACTGTCTCTAACTGTCTCTAACTGTCTCTAACTGTCTCTAAGTGTCTCTAAGTGTCTCTAAGTGTCTAACTGTCTCTAACTGTCTCTAAGTGTCTCTAAGTGTCTCTTAGTGTCTAAGTGTCTCTAACTGTCTCTAAGTGTCTCTAAGTGTCTCTAACTGTCTCTAAGTGTCTCTAACTGTCTCTAAGTGTCTCTAAGTGTCTCTAACTGTCTCTAAGTGTCTCTAAGTGTCTCTAACTGTCTCTAATTGTCTCTGTCTCTAAGTGTCTCTAACTGTCTCTAAGTGTCTCTGTCTCTAAGTGTCTCTAAGTGTCTCTAAGTGTCTCTAACTGTCTCTGTCTCTAAGTGTCTCTAAGTGTCTCTAACTGTCTCTAACTGTCTCTGTCTCTAAGTGTCTCTAAGTGTCTCTAAGTGTCTCCAACTGTCTCTAAGTGTATCTAAGTGTCTCTAACTGTCTCTAACTGTCTCTAAGTGTCTCTAAGTGTCTCTAAGTGTATCTAAGTGTCTCTAACTGTCTCTAACTGTCTCTAAGTGTCTCTAAGTGTCTCTAAGTGTCTCTAAGTGTCTCTAACTGTCTCTAACTGTCTCTAAGTGTCTCTAACTGTCTCTAAGTGTCTCTAACTGTCTCTAACTGTCTCTGTCTCTAAGTGTCTCTAACTGTCTCTAACTGTCTCTAAGTGTCTCCAACTGTCTCTAACTGTCTCTAAGTGTCTCTAAGTGTCTCTGTCTCTAAGTGTCTCTAAGTGTCTCTAACTGTCTCTAAGTGTCTCTAAGTGTCTCTAAGTGTCTCTAACTGTCTCTAAGTGTCGCTAACTGTCTCTAACTGTCTCTAAGTGTCTCTAAGTGTCTCTAAGTGTCTCTAAGTGTCTCTAAGTGTCTCTAAGTGTCTCTAACTGTCTCTAACTGTCTCTGTCTCTAAGTGTCTCTAAGTGTCTCTAACTGTCTCTAACTGTCTCTAAGTGTCTCTAAGTGTCTCTAAGTGTCTCTAACTGTCTCTAAGTGTCTCTAACTGTCTCTAAGTGTCTCTAAGTGTCTCTAACTGTCTCTAAGTGTCTCTAACTGTCTCTAAGTGTCTCTAACTGTCTCTAAGTGTCTCTAAGTGTCTCTAACTGTCTCTAACTGTCTCTAAGTGTCTCTAAGTGTCTCTAAGTGTATCTAACTGTCTCTAAGTGTCTCTAAGTGTCTCTAACTGTCTCTAACTGTCTCTAAGTGTCTCTAAGTGTCTCTAAGTGTCTCTAAGTGTCTCTAAGTGTCTCTAAGTGTATCTAACTGTCTCTAAGTGTCTCTAACTGTAGTAACATGGATCCTTGTTTTCTGTTTCAGGACCAGGAGGACAGAGGTCAGTGTTCGTTCATGTTTCAGTTGTTCCTGTATAAAGACGTCTCATGAACCTTTCTTGTTCAGTATCGCGTACACTATTAATTCAATAAAGTAGAACAAAGTAACAGTGTATTTAATTAAATAATTATCTGTTTCTCTGTAGTGTAAAAAGTTTCTCAGAGCTTAAATCTGACGTTTATTTTACTCTATTATGTCTACATTGCGATATGTTAAGAATCACAATAATATTGAATTATGGCCCAAATACCACAATACTATCAAATCCTCACAGTTAGTGCAGTTTCCACGTGAGACTTAAAACGACCGGACCGGACCAAGACAGCAGTCCAACCTGAGTCGGAGACCGGACCGAGACTGCAGTCCAGCCTGAGCCAGAGACCACAGCCCAGGATGTTCAGTGACACCAGCGTAAGCATTAAATTTATCTTAATGCTTGGTCCAAAAAAAATAAAAAACAAATTACCAGCATCTCTTACCCAGTAGTTGTTGTCGCCATGGAGACTAGAACCAGGTGTAAACTCGAGCAGAAAGGTTCCATGGTGCGTCTTTACCAGTATCTGTGTGTGTGTGTGGTCCTTCCTTGGTATATATGTCTCTGTATACATGTCTCAGTTTGTGTCTGTATACATGTCTCAGTATGTGTCTGTATACATGTCTCAGTTTGTGTCTGTATACATGTCTCAGTTTGTGTCTGTATACATGTCTCAGTTTGTGTCTGTATACATGTCTCAGTTTGTGTCTGTATACATGTCTCAGTTTGTGTCTGTATACATGTCTCAGTATGTGTCTGTATACATGTCTCAGTATGTGTCTGTATACATGTCTCAGTTTCTGTCTGTATACATGTCTCAGTATGTGTCTGTATACATGTCTCAGTATATATGTGTATGTGTACATGTCTCAGTATGTGTCTGTGTACATGTCTCAGTATATATGTGTCTGTGTACATGTCTCAGTATGTGTCTGTGTACATGTCTCAGTATGTGTCTGTATACATGTCTCAGTATATATGTGTATGTATACATGTCTCAGTATGTGTCTGTATACATGTCTCAGTATGTGTATGTATACATGTCTCCGTATGTGCCTGTATCAGTATGTGTCTGTATACATGTCTCAGTATATATGTGTCTGTATACATGTCTCAGTATGTGTCTGTATACATGTCTCAGTATATATGTGTCTGTATACATGTCTCAGTATGTGTCTGTATACATGTCTCAGTATGTGTCTGTATACATGTGTCTCAGTATATATGTGTCTGTATACATGTGTCTCAGTATATATGTGTCTGTATACATGTGTCTCAGTATATATGTGTCTGTATACATGTGTCTCAGTATATATGTGTCTGTATACATGTGTCTCAGTATATATGTGTCTGTATACATGTGTCTCAGTATATATGTGTCTGTATACATGTCTCAGTATGTGTCTGTATACATGTCTCAGTATGTGCCTGTATCAGTATGTGTCTGTGTACATGTCTCAGTATGTGTCTGTGTACATGTCTCAGTATGTGTCTGTATACATGTCTCAGTATATATGTGTCTGTGTACATGTCTCAGTATGTGTCTGTGTACATGTCTCAGTATGTGTCTGTATACATGTCTCAGTATGTGTCTGTATACATGTCTCAGTATATATGTGTATGTATACATGTCTCAGTATGTGTCTGTATACATGTCTCAGTATGTGTATGTATACATGTCTCCGTATGTGTCTGTATACATGTCTCAGTCTACATGTGTCTGTATACATGTGTCTCAGTATATATGTGTCTGTGTACATGTCTCAGTATGTGTCTGTATACATGTCTCAGTATGTGTCTGTGTACATGTCTCAGTATGTGTCTGTATACATGTCTCAGTATGTGTATGTATACATGTCTCAGTATGTGTCTGTATACATGTCTCAGTCTACATGTGTCTGTATACATGTGTCTCAGTATATATGTGTCTGTATACATGTCTCAGTCTACATGTGTCTGTCCCCCCAGAGCTGGTCACCTCAGGCACCAGCGATAGTGGCAGTAGCTCCTGTAAGTGTCTGTCTGTGCTGCTCTCTTCTCTTCTTCAGACTCAAAGACTTGATGTTGTTTCTGTCTCGTTCAGGTCCAGACGAGTCCTTGCTCACGTACCAGCCCGTCACTCAACAGGAAGGTGAGGGTCCACCCAGGTAGACCTAGGACTGAGGCTGTAGACCCAGGACTGAGGCTGTAGATCCAGGACTGAGGCTGTAGACCCAGGACTGAGGCTGTAGACCCAGGACTGAGGCTGTAGATCCAGGACTGAGGCTGTAGACCCAGGACTGAGGCTGTAGACCCAGGACTGAGGCTGTAGATCCAGGACTGAGGCTGTAGATCCGGGACTGAGGCTGTAGATCCAGGACTGAGGCTGTAGATCCAGGACTGAGGCTGTAGACCCGGGACTGAGGCTGTAGACCCAGGACTGAGGCTGTAGATCCGGGACTGAGGCTGTAGACCCAGGACTGAGGCTGTAGACCCAGGACTGAGGCTGTAGATCCGGGACTGAGGCTGTAGATCCGGGACTGAGGCTGTAGACCCAGGACTGAGGCTGTAGACCCAGGACTGAGGCTGTAGACCCAGGACTGAGGCTGTAGACCCAGGACTGAGGCTGTAGACCCAGGACTGAGGCTGTAGATCCAGGACTGGGGCTGTAGATCCAGGACTGAGGCTGTAGACCCAGGACTGGGGCTGTAGATCCAGGACTGAGGCTGTAGACCCAGGACTGAGACTGTAGACCCAGGACTGGGGCTGTAGATCCAGGACTGAGGCTGTAGATCCGGGACTGAGGCTGTAGACCCAGGACTGAGGCTGTAGACCCAGGACTGGGGCTGTAGATCCAGGACTGAGGCTGTAGATCCGGGACTGAGGCTGTAGATCCGGGACTGAGGCTGTAGACCCAAAACTGAGAGAGCGAGAGACCAGAAATAGATTAGAGAGAGATCAGAAAAAGACCCCAGCGACCAGAGAGAGATCAGAGGGAGCAGAGACCAGAGAGAGAGACCAAGGACCAGAGAGAGACCAGAGCTTTGTGTGACACTGACCACAGGGGGCGCTGTAGAGACGGGTTCATGCTAACTGGTGTTTCTCTGGTGTTTCCAGTGAACTACACGCGGCCGGTGATCATCCTGGGGCTCATGAAAGACCGTGTGAACGACGACCTCATCTCAGAGTTCCCCGACAAGTTCGGCTCCTGCGTCCCACGTGAGTCTCATCATCCAAATATGTAACGGGATGTTTCTGACGATACCTGAGAGGGACCAGAGAGAGAGAGACCAGAGAGAGACTAAAGAAAGACCAGAGAGAGAGAGACCAGAGAGAGACTAAAGAAAGACCAGAGAGAGAGAGACCAGAGAGAGACTAAAGAAAGACCAGAGAGAGAGAGACCAGAGAGAGACTAAAGAGAGACCAGAGAGAGACTAAAGAGAGACCAGAGAGAGAGACCAGAGAGAGACTAAAGAGAGACCAGAGAGAGAAAGACCAGAGAGAGACTAAAGAGAGACCAGAGAGAGAGAGACCAGAGTGAGACTAAAGAGAGACCAGAGAGAGAGACCAGAGAGAGACTAACGAGAGACCAGAGAGAGAAAGACCAGAGAGAGACTAAAGAGAGACCAGAGAGAGAGAGACCAGAGTGAGACTAAAGAGAGGCCAGAGAGAGACTAAAGAGAGACCAGAGAGAGATTAAAGAGAGACCAGAGAGAGACTAAAGAGAGACCAGAGAGAGACTAAAGAGAGACCAGAGAGAGACTAAAAAGAGACAAGAGAGAGACTAAAGAGAGACAAGAGAGAGACTAAAGAGAGACCAGAGAGAGACTAAAGAGAGACCAGAGAGAGACTAAAGAGAGACCAGAGAGAGACTAAAAAGAGACAAGAGAGAGACTAAAGAGAGACCAGAGAAAGATCAGATAGAGAAAAATCAAGAGACATTTTCACCATTCATGTGACGTTTTGTTGATTTTTTTTGTCTCTTTTGCGTGTGTGTGTGTCTGTGTCTGTGTGTGTGCGCAGACACCACGCGGCCGCGGCGTGAGTACGAGGTGGACTCTCGGGACTATCACTTCATGGCGTCTCGAGAACTGATGGAGCGAGAGATCCAGGAACACAAGTTCATCGAGGCCGGACAATACAACAACCACCTGTACGGGACGAGTGTGCAGTCAGTGCGGCAGGTGGCAGAGAAGGTACACACACAGACACACACACAGACACACACATATACACACACACACACATATACTGTATATACACACACACATATACTGTATATACACACACACATATACTGTATACACACACACACACACACACACACATACACACACATATACTGTATACACACACACACACACACATACACACACATATACTGTATACACACACATACACACACACACACACATATACTGTATATACACACACACACACACACACACACACACACACACACACACACACACACATGTACTGTACACACACACACATATACTGTATACACACACACACACACATATACTGTACACACACACACATATACATATACTGTACACACACACACATATACTGTACACACACACACATATACTGTACACACACACACACACACACATATACTGTACACACACACACACATATACATACACTGTACACATATACACACACACATCCAGAGCTGGGCAAAGTGTGGCCTGGGGGCCACATGTGTCCTTATTCATGTTTCTTTGTGGCCCCTATAAATACTTGTATTTATTAAATACTCGCATTTTTGCAAAAACAATTTCCAGAACTAGCTTCCACTCAAACATGTCGTTCCATATTTAATTAAATAGTAATTACATTTATTTTAATATGGAATGTTATACAATGTGGCCCCCAGAGAAAATAATTGTCCTCCACTGGTCTGAATCACACCTGGTTGTGTGTGTTATTGAGGACTATGGTCTGAATCACACCTGGTTGTGTGTGTTAATGAGGACTATGGTCTGAATCACACCTGGTTGTGTGTGTTATTGATGACTATGGTCTGAATCACACCTGGTTGTGTGTGTTATTGAGGACTATGGTCTGAATCACACCTGGTTGTGTGTGTTAATGAGGACTATGGTCTGAATCACACCTGGTTGTGTGTGTTAATGAGGACTATGGTCTGAATCACACCTGGTTGTGTGTGTTAATGAGGACTATGGTCTGAATCACACCTGGTTGTGTGTGTTATTGAGGACTATGGTCTGAATCACACCTGGTTGTGTGTGTTAATGAGGACTATGGTCTGAATCACACCTGGTTGTGTGTGTTATTGATGACTATGGTCTGAATCACACCTGGTTGTGTGTGTTATTGAGGACTATGGTCTGAATCACACCTGGTTGTGTGTGTTAATGAGGACTATGGTCTGAATCACACCTGGTTGTGTGTGTTAATGAGGACTATGGTCTGAATCACACCTGGTTGTGTGTGTTAATGAGGACTATGGTCTGAATCACACCTGGTTGTGTGTGTTAATGAGGACTATGGTCTGAATCACACCTGGTTGTGTGTGTTAATGAGGACTATGGTCCGAATCACACCTGGTTGTGTGTGTTATTGAGGACTATGGTCTGAATCACACCTGGTTGTAGGGCTGAAACAACTAATCGATTAATCGACGACTAAACGATTATTGAAATAGTCGACAACTATTTTAGTAATCGATTAATCGTTTTCTGGTTCACACGGACTCAAACAGAGCAAAAATGAGTATTTTTGATTAAAACCGATTTTGTTTTTATAATTTCATGAATATCTGTCTCATCCAATCAGAGCAGAATTAGCACAAAGAGCCTGTTACAAACATTTACTTTAAGTTTACGCCATCAATACGTCCTCGAGTGTTGCCACTTTAGCTTTTTGGGATGACAAACAAATTTTTTTCTACACAATTCACAGCCAAGCGATTACTCGATTAATCGTAAAAATAATCGATAAATTAATCGATTACAAAATAATTGTTAGTTGCAGCTCTACCTGGTTGTGTGTGTTTTTGAGGACTATGGTCTGAATCACACCTGGTTGTGTGTGTTTTTGAGGACTATGGTCTGAATCACACCTGGTTGTGTGTGTTTTTGAGGACTATGGTCTGAATCACACCTGGTTGTGTGTGTTAATGAGGACTATGGTCTGAATCACACCTGGTTGTGTGTGTTTTTGAGGACTATGGTCTGAATCACACCTGGTTGTGTGTGTTTTTGAGGACTATGGTCTGAATCACACCTGGTTGTGTGTGTTTCAGGGAAAACACTGCATCCTGGACGTCTCAGGGAACGCCATCAAGAGACTGCAGCTCGCTGGACTTCACCCCATCGCCATCCTCATCAAACCACTCAGCCTCGACAACATCCTGTAAGACACACACACACACACGCACACACACCTATTAGTGTCTCTATATTCTTCTGCTTTGTTTACGTTGTCATGGAGACGTGAGGCCAATGTCCGGGTCATATGATCGGTCGCTGCCTCGTCAGCAGCAGCTGTGTGTGCGTTTGGAACATAGACTGTAAATATTAACGGACGTAGTCAGGCCTATCTGTGCCGTTCTAACTAATGGGCCAAAATTTGGCCTTTCATGGAGTGATTCAAAATGGCTGCAGGGGCTGGAAAATGTGAAAAAACGCATCTGTGCATGCGTCAGCTGCACGAGCCCCATTCATTTAAACAATTCACAGCGACTAAACTAGAGTTGTCCAGAACACCCCCTCAGCATTGACACACATGTGGAACAGAGCTTTGGGCCAAGAGACAACTTTTGGACCATCCTGTAAAGACGTTTTCCAGAGGTCAGCTAATGCTATATGTTAGCATTGGCTAATTCTTATTCCGGGTCCACCCCCACAGGCCCGGGGTGGTATTGCAGCATGTCTTTTGAGCCGGGACCCGCCCCCACTGGTTTGGATTCACACCTCGTGGTTTGGATGTGGTTTTTTATTATGTTCTCATGACGCACACACACAAGATAAGATCACACAGGCACGCAAGCACACATACACAAACACGCTCTAACACACACGCACTCACACACACGCACAAACGCACGTACACAAACGCACGTACACACACAGAAGATAAGATCAGCTTTCTCATATCAGAATGGAGAAATGTGTCTTCACCACAGACATAAAAAGCTACAGGACAACACACACATAAAAACACACACACACACACGGCGGACTAACAAGCTAAGGCCTCAGATGTGGACTCTTCTAACAAGCTAAGGGCTCTTGTTCAGTCGCATCATAGATTGTAAATATTAACAGATGTAGTGAGGAAAGAGAGGAAAGAATGAAGCATTAAAAGGCACTGGATAATTCTGTTTCCGGGTACACCCCCACTGGCAAGGTGTAAGATTACAGACCTATCAGTGTGTGTGCTCATGGACCCTTCTGACTGAGATCCGTCAGCACTGGGCTGTGTGCTAGCTCTTGGCTCTGCTAACAAGCTAACGTCTTTTTTGCAGCCGTATGCTAGCTTGTTTTGTAGTTTATAAAGTTTTCGTTCTTCTCATGATTTGTATTTTTTCACAGAGAGATGAACCCGCGCCTCACGGAGGAGCAGGCGCGCAAGATCTTTGACCGAGCCGTGAAACTGGAGCTGGAGTTCACCGAGTACTTCACCGGTCAGTTCATATGAGCCAAAATGCCCTGTTCATCTGAGCCAAAATGTCCTGTTCATCTGAGCCAAAATGCCCTGTTCATCTGAGCCTAAATACCCTGTTCATCTGAGCCAAAATGTCCTGTTCATCTGAGCCTAAATACCCTGTTCATCTGAGCCAAAATGCCCTGTTCATCTGAGCCAAAATGTCCTGTTCATCTGAGCCAAAATGCCCTGTTCATCTGAGCCTAAATACCCTGTTCATCTGAGCCAAAATGTCCTGTTCATCTGAGCCTAAATACCCTGTTCATCTGAGCCAAAATTCCCTGTTCATCTGAGCCAAAATGCCCTGTTCATCTGAGCCAAAATGCCCTGTTCATCTGAGCCAAAATGTCCTGTTCATCTGAGCCAAAATGCCCTGTTCATCTGAGCCAAAATGTCCTGTTCATCTGAGCCAAAATGTCCTGTTCATCTGAGCCAAAATGTCCTGTTCATCTGAGCCAAAATGTCCTGTACAGCTGAGCCTAAATGCCCTGTTCATCTGAGCCAAAATGTCCTGTTCATCTGAGCCAAAATGCCCTGTTCATCTGAGCCAAAATGTCCTGTTCATCTGAGCCAAAATGCCCTGTTCATCTGAGCCAAAATGTCCTGTTCATCTGAGCCAAAATGCCCTGTTCATCTGAGCCAAAATACCCTGTTCATCTGAGCCAAAATGTCCTGTTCATCTGAGCCAAAATGTCCTGTTCATCTGAGCCTAAATACCCTGTTCATCTGAGCCAAAATGTCCTGTTCATCTGAGCCAAAATGTCCTGTTCATCTGAGCCAAAATGTCCTGTTCATCTGAGCCAAAATGTCCTGTTCATCTGAGCCAAAATGTCCTGTTCATCTGAGCCTAAATACCCTGTTCATCTGAGCCAAAATTCCCTGTTCATCTGAGCCAAAATGCCCTGTTCATCTGAGCCAAAATGCCCTGTTCATCTGAGCCAAAATGTCCTGTTCATCTGAGCCAAAATGCCCTGTTCATCTGAGCCAAAATGTCCTGTTCATCTGAGCCAAAATGTCCTGTTCATCTGAGCCAAAATGTCCTGTTCATCTGAGCCAAAATGTCCTGTACAGCTGAGCCTAAATGCCCTGTTCATCTGAGCCAAAATGTCCTGTTCATCTGAGCCAAAATGCCCTGTTCATCTGAGCCAAAATGTCCTGTTCATCTGAGCCAAAATGCCCTGTTCATCTGAGCCAAAATGTCCTGTTCATCTGAGCCAAAATGCCCTGTTCATCTGAGCCAAAATACCCTGTTCATCTGAGCCAAAATGTCCTGTTCATCTGAGCCAAAATGTCCTGTTCATCTGAGCCTAAATACCCTGTTCATCTGAGCCAAAATGTCCTGTTCATCTGAGCCAAAATGTCCTGTTCATCTGAGCCAAAATGTCCTGTTCATCTGAGCCAAAATGTCCTGTTCATCTGAGCTAAAATACCCTGTTCATCTGAGCCAAAATGCCCTGTTCATCTGAGCCGAAATGCCCTGTTCATCTGAGCCAAAATGCCCTGTTCATCTGAGCCGAAATGCCCTGTTCATCTGAGCCGAAATGCCTTGTCCTAAGCTTCTCTTCCCCCTTGTGTGTGTCCTCAGGAGTCGTGCAGGGATCCAGTCTGGAGGAGATCTACGCACGCGTCAAACACATCATCGAGGAGCAGTCGGGGCCGTTCGTCTGGGTCCCGTCCAAAGAGCGGCTGTGAGGCGCGCAAGGAGCTAACGCGCAAGGAGCTAACGCGCAAGGAGCTAGTGCGCAATGACCAGGCACACAAAGGTCACAGCGCGCAATAACAAGGTGCGCAAGGACCAGATGCGCATGGACCAGGTGCGCATGGACCAGGTGCGCATGGACCAGGCTCGCACAGAGGTCACGGCGCACAGAAACCAGGAGCACACGGACCATGGTTGGGACACTCTGGGCTCTCGAGTACCAGCAGCCGAAGCGTGTGTGGTTTAATGCTAGGATCCCAGAATTCTGAAACTACTCGAACGCCCGGAGCAGTCATTTTGACGGCTCCCATTCAAGTTATTGGAATTATTCTTTTGCTGCTTTTATTGAATTAATTTGTACGGTTTTCGTCTTTGGTATACGCTAAAAAACTGGTTAACATCAATGAAACACAACTTAAAGATGCAGTTAGCGATTTTGTTAGCTTAGCCGTAGCACCAACTGGAAACCACTCCCCCCTCCCCCCCCCCTCCACCAAACCAAACATCCAGAATTTTATTTTCTTTGTCACAACAGGAGAGTGGAGCAAACGTGAAATTGGCATTTTCTGTTCAGACCTTTAAGGTTTTAGAAAATCCGCTAACTCCGGTGCACTCGTGAGAAACAGGAAGAGGGTGAAGGGTAAACACTCCCCATTGGTTCGTTTTTATCGATCCGCTCCAAAATACTTTATATTAATTTTTGTAGACTATAGGCATCTGGTTAATTCCATTACTATTTGAAAACACACCATGACTTGATACTTTTAGGGTTTAGGGACGTATTCCAACAATAGTTAAAAAAATGTGTCTGAAAAAAATCACTGACTGCATCTTTAAAGCTAACTGCTGCAGGTAAACTGTGTGTTGCTATGGTAACCAGCACTTGCTCCAAGCTGAATCTACTCTGAACCAGTCCAGGACCAGTCTAGGACCAGGACCAGTCCAGGACCAGTCCAGGGTTGAGATAGAAATAAACTACAGGAAAAGTGCTGAAGACCAAAAACGTACATAAGGGTTCCCAAATGAAAAGACGTCAAACTGACTGCTCCTGACAGTTCTGGTGTTAGGACGCGGTGACGGCTGTGTGCGAATGTCCACGCAACCCCCCAGCCCCCGGGCGCGAGGCCGACAGTCAAACCGACTGCAGGAGCCACAGGAGCTGCATCTCTGCCATAAACACTAATCAGAGTTTATTCATTCATATATTTTAGGATCTCTCCGTAAACATGGACAAAGAATTAGATTTTTGACTCTTTGCCTGAAATTAGAATCTATCAACGGCTCAATTTAAAGGTGCAGTAAAGGATTCAGGTTAGCTTAGCATTAGCACCGATAACTATATACTCTCTGAGGCTAGCATCTGGTCGTGTCCGTTCCTTTTTGAAAACGTGATAATAAGAACGACAGTAGCTCAGTTGGTAGAGCATTGGCCTTTAGGCCTGAAGGTTGTGGGTTCATTTCCCACCTTGACACCTTCTCCACCGACTCCCACTGATGTCTGCTGTTGTTGTGTCCTTGGGCAAGACACTTAACCCCACTATGCCCAAATGCCCCCGCTGAGAGATCATGGCTATGCTCACACTCAGAGAGCAGCCGTCCTCCTGTGGACTCACCACCTGCAGAGGGTCAGTGAGGGGCTGGTGCTATGAGACTTGGGTGGCATCTCTGACTGCCACCCCCCTGACCCAGAAATGGATTAAAGGGTAGAAAATGGATGGATGGATGGATGGATAATAAGAACTATTTTTGGGATTTAGGGACAGTGTTTTAAAAAATGACGTCTGGATAAATCATTTCCTGCATCTTTAAAGTTAGTAGTTGAGGTCGGACTCTTTACAGCTCACTTCATCTAAGCTAACTCCCGAGCTCTCAGCCCAAAGAGTCAAACATGGACTCAGAAGGGGCCTCTTTACTCGTTATCCACCACTCATAATATTTTCCATTTGAAGCTCAGGTACTTCACTTTCATTATTATTTTCTTTGTCCAGAACCGCTACAGGCTGCTTCATCCAGAAAACCTTTTACCCGAGAGAATCCTGGTCTGTCTTTGGGCTGAGAGCTGATTGGCTGAGGGAGGGTGGTCCTAAAATGCATGAAAACACCAGGAGCCAGAACCATGGGTGTTAGAGCAGACTTCGGTCTTAGTGGTCTGAAAGTTACGGACCTCGGCTTTAAAGCGGGGGCGGCGCAGACGTCCGGACGCAGCTCTCGCCGCTCTGATGTTTTGTAGTTTTTGGTTATTTTTTTCTCGCCAATGTTCTCGTGTTGTTATGGAATGCACACCGGGTTTGGGAGACTTTTGCACGCTGTAGATGTAAGAGCATGTTCTCGCCTCGGGCCGATCCCACGCCACGGTCCAAACCCTCTCTCCTCACACCCTGGTCTCTCTCACTCTCTGTGGTCTCTCTCACTCTCTGTGGTCTCTCTCTTTCTCTCACTGGTCTCTCTCTCTGGTCTCTCTCTCGGGTCTCTAACTGGTCTCTTTCTTGGGTCTCTCTCTCTGGTCTCTCTCTAGTCTCTCTCTTGGGTCTCTCTCTAGTCTCTCTCTAGTCTCTCTCTTGGGTCTCTCTCTCTGGTCTCTCTCTCGGGTCTCTCTCTTGGGTCTCTCTCTTGTCACTCTGTATCTCTGTCTGGTCTCTCTCTCTGGTCTCTCTGGTCTCTTTCTCACTCTCTCTCTGGTCTCTCTCTGGTCTCTCTCGTCTGTCTCTCTTGTCTGTCTCAGCTCTCTCTGGTCTCTCTCTCCGCTCTGTCTCTCTGGTCTCTCTCTCTCTCTCTTGTCTCTCTTGTCTCTCTTTCTCTCTCTGGTCTCTCTCTCCGCTCTGTCTCTCTGGTCTCTCTCTGCTCTCTCTCTCTCTCTGCTCTCTCTCTCTCTCTGGTCTCTCTCTCTCTCTCTGGTGTCTCTCTCTCTCTCTCTCTTGTCTCTCTTTCTCTCTCTGGTGTCTCTCTTTCTCTCTCTGGTGTCTCTCTCTCTGTCTCTGCTCTCTCTCTCTCTGGTGTCTCTCTCTCTCTCTCTCTTGTCTCTCTTTCTCTCTCTGGTGTCTCTCTCTCTGTCTCTGCTCTCTCTCTCTCTCTCTCTGGTGTCTCTCTTGTCTAACCCTTGGAGAAAAGTCGACACGGGTCCAAACGACATGCAGAGCTTTCTCACTGTTGTTGACACAGCGTTTCAAACACAGGTCTGAAAACCTCAGATTCCAAATGTCTCAAAAGCACCGACTCTGGCCCCACCCTGGACCTCCTGGACCCACTGGACCCAGGACCTCGTGGACCCTGGCCCCCGGACCCCTGTGGACCACATCAGGTCTTCTGGAAGCCTCGGCCCCAGACTGCGTCGGCGTGCTCATGTTTACATATTTAAATTAGGGGTCAATGATAGATTCTTGTGTGTGTCGTCCCCAGAATGAGAAAAACACAAACCTTACCTTTAATCACTCATTTCTCCATAGCTATCAAAACCAGCGTTGGGTCTGGACTTAGGTCTGGCTCCGGCCTGGCTCCGGCCTGGCTCCGGTCTGGGCTCTGGTCTGGATACAGATCTGGACTCAGGTCTGGGCTCAGGTCTGCGCTCAGGTCTGGATACAGATCTGGACTCAGGTCTGGGCTCAGGTCTGCGCTCAGGTCTGGGCTCAGGTCTGGATACAGATCTGGACTCAGGTCTGGGCTCAGGTCTGGACTCAGGTCTGGTCTCCGGACTGGTCTCAGGTCTGGGCTCAGGTCTGGGCTCAGGTCTGGTCTCAGGTCTAGGCTCAGGTCTGGTCTCAGGTCTAGGCTCAGGTCTAGGCTCAGGTCTGGGCTCAGGTCTGGTCTCAGGTCTGGGTTCAGGTCTGGGCTCAGGTCTGGGTTCAGGTCTCTGTCCCGTGTGTATGATAAAGGGCTTCTCTCCTCCACTCTCACATTATTGCACTGAGGACCAGATCTCAGAGTGGACTGAGCAGCTGCAAGGTCTCACCTGGGCCAAGAACAGAAACTCAACATTATAACCAAAACCGTAAAGATGAGGTACCTGACTTTCTGTTTCATAAAGACAGAAAAGAAAGTAAAATCAGACACAAAACACTGTTTTTATCTTATTAAAAAAGAACTGATTGAGTCTCTCTTTCTGGTCTCTCCCTCTCTGGTCCCTCTCTGGTCTCCCTCTGGTCTCTCTCTGGTCCCTCTCTCTCTGGTCTCTCTCTGGTCTCTCTCTGGTCTCTCTCTGGTCTCTCTCTGGTCTCTCTCTGGTCCCTCTCTCTCTGGTCTCTCTCTCTGGTCTCTCTCTCAGGTCTCTCTCTGGTCTCTCTCTAGTCTCTCTCTGGTCTCTCTCTCAGGTCTCTCTCTGGTCTCTCTCTGGTCTCTCTCTGGTCTCTAGTGACATGGGTTTTATAACTATTTCTAGTAGTTCTATGGTTTGAAAGTTCCGTACCCCAGCTTTAATATGAGACATTTAAATCATTATATTTTAAAACTATTTTCTTATAATAATGAAAAACACATTTATCAAAGTATTTTAGACTCAAAGTTTATTCCTTTAGAAAAGTTAAATATCTCGGACCAAGACTCGGGTCCAGGACATGACCTGAAATCACAGTCTCCCCCCTCTCCCTCTCTCTCTCTATCTCTCTCTCTGTCTTTGTCTCTGTCTCTCTGGTCTCTCTCTTTGTCTCTCTCTGTTTCTCTCTCCGTCTCTCTCTCTGGTCTCTCTCTCTGTCTCTCTCTCTCTGTCTCTCTCTCTGTCTCTCTCTCTCTGGTCTCTCTCTCTGTCTCTCTCTCTCTGTCTCTCTCTCTGTCTGTCTCTCTCTGGTCTCTCTCTCTGTCTCTCTCTCTCTGTCTCTCTCTCTGTCTCTCTCTCTCTGGTCTCTCCGTCTCTCTCTGGTCTCTCTCTCTGTCTCTCTCTGTTTCTCTCTCCGTCTCTCTCTCTGTCTCTCTCTCTCTGTCTCTCTGTCTCTCTCTCTCTGGTCTCTCTGTCTCTCTCTCTGGTCTCTCTCTCTGGTCTCTCTCTCTGGTCTCTCTCTCTGCACACATGGTCCCAGATGAAACCCTCTCAGTTGTGAATGATTGTGAATATTATAAATACTATATCTGTAAATAAACCTTTACTTTGACTCCGCCCTTTTCTTTGTCGTCGTGTTTTTACATCTGCTGTGTTTATGTTTACAATAGTTTGGTCTCTCGCTACAAATATGACTATTTCCGGTCTCTTTCTGGTCTTTCTGACCTTTCTGGTCTCTCTCTGGTCTCTCTCTGGTCTCTCTCTGGTCTCTTTCTGGTCTCTTTCTGGTCTCTCTCTAGTCTCTCTCTGGTCTCTCTCTGGTCTCTCTCTGGTCTCTTTCTGGTCTCTCTCTGGTCTCTCTCTGGTCTCTTTCTGGTCTCTTTCTGGTCTCTCTCTAGTCTCTCTGGTCTCTCTCTGGTCTCTCTCTGGTTTCTCTCTGGTCTCTCTCTGGTCTCTCTCTGGCCTCTCTGGTCTCTCTGGCCTCTCTCTGGTCTCTCTGGTCTTTCTCTGGTCTCTCTCTGGTCTCTCTCTGGTCTCTCTGGTCTCTCTCTGGTCTCTCTCTGGTCTCTCTCTGGTCTCTCTCTGTTCTCTCTCTGGTCTCTCTCTGGTCTCTCTCTGTTCTCTCTCTGTTCTCTCTCTGGTCTCTCTCTGGTCTCTCTCTGGTCTTTCTCTGGTCTCACTCTGGTCTGGAGGTGGTACTTCCCTCATTTAGACTTTCTCCTGTTGACGTGGAAACTTGCAGCGACAGAAGAGACGCTCCTCTGTCCTCTGTGGCTGCATCCCAACAACACTCCTCCTCCCTTTCCTTTCACTTCCTACACTCAGCTCCAGGTTGGTGCCCGCACCAGCAGCAGCAGGAGACTAATCCAAAGACATCCCCCAGGTCCTAGAGCCTCCACACTAACTGTAAACCAGTGTGGGCGGGTCCCAGCTCAAAAGTGGCAAAAATGACGTGCTCTGACATGCTGCAATACCACCCCGGGCCTGTGGGGGTGGACCCAGAATAAGAATTAGCCAATGCTAACATATAGCATTAGCAGACCTCTCAAAAACGTCTTTAGAGGATGGACCAAAAGTGTCTCTTGGCCCAAAGCTCCGTTCCACATGTGTGTCAATGCTGAGGGGGGTGTTTTGGTCCACTCTAGTTTAGTCGCTGTGAATTTTTGAAGTCTCTCGTTCAAATGAATGGAGCTGCGCCGGCTGACGCATGCGCAGATACATTTTTTCACAATTTTCTTGTGGGCGGGACCACTCGCGGCCATTTTGGATTGCTCCAGTAGAGCACATTTTTACAGTCTATGCTGTAAACATGTCAGAAAATGGTTTTAACTGGATTTGGTTCTCTCATAATGAAGATGGTAAAACAAGCACTTCTCTCTGTTCTAACTTTGTTGCTCATCAGCCACAGACCTGGACTCGTGTTTAGATCCATCCACGCTAAAATCAGGAACTTCTGACTATTGCTGCTTTTACACAATTAAAGAAACTCTGGCAATTATAATAAATTAGGAAACTTGGACTGAGACTCGGGACTGAAAACAGTTACACAAACAGGTGTGTGTGCAGTGTGCAGAAACACACATTCACTCACACTGTTATATCACACTGATAGTTTTACAGCAAAACTATTCATATACAAAGATCAATTAATTAAGTGTGTGTATGCATCTGTGTTTGTGTGTATAAGTGTGTATAATTGTGTGTATAAATGTGTGTGTGTGTGTGTGTGTATGCGCGTGTATAAGTGTGTGTATGTGTGTGTATAAGTGTGTGTATGTGTGTATAAGTGTGTGTATGCGTGTGTATAAGTGTGTATACATCTGTGTGTATAAGTGTGTGTGTGTGTGTGTAAGTGTGTGTGTGTGAACGCAGGAGTGTGGTGTGAGTTTTGGATGCAGCCTTCTGCTCTCACAGACGGAAACTTTAATCACGTCATAAAACACTTTCTCCAGAACTTTGGACTTTAGACCCCGTGATTCTATCTTCACCACGAGACAACCAGACCAGACATAAACCAGACTAGACCTAAACCAGACCAGACCTAAACCAGTGCTGAACTAGACCAGACCCAGACCCACCTGAGGCCACGATGGAGAGGCTGTTCCTGCTGCTGCTCCCACTGCTGCTGCAAACTGGTGAGTTCACATTAGTCTTATTCATGTGTGTGTCAATGGTTTCTCTGGTCTCTCTCTCGTCTCTCTCTCTGGTCTCTCTCTCTGGTCTCTCTCTGGTCTCTCTCTCGTCTCTCTCTCGTCTCTCTCTCGTCTCTCTCTGGTCTCTCTCTCTGGTCTCTCTCTCTGGTCTCTCTCTGGTCTCTCTCTGGTCTCTCTCTCTGGTCTCTCTCTCTAGTCTCTCTCTCTGGTCTCTCTCTCTGGTCTCTCTCTGGTCTCTCTCTGGTCTCTCTCTGGTCTCTCTCTGGTCTCTCTCTCTAGTCTCTCTCGTCTCTCTCTGGTCTCTCTCTGGTCTCTCTCTCTGGTCTCTCTGTCTGGTCTCTCTCTCGTCTCTCTCTGGTCTCTCTCTCTGGTCTCTCTCTGGTCTCTCTCTCGTCTCTCTCTGGTCTCTCTCTCGTCTCTCTCTCTGGTCTCTCTCTAGTCTCTCTCTCGTCTCTCTTTCGTCTCTCTCTGGTCTCTCTCTCTGGTCTCTCTCTGGTCTCTCTCTGGTCTCTCTCTCTAGTCTCTCTCTGGTCTCTCTCTCTGGTCTCTCTCTCTGGTCTCTCTCTCTGGTCTCTCTCTGGTCTCTCTCTGGTCTCTCTCTCTGGTCTCTCTCTGGTCTCTCTCTGGTCTCTCTCTGGTCTCTCTCTCTGGTCTCTCTCTCTAGTCTCTCTCGTCTCTCTCTGGTCTCTCTCTGGTCTCTCTGTCTGGTCTCTCTCTCTCGTCTCTCTCTGGTCTCTCTCTCTGGTCTCTCTCTGGTCTCTCTCTGGTCTCTCTCTCGTCTCTCTCTCGTCTCTCTCTCTGGTCTCTCTCTCTAGTCTCTCTCTCTAGTCTCTCTTTCGTCTCTCTCTCTGGTCTCTCTCTCTGGTCTCTCTCTGGTCTCTCTCTGGTCTCTCTCTCGTCTCTCTCTCTCGTCTCTCTCTCGTCTCTCTTTCGTCTCTCTCTGGTCTCTCTCTGGTCTCTCTCTCGCCTCTCTCTGGTCTCTCTCTCTGGTCTCTCTCTGGTCTCTCTCTGGTCTCTCTCTCTGGTCTCTCTCTTGTCTCTCTCTGGTCTCTCTCTCGTCTCTCTCTCTGGTCTCTCTCTGGTCTCCCCAGTCTCTCTCTCTGGTCTCTCTCTCTAGTCTCTCTCTTGTCTCTCTCTCGTCTCTCTCTCTCTGGTCTCTCTCTGGTCTCTCACTCTCTCTCTCTTTCTCTCTCTTTCTCTGGTCTCTCTCTCTCTGATCTCTCTCTGGTCTCTCTCGGGTCTCTCTGGTCTCACTTATCTCTCTCTCTCTCTCTCTCTCTCTCTGGTCCCTCTTCCTCTCTCTTTCTCTCTTTCTCTGGTCTCACTCTGATCTCTCTCTCTCTAGTCTCACTTGTCTCTATCTCTCTCTCTCTCTCTGGTCTCTCTCTATGGTCTCACTTGTCTCTCTCTCTCTCTCTCTCTCTGATCTCTATCGCTATAGTAACAAAGAAAAAACTACTCACGTTTCAAAAATAATACGATAACTTCCTGAATATAATGACAGAATTAACTTCTAGAGATACAAAATAAGTGACAAAACTCTGAAGCCCAAGAAGTTACAGGACAAAGTCAGCGATCAGGGGATGTTTGTGGCAGATGGTGACAGCGCCCCCTGTCTGTGTCTCAGTGCAGTGTCAGAAGACGGTCTCCTGGTGCACGGTGTCGGAGCCGGAGCAGGCCAAGTGCAAAGCCATGTCCCAGGCCTTCTCCGAGGCCTCCATCCGCCCCACGCTGCGCTGCGTCCAGGCCACCACTACGGAAGCCTGCGTGGTCAAACTCACGGTACAGAACTCACTCTCTTTTTCTGGTATCTCTCTCTAGTCTCTCTCTGGTCTCTCTCTGGTCTCTCTCTGGTCTCTCTCTGGTCTCTCTCTGGTCTCTCTCTGGTCTCTCTCTGGTCTCTCTCTGGTCTCTCTCTGGTCTCTCTCTGGTCTCTCTCTGGTCTCTCTCTGTTCTCTCTCTGGTCCCTCTCTAGTATCTGATAGACACAAACTGTTTTAGAGCCAGGTCCTCATGACATGGATTTTTTCACAGAGTTTTATTGTTTCCGTCTGAAAGTTACAGACCTAAGCTTTAACAAACAGGTCAAGGACAGAACATCATTGACAGTTGTGTAAACGCAGTGAGGTGAGCCAAGGGTTGAGTGACATCATTTACAAGAATTCTTATCTGTAAAACCATAAAGGATGCTCTGTTGGGACCAGGCTGAGCAGACCGAGGCAGGTCCTGGACTTTTACAGAAACAAAGTCACATTCTTAAAGTTCTGGTGTGTCTCTAATGTCAAGTCTCTGCATGGTCACACAGGTCTCTTTCTGGTCCCTCTCTGTTCTCTCTCTGGTCTCTCTCTGGTCTCTCTCTGGTCTCTCTCTGGTCTCTCTCTAGTCTCTCTCTAGTCTCTCTCTAGTCTCTCTCTGGTCTCTCTCTAGTCTCTCTCTAGTCTCTCTCTGGTCTCTCTCTGGTCTCTCTCTAGTCTCTCTCTAGTCTCTCTCTGGTCTCTCTCTAGTCTCTCTCTAGTCTATCTCTAGTCTCTCTCTAGTCTCTCTCTAGTCTCTCTCTAGTCTATCTCTAGTCTCTCTCTAGTCTCTCTCTAGTCTATCTCTAGTCTCTCTCTAGTCTCTCTCTGGTCTCTCTCTGGTCTCTCTCTAGTCTCTCTCTAGTCTCTCTCTGGTCTCTCTCTAGTCTATCTCTAGTCTCTCTCTAGTCTCTCTCTGGTCTCTCTCTGGTCTCTCTCTAGTCTCTCTCTAGTCTCTCTCTGGTCTCTCTCTAGTATCTCTCTGGTCTTTCTCTAGTCTCTCTCTGGTCCCTCTCTAGTAGGGATGTAAATCGGTGACCGTTTAACCGGTGGTTGACCGTCACAGCGTTAACCGGTCAAAGCTGTCGGTTAAAAAAGAGAAAAGGGGGAGAGGGGAGGTCTCTTCATAACGCTATTTTAAGCCCTATTTGCACGATGTGACGAGCGGGTCCCTATCTAGCTGTGTGCGCCAATGTAACAGTAAACTCTGGGCCGACTCTCAGGCCGTACGCGCCACATATGCACGCACACATGTACACACACACACACACACACACACATTTCCCCCCCTCCATTGACGTAACATCCACACGCATCATCTCTCCCCTCTGTTACCGTCTGCTAGTTGCACACTGGTGCGGGTCAGAACTACATTGGAGCTTATATTTACACACACATACATACATGTATTGCACACACACACATAGCTTACATATACACACACACAGACATATACACACATACATACATGTATTGTACACACACACATACCGGTCTGTCGCGCTCCTCTGTGTCACGGAGCCCAAAGCATTCTTGCAAATACACGGCTCCAGTCAAACCACATGGACCATGTTTGTGCTGCTGGTCCTCGGCATCAGCTCCACACTGATCACTTTTAAACTTTAGCGGAGACCTGCGAGACGCGGCTCGTCACTCGCTGCCCTGACCATGTGGACGAGCTGTCTTTTGCTTAAAGGCGCTATACCCGTTTTCTGCAATGTTTGAATGTTTAGCACCGCCCCCCAACTCGCTCACAGGCTTCTCATTTCCCCTACGCTCTCATCCCACGGAGCCACCAAGTTTTATTTGTGATCTGATACATGTGCTAACATTAGCATTAGCGCAACTTCTTGTAAACTGTGCAACAATCACTGATGAAATGGCACTAAAGCAACGCACTGCTAACACAATATATAAGTAAAAGAATACCGCTAGTTTCGCGTCCGAATGTATTAATTTAAAACCTTAGAATATATTCTAATATTTAATTATAATGTGTTATAGAGCTCCTCAAAACAGCAGCAGCAATTCTTCCGATCATTTTTTCTTGATAACAGAACTCTCAAACCAATAATGACCGAAGCCCCAATGCAACCTCTGTTTGTGATTCAGGTGTGTAAAATACTGCCATTACTCTGCAAGTACAAGCTATCAGCACCTGTCACTATACACTCGTCTGTGTAGAGAAGCCAACGGAGCTAGCGGAGATAGCCACGCTCAATAAACAACTACATATCTATCAATCAACACCATTAAACGTCAATCGGACAATACAGTACACATATACATCCTTAACACACATGCACGGATGATTTCAGAATTTGCTGTTAACGTTTTCATGACAAAAATACTGTTTCAATGTGACAAAAGGCGATTGCGAAAAACCCGGAAGTTACCATGAAACAACTAGCTAGCTTAGCTGTTACCTGCTTAGCACGTCCCGGTGAAACCTTTGGGAGCTAACTATTATATTTGCAGTCATTAAATACATTTCGAATTACAAGGGTTGTCTAATATTTGTTCACATTTTTGTATTCAATTATTTTGTTCATCATTTTTTATTTTAGAATTATATTCGAATTTTGAAGTCGAAGCCCTGGTGTTAAGCAGCGCTGTAGAGACTAGAGGACGCAGGCTGCTCGCTGCTCGTTCTGTGAGCGGAGGAGAACGAGCAGCCCGCTCAGACTCTACTCAGCACTTTTCACTGCTTGTAATTCTTACACAGCTGCAATGGTGTAGGTTTGGTTCCAAACTTGGTGGGGACATTCACCACGGTCTGAGACTACACCCATCGGCCCTCATATATGAAACTTGCGCAGAAAAGGGTGATTATTTTTGGTGTAGATTCCATATACGCAAGACCCAACGCCAGATTTATGACCGTGTGAGACTGCCCTGTTTTTTTGACAGGTCAGCACGGAACTATGTTTTTTCCCTAGTGTCTAGACTCACAGCAGCACTCATCTCTCTTGAACTTTAGAAGTGAGTGAATGAATGAACGAATGAATATTAATATCTCCGCCTCAGCGGTGGTTCTCATCATTAGCCCAAAAAGTCAAGTACTGACTCACAGGGCTCTCAAGTACGCAAGATAAAAACTAAAATGGCCTGTTGTGGTGTGTTTTGCGCACAACCAGCATGCATTGTTAACGCAATGGAAAATTTAGGTATCCGAGCTTTAATTTTGGGAGCGCTAGTAGCGCTTTGGGAGGAGACAGGGGAGAGAAACGGGAGAGACACTGGGGAGACGGGCGAGAAAAGGGGGTACCCGCACTTGCAACACGCTGGGGATGGTTCTACTCACGCGTCTATGGTCCGAACTCGGTACCATGTACGGCTGTGCTTTTGCTGAGCTGCTGTCAAAGCGCCACGGCCAGAGCTGCACCGGGACAGCACACAGAGGATGTAAGTCACATTCAAGTACGTACAGCAAACAACAGTAAGTGCCTGCTGTCGTAAATCGTGGATCCGCGTAATATTTTCCGCCCTGGTTTATCCTGATGCACACAACACACACACTTATACATTTTGAATAATAAGAGCACTGTAAGTATTTTTTCAGCCTTTCAACCAACCTGTTTCTTTTTTGGAGCCAGTTCTGTTCTGTCTCTGTGCCGTGTGGGCTCCTCAGAACTTTAAACAGTGCGCTGACAGATTAGAAATAACGTAAATACTTTGAATGGTGATAGATCTACAGTACTTTTCTCTGATTACTCACGTGCTACAAGGAAAGGAAAAAAAACACTTGTTTCACGCTGGCTGACATATAAAAAAGTAAAAAGTCACACAGCGCTTGAGTTTGGCGCTGAAGAAGACAGCCAATCACTGCAAAGAGAGGAACGGGTCACGTGCTGCCGCTGCTGCCGCTGCTCTAGAGGCGAAGAGGAGGCGCGGCGTATGCACAAACTGAAGACATGTGTCCCGGACCGTCCGGGTCCCGGGACATTGTGTCATTTTGGTAGGGACTTTTTAGTCCTCTCCAATTATTGGTGGGGACATGTCCCCATGGTCCCCACGCAAACCTACGCCCATGCACAGCTGAATCAATTACCTCAAGTTTTCAATTAAATGATGTATTATGATACAACTTGTATGTAGTAAAAAGCATTTTTATGAACTACTTAGAAAAAATATCGGGTATAGCTTCTTTAAAAATGCTTTAAGCTGCAGCACAGAAGAATGGGAAGATTAAAGCAGTTCTCTGTGCGCAAAGGTGCCCAAGCTGTTGCGGGTTTTGGCGCCGCTGTCTCGGCTCTGATCCAGTAGAACGCAGAGCTGCACTTATGAAAAGCATGCGGCTCGAAATGGCTGTTATTTCAAAGAACGAAAGACTATTTTAAACTACGCGGTTAACCGGTTTCAACCGGTTAATGAGGCTCGGTGGTCGGTCATGAAAATTCATAGTTTTTACATCCCTACTCTCTAGTCTCTCTCTAGTCCCTCTCTAGTCTCTCTCTAGTCCCTCTCTAGTCTCTCTCTGGTCCCTCTCTAGTCACTCTCTAGTCTCTCTCTGGTCCCTCTCTGGTCTCTCTCTAGTCCCTCTCTAGTCTCTCTCTGGTCCCTCTCTAGTCTCTCTCTGGTCTCTCTCTAGTCACTCTATAGTCTCTCTCTGGTCTCTCTCTGGTCTCTTTCTAGTCCCTCTCTAGTCTCTCTCTGGTCACTCTCTGGTCTCTCTCTGGTCTCTCTCTAGTCACTCTCTAGTCTCTCTCTGGTCCCTCTCTGGTCTCTCTCTGGTCTCTCTCTAGTCTCTCTCTGGTCCCTCTCTAGTCTCACTCTAGCCTCTCCCTGGTCTCTCTCTGGTCTCTCTCTGGTCTCTCTCTAGTCTCTCTCTAGTCTCTCTCTAGTCTCTCTCTAGTCTCTCTCTGGTCTCTCTCTGGTCTCTCTCTGGTCTCTCTCTGGTCTCTCTCTAGTCTCTCTCTAGTCTCTCTCTAGTCTCTCTCTAGTCTCTCTCTAGTCTCTCTCTAGTCTCTCTCTAGTCTCTCTCTGGTCTCTCTCTAGTCTCTCTCTGGTCTCTCTCTAGTCTCTCTCTAGTCTCTCTCTGGTCTCTCTCTAGTCTCTCTCTGGTCTCTCTCTAGTCTCTCTCTAGTCTCTCTCTGGTCCCTCTCTGGTCCCTCTCTAGTCCCTCTCTAGTCTCTCTCTAGTCCCTCTCTAGTCTCTCTCTGGTCCCTCTCTAGTCTCTCTCTGGTCTCTCTCTAGTCCCTCTCTAGTCTCTCTCTGGTCCCTCTCTAGTCTCTCTCCGGTCTCTCTCTAGTCCCTCTCTAGTCTCTCTCTGGTCCCTCTCTAGTCCCTCTCTAGTCTCTCTCTAGTCTCTCTCTGGTCCCTCTCTAGTCCCTCTCTAGTCTCTCTCTGGTCCCTCTCTAGTCTCTCTCTGGTCCCTCTCTAGTCTCTCTCTGGTCTCTCTCTAGTATCTCTTTGGTCTCTCTCTGGTCCCACTCTAGTCACTCTCTGGTCTCTCTCTAGTCTCTCTCTGGTCTCTCTAGTTTGATATATTTTGTTTTTTTCTTGAACAGAACAAAGAAGTGGATGCGTTTTCCATGAACGCTCCAAACGTCTATCACCACAGCCAGAAGAGCGCCTTCAAGATGGCCGCCAGCGAGACCAAGAAAGACGGTGAGTTTGAGTTTCACACATGGTCTCTCTCTGGTCTCTCACTAGTCTCTGGTCCCTCTCCGGTCTCTGCACCACCTAGAAGTTATATTGGTCCCCACTTGGTCCCATGCTTCAGTTTTGACACCATGTAATACCATGTGTCGCCTGCAGGGACCGGGGCCGTGTATTTTGCCGTTGCCGTGGTGAAGTCCTCTGGTCCTGGTCTGAGCCTGGACTCCCTGAGGGGCCACCGGAGCTGCCACACGGGGAAGGACCGGACCGCGGGCTGGACCATGCCCCTGGGCTTCCTCACACACAGCGGGCGCATGGCGGTGATGGGCTGCGACTACGCCACAGGTACGACTGCAGAATGACAGCGGAACGAGCCGTGGAGCCGTGTTTGGGTGAATGAAGCTGTGAGAGAGTGGGCTGTTGCATGTGCTGCTCTTTCCTTTATAAAGCTGTCCTTGTGAAAAAGAAATATGTTGGAAAATGTCGGTGTGGCTTCACGGAGATGAGAAAAATGATGTCCATGATAATGTGATTCTTTCTGGTCTCTCTCTGGTCTCTCTCTGGTCTCTTCCTCTGCGGTCTCTCTCTGGTCTCTCTCTGGTCTCTCTCTGGTCTCTCTCTGGTCTCTCTCTGGTCTCTCTCTGGTCTCTCTCTGGTCTCTCTCTGGTCTCTCTCCGGTATCTCTCTGGTCTCTCTCCGGGTCTCTCTCTGGTCTCTCTTAGGTCTCTCTTAGGTCTCTCTCTGGTCTCTCTCTGGTCTCTCTTAGGTCTCTCTCTAGTCTCTCTCTGGTCTCTCTCTAGTCTCTCTCTGGTCTCTCTCTAGTCTCTCTCTAGTCTCTCTCTGGTCTCTCTCCGGTATCTCTCTGGTCTCTCTCCGGGTCTCTCTCTGGTCTCTCTTAGGTCTCTCTTAGGTCTCTCTCTGGTCTCTCTTAGGTCTCTCTTAGGTCTCTCTTAGGTCTCTCTCTGGTCTCTCTCCGGTCTCTCTCCGGTCTCTCTCTGGTCTCTCTCTGGTCTCTCTCTGGTCTCTCTTAGGTCTCTGTCTGGTCTCTCTCAGGTCTCTCTCTGGTCTCTCTCTGGTCTCTCTTAGGTCTCTCCTAGGTCTCTTTCTGGTCTCTCTCTGGTCTCTCTCTGGTCTCTCTCTGGTCTCTCTCAGGTCTCTGTCTGGTCTCTCTCTGGTCTCTCTCTCTGGTCTCTCTCCGGGTCTCTCTCCGGTCTCTCTCTGGTCTCTCTCTGGTCTCTCTCTGGTCTCTCTCTGGTCTCTTTCTGGTCTCTCTCTGGTCTCTCTCTGGTCTCTTTCTGGTCTCTCTCTGGTCTCTCTCTGGTCTCTCTCTGGTCTCTTTCTGGTCTCTCTCTGGTCTCTCTCTGGTCTCTCTCTGGTCTCTCTCATCCTGTGTTCTCCAACCTTAACTTTACTTTACAAGACTTCATTCAATAAGCATGAAGTTTGCTTGCCCCCCCATCTTCCATCATGCCGTGTCTCTCTTGCGCCCCCTGCAGGTCTGTCGGAGTTGTTCAACAGCAGCTGTGTCCCGGGGGCCTCGGGCAGTGACCCCCCCTCTCTGTGCGCTCTGTGCCGTGGAGACGCCGACGGCAAATTCAAGTGTGAACTGAGCCAAAGAGAACGATACTTCAGCTACAGCGGCGCCTTCAGGTCAGACCCCTGTGAGACTGTCAGACTGTACAACGAACACCGAGGACCAACCAGCACCTCACCTCAAGCACATTATAGCACATTTTCTAAAACAGGTTTCAAAGAAATAAAATGGTTTTCCAGATTTATGTGTTTAAAAATAGTGCAATAAGTGAAACATTATGTATGAAGTAAAAACAATAAAAATGTAATAAACACAATAAAACATGTTTTTAATAAAAAACAATAAATAACCAGTTTTTCAATTTTAAAATAAAAATAAAAACAAATAAATAAAACAGAACCACAAACTCACTCGGTGTTAAAGCCCTGAGAGTACTAATGTATTCTTAATTACTTCTTTATTATGCTCAAATTATCTTAATCCTTATCCTGTCTCCTCTGGTCTCCCTCTGGTCTCCTCTGGTCTCCCTCTGGTCTCCCTCTGGTCTCCTCTGGTCTCCTCTGGTCTCTTCCGGTCTCCCTCTGGTCTCCTCTGGTGTCCGCTGGTCTCTCTCTGGTCTCCTCTGGTCTCTTCTGGTCTCCCTCTGGTCTCCCTCTGGTCTCCTCCGGTCTCCCTCTGGTCTCCTCTGGTCTCCCTCTGGTCTCCCTCTGGTCTCCTCTGGTCTCCTCTGGTCTCCTCTGGTCTCCTCCGGTCTCCCTCTGGTCTCCTCTGGTGTCCTCTGGTCTCCCTCTGGTCTCCTCTGGTCTCCTCTGGTCTCCTCTGGTCTCTTCTGGTCTCCCTCTGGTCTCCTCTGGTCTCCCTCTGGTCTCCTCTGGTCTCCTCTGGTCTCCCTCTGGTCTCCTTCTGGTCTCCTCTGGTCTCCCTCTGGTCTCCTCTGGTCTCCCTCTGGTCTCCTCTGGTCTCTTCTGATCTCCCTCTGGTCTCCTTCTGGTCTCCCTCTGGTCTCCTCTGGTCTCCTCTGGTCTCCTCTGGTCTCCTCTGGTCTCCTCTGGTCTCCTCTTGTCTCCTCTGGTCTCCTCTGGTCTCCTCTGATCTCCTCTGATCTCCCTCTGGTCTCCTTCTGGTCTCCCTCTGGTCTCCCTCTGGTCTCTTCTGGTGTCCCTCTGGTCTCCTCTGGTCTCCCTCTGGTCTCCCTCTGGTCCCTCTGGTTTCCTTCTGGTCGCCTCTGGTCTCCTCTGGTCTCCCTCTGGTCTCCCTCTGGTCTCCTTCTGGTCTCCCTCTGGTCTCATCTGGTCTCCTCTGGTCTCCCTCTGGTTTCCTCTGGTCTCCCTCTGGTCTCCTCTGGTCTCCTCTGGTCTCCTCTGGTCTCTTCTGATCTCCCTCTGGTCTCCTTCTGGTCTCCCTCTGGTCTCATCTGGTCTCCTCTGGTCTCCCTCTGGTTTCCTCTGGTCTCCTCTGGTCTCCCTCTGGTCTCCCTCTGGTCTCTTCTGATCTCCCTCTGGTCTCCTTCTGGTCTCTCTCTGGTCTCATCTGGTCTCCTCTGGTCTCCTCTGGTCTCCTTCTGGTCTGGTGTTTACAGGTGTCTGGTGGAAGACGCAGGAGAAGTGGCTTTTGTCAAACACACCACGGTGTCAGAACACACAGACGGTAACTATCACACTACCCTCGGCCTGGGGTGGAGGGGGGAGAAGAGAAGGGGGACAGACTGATCCACCCTCCCTGTGTGAGGGCGAGGTCTTTCTTTCTGCTGCTGTCAGACTGTACAATGAGAACTGCTGAGCCTGTGCACGCCATCTCTGCTGTGGATAGAAAATACTGCACTGAAACGTCACTGAACATCATTATTTATATTATTATTATTATTATCATCATTATCATTGTTATTATTATTATTATTATTATTATTGTTGTTGTTATTGTTATTGTTATTATTATTATTATTTTTATTTTTATCATTATTATTATCATCATTATCATCATTATCATTGTTATTATTATTATTGTTATTATTATTATTATTGTTATTATTATTATTGTTGTTACTGTTATTATTGTTATTATTATTATTATTATCATCATTATTATTATTATTGTTATTATTATTATTATTATCATAATTATTATTATTATTATTTTATTTTAATTTATTTGTTAATTTATTACATTACATATTTAACTCATAATGTACACATAGTGGGTCTTGATGATCCACCTGAAAGTGTGTAGTTATAGGTTTGTTGTGTAACTACTCTCTGGTCGGCCTCTCAGGAAACGGTCTGGACTGGGCCGCGGGGCTGAAGTCCGGAGACTACAAGCTGCTGTGTCCGGACGGTCGCACGGCGGCGGTCAGCGAGTGGAGGAGCTGCAATCTAGCTCGAGTCCCCTTCAGGGGCGTGGTGGTGCGGCCCGGGATCAGCCCCTCGGTGGTCTACAACCTGCTCCGCGAGGGGAAGGTGCGTCACAACCACAGATTGACTGGTTTTGGGCCGTTCTGAGCTTTAGTATGCGCTATAACAGAGCTGAAGTTGGCTGACTGATCAATGTTTATCATCTCACCAGCTACATGAACGATATCGATTGATTTGTGACACAAGAAATGCCAGTGTATACAAATAATGAATTCTGGAGGTCCTGACTTTTTCAGGTACAAGATGTTGATATTGGCTGAGATTAAGTTGTCTGGATGATCACAGAAACGACTTTAGATTAACACGGCATAGGGCCAGAGAAAATGACACAGAGGGCTGCATTTGGCCCACGGAGTTTGGACATGCCTGAACTGACCAATCAGGAGCCTCCTGTCCCTGGATTCAACTTTGGCTAGTTCTTGAGACTGTACATAAATGGACACGGGCAGACATCTTGGAGAGACCAGGGGCAGACATCTTGGAGAGACCAGGGGCAGATGTCACTCCCGGATTCGTCCCGGAAACCGGATTCGTCCGGAAGTTCAGTTTGACCATACACAGCACTAGATCACGTCCAGATCGATGATCACGTCACGGAATCTGGACGGAAGCGTAAGTAAATATAACAAACTATCTTTTCATGCCTAAATTTAACCAGCCATTCCCATAAAATAACCCCAACCCGCCCTTAACCCTAACCTTAACCATCTTAATCAGACCACCTTAACCCTAACCTTAACCATCTTAATCAGACCCACCTTAACCCTAACCTTAACCATCTTAATCAGACCACCTTAACCCTAACCTTAACCATCTTACTCAGACCACCTTAACCCTAACCTTAACCATCTTAATCAGACCCACCTTAACCCTAACCTTAACCATCTTAATCAGACCACCTTAACCCTAACCTTAACCATCTGAATCAGACCACCCTAACCATAACCATCTTACTCAGACCACCTTAACCCTAACCTTAACCATCTTAATCAGACCACCTTAACCCTAACCTTAACCATCTTACTCAGACCACCTTAACCCTAACCTTAACCATCTTACTCAGACCACCTTAACCCTAACCTTAACCATCTTACTCAGACCACCTTAACCCTAACCTTAACCATCTTACTCAGACCACCTTAACCCTAACCTTAACCATCTTACTCAGACCACCTTAACCCTAACCTTAACCATCTTAATCAGACCACCTTAACCCTAACCTTAACCATCTTAAACAGACACCTAAAACTTAACCAATCACCACTTAAGGACTTATTAACTGAACTTCCGGACGAATCCGGTTTCCGGGACGAATCCAGTATAGCCACAGTAGACATCTTGGAGAGACCACGGGCAGACATCTTGGAGAGACCAGGGGCAGACATCTTGGAGAGACCAGGGGCAGACATCTTGGAGAGACCAGGGGCAGACACCTTGGAGAGACCAGGGGCAGACATCTTGGAGAGACCAGGGGCAGACATCTTGGAGAGACCAGGGGCAGACACCTTGGAGAGACCAGGGACAGACATCTTAGAGAGACCAGGGGTAGACATCGTGGAGAGACCAGGGGTAGACATCTTGGAGAGACCAGTTTTTCAAAGTCTCCGGTCGCTGATCTGAACGTGTGATGTTTGTCTTGTGTCCAGGAGAAATCTTCTTTTCCCATGTTTTCTTCGGCGGCGTACGGAGGAGGCACTGTGCTGTTCTCCAACGAAACCGTCGACCTCATCGGCCCGGACGCAGAGAACTCACAAGGTTTGTACAAGACCACATTTACGGATCAAAAGGAGACCTGAGAGAGACCAGGGAGATACCAGAGACCGAACACACCAGAGATACCAGACAGAGACCAGAGGGACCAGAAAGACTAAAGGGACACCCAAGACCAGACAAAGATCAAAGAGAGACCAGAAAGACTAGAGAGAGACCAGACAGAGAACAGGGATAGACCACAGTGAGACCAGAGTGAAACCAGAGAAAGACCAGAGAGACCAGCGAGAGACCAGCGAGAGACCAGCGAGAGACCAGCAAGAGACCAGCAAGAGACCATACATGTGCTAAAAGAGAAGACGTGGGACTTTCAGACAGTTTTTGTTTCATATTGATTGTTCCAGGAATTACAGTAAAATTAGCGACAAACTAAGATGAGAATCTGACTTTTGACACTCACCATGGTTACCATAATTACCAGGAAACATACACCACAATGTGAAACTATCGCTCTTTGGATTGTGTTTCAGAGGATCCGGTGGTGTGGATGGGACGCTCCTACTACAACGCCATGAAGGCCATGGAATGCACCCCCAATGGTGAGCAGCTCCTACACACACTCAAGGTCAAGCACAGACCTTAAGTGGTTTTTAGCTCCATCCATTCTGATGTCAGGAACTGGTAGAAATGGGTCCCCTTCAGCCCCTTCTGACTCGACACTTTCCAAAGCTGTTGCTACAACGTCACGTTCAGAGCTGATTCTTGTTTTTTACAGACCAGAAAGAAACCAGAGAGGGAGACCAGAGAGACCAGAAAGACCAGAGAGACCAGAGAGACCAGAAAGAGATACAAGAGAGAGGCCAGAGAGAGGCCAGAGAGAGACCAGAGAGACCAGAAAGAGAGAAAAGTGAGACTAGAGAGACCAGAGAGACCAGAGAGACCAGAAAGACCAGAGAGAGACCAGAGAAAGAGACAAGAGAGAAACCAGAGAGACCAGAGATACCAGAAAGACCAGAGAGAGAAACCAGAGAGAGAGACAAGAGAGATCAGAGAGTTGCATGCTGGTGCTTCCTGATAATAGCGTGGATGGATATAAACACAGCTCCAGGTCTGTTTGTGATGACTGAGGTGATGTTTCAGATGAGCTCAGATGGTGCGTGCTTTCTGGTATGGAGCAGCAGAAATGTGCCGACATGGGAGCCGCGTTCATGGCCAAGAAACTCAGCCCTCGACTCACCTGTTTGTACGGAGACTCACTGCAAGACTGCATGCACAAGATCAAGGTGAGACCAGAGAGAGACCAGAGAGAGACCAGAGAGAGACCAGAGAGAGACCAGAGAGAGACCAGAGAGAGACCAGAGAGAGACCAGAGAGAGACCAGAGAGAGACCAGAGACCGACCAGAGACCGACCAGAGACCGACCAGAGACCGACCAGAGAGAGAGACCAGAGAGAGAGACCAGAGAGAGAGACCAGAGAGAGAGACCAGAGAGAGACCAGAGAGAGACCAGAGAGAGACCAGAGAGAGAGAGACCAGAGAGAGACCAGAGAGAGGCAGCTGTGTGGCGTGGTTTGGTGAAGCCGAGGGCCGTTCATTGCTGCTTGCGGATATAGTTTATAGCTCTCTGTGTTTTCAGACCAAAGAGGCAGATGCCATCACTCTGGACGGAGGAGACATCTACACAGCGGGGAAGGACTACGGACTGAAGCCAGCGGCCGGAGAGAGCTACACAGGTGAGAGAGCTAAAGGAGAGAGAGCTACACAGGAGAGATAGCTACACAGGAGAGAGAGAGCTACACAGGAGAGAGAGAGCTACACAGGTGAGAGAGAGCTACACAGCGGGGAAGGTCTATGGACTGAAGCCAGCAGCCGGAGAGAGCTACACAGGTGAGAGAGCTACACAGGTAAGAGAGAGCTACACAGGTGAGAGAGAACTTCACAGGAGAGAGCTCCAGCAGCAGAGGAGGATGACTCTCTGGAGGAGGCTCCGCTACAGTCCGTGGTGTCAGTCGTTGTCGCCATCGTCTGCTCTGTCAAACGCGCTACATAAATAAACTCCTTCCTCTCTGCAGACGATGACGACGGCTCCATATACTACGCGGTTGCCGTGGTGAAGAAGAGCAGCACAGACATCCGTAACCTTGACGACCTGCGCGGGCGCCGCTCCTGCCACACGGGCTACGGCCGCACGGCGGGATGGAACATCCCTGTGTCTGCTCTGATGGAGAGAGGCCTGGTCCCTGCAGACGCCTGCAGCGCCCCCAGAGGTGAGGCCAGGAACTGCACTCTGTGTGTCTGTCTGTCTGTCTGTCTGTCTGTCTGTGTGTATGTGTGTCTGTGCATGTGGTTGATGTTGTGTGTTTGTGTGTGGTTGATGTTGTGTGTTTCAGCCGTGAGTGCGTTCTTCTCCAAGAGTTGTGTACCAGGGGCCTCTCCTCTGGGCCTGTCCAGCCTGTGTGCTCTGTGTGTGGGGGACGAGGCGGGACAGGGCGTCTGTGAGAAGGGGAAGGACCTGTACGACGGCTACGACGGGGCCTTCAGGTAACAACACTCTTAAAGGCACACCGTGTAACTCTTGGCCACTAGGGGCGCTAGACCTGCAACTTTCACGTTTAGCGCCCCTAGTGGCCACAAGCAACTCAGCACTGTCGCAAAAGTCAACAAACAGTCAGCCGGTGTCTTTTGAGTGTGTATTCAGACAGCATGCACTGGTGTGTGTGTTCAAACTGTAGAGACATGCCTACAGATATTGAGAGACTCTGCTGTGGTCAGCCTCCAGACCGCTGCATTAGTAATCTACCACACATGGACTTCTATATCCTGGATGAGGGAGTTCTGCGTCTAGCTCGTGCTGCGTGGGAATGACATCTTTGCAGTCGATGACATCCAGGAACCAGGTGAAGAGCAGCGCTCATACAGACATGCAGCTTACAGCACGATCCCTTTCGCGTTTCCTCTTTTTAGCCTCCTCCGAAGGTTTAAAATTTTTCCTTGCCTCAGCCATGACCAGGAGTCGAGCAGGTGAAAAATGAGTAGCAAAAGCCTTAGCTCCATGAGTATATCAGCGCCTGTAGCCGTAAAGCAAGTCTTTCTTCCAAGTCACGTGACCTGGTGGCAGACGGTCCGTCTGCTCGAAACTTACATGGGCGGTATTTCAAGAGGGCAGCCCCGCTCGGAGCATTGCAAGTGTCAAGCGCTGTATATTGGCCCAAGTATTCATATAAAATAACTCATATGTGTCAACTCTTTAGGTCACAAAGTCCGCGGTGTGCCTTTAACTATTATATGTAAGTAGTTATCTTTGATTATCACACGCTCCTCACAGCAGGAGAACGCTCCTTTGATTTGAATGAAATTTCAAAACGTTCTACCGGTCACTATTTCTGCTTGTAATTCATGTGTGTAGATTGGTCCGCAAGTAGTTCCGGCCACTCCGGAGCTAGCTACGCTCAATAAACGCAAACACCAATCAATCAACACATTTAAAAGGGCACTAACGTTATTAAAAACTATTTTTTTTTCTGATAAAACACATTAAAAGCATGTATTTCCCACTTTTGCAATGTGTTTTTGTGTTATAGATAAGTAATAAATCAGTAAAATAACCTTTTAATATCAACGCCTCTGATTGGCCAGAAAAATGATGACGTACTTAGAGGGGTCGCAGCTCTCGCCTCACTGTGTATGGCATTGCTCCTGCTGCCGCTTTGACACAAACAAACCTTAAAATGGGTGTATTTTGTACGGCCCCGGGATGCAGCAATGAAAGTAACTAAAGAAGAGTGTAAACAGCAGTCCCTACAATCTTTGACTCATTCAGAGAAGGTCCAAACAAACTGAGAGACACCAGCGCCAGGTCCATCAAATTAGTTCTATCAAGCTCCAACTAAAACCAATTTTACAAGTTTCAACCCAGTATTCAGCAGAAAACACAACGACTGTCATTGAACCATGAATCCATGTTTCACTCTAACTACGTTTAGTAAAAGATATAGATATGACACATACCATCATGTTTTAGACTTTAGAACCACAGACACACGTTTATATAAGACTTTAGAACCACAGACACATGTTCAGAATGAGACTTTAGAACCACAGACACATGTTCAGAATGAGACTTTAGAACCACAGACACACGTTTATATAAGACTTTAGAACCACAGACACATGTTCAGAATGAGACTTTAGAACCACAGACACATGTTCAGAATGAGACTTTAGAACCACAGACACATGTTCAGAATGAGACTTTAGAACCACAGACACATGTTCAGAATAAGACTTTAGAACCACAGACACGTTCAGTATAAGACCATAACTCTTACATGTTTGCATTTGATTGAAGACACCATTTCTCTCAAACTCAACATCTGGAGCTGGGACATAGAGTTGAGGCTTCTGAGTTGCGAGTATTGACGTGTTAGCTGGTGTTAGCTGGTTAGCTGGTGTTAGCTTGTTAGCTGGTGTTAGCTTGTTTACGCTTCTTAACTTTTCTCTGCACTGCGATGTCCCTGATGTACTCCTTCATCCCTAGCGCTACCTTCGCTAACACTTAGCTATTTACACTCACTCGGGTGCACCATCGAGCTCAAACTGACCGCATCCGCAAAGCGGGTCGGACCCGGTCGGACCATAGATCCATACTCCAGTCCGTGGAAACGGCCCTAATGTCCGCAAATGTCCATTTCTTGCAGATTGCTCCTCATCTGAACCGAGTCAGAGTCCTCAAAATCAGAATTACTGTCATAACAAGTACCAAGGGCTCATAAATGAAAGCCCCTGACTTGTATTGTCCATCACTGAATAACAAATATCTGTTTAAAACGTCCGTATAAAACGTTATGGCACTAATGCATATCAACAAAGCCCAATGACACCTATGTGTACGTCACTTCCGGTCTCGCCAATTTTTCCGCGAATGTCTTTTTGCATGATTATTATTGATAGAAACTGCTAAGGGTGAAACTATCTGTCAACATGAGTTTTATTTAACACAAAAAAATACCACAATATACGAACCAAATAAGATTAGGTCCCTTTTAAATGTTAATGGGAGAATACATTATACATTTACATTCTTTTTCAGGTTTTCAGAAGTATGTTAAAGTGGTTCCAAGCCCCGGCGATTCAAGATGGCGCCCTATTCAAATGAATGGTTGTGCTCAGTGGCGCTTTGTGACGACATGGGGGCTGAAAAGATTAGCGGAAGTCGCCTGAAACTCTCAAAGATCTCTGGGAAACTCGCCTGTATTTGGGCCTCGTCTGGTCCTCCCGGTTCTGTGCAGTGGATGATCTCCCATAATGCATTGCACCAAACACACGTGTGTGGGTCTCACACCGGGTCTCACGCACGTGCACAGAGGGGCTCGGCCGCGCTCTGACCAATCAGAGCAGTTCATCAGAGCGGGAGTTACAGCGAGAGCCAGACGAGCAGAGTTTGTGGCACTAAAGTGTCGATTTAAACAAAACCGAAGGATTTAAGAAGAAAAAAAGTTCAGGATGACAAGGGACACTAAAATCCCCACAAAATTTTATCTTTATTAAAGTTGTAGGTTCTCTGTCAGCTGAGGTCGAGCTGTTTTAATATGCATTGAGTTCTATGGGGAACATTTCTGGGTAGCCCACGTGAATTTAGTCTGGTTCAGTCTGCAGTACCGCGAGAATCCCCCGAGCACATGAGTTATTCAGCTACAAGCTAGTAATACCCTATCCAGTTAATATAATACATCCATGAGTGGTTCTCACCCCCGCTCCTCGGAGCTTACGTCACTCACATTTCCTGTTTAAATCTTCCTCTAAATGGGCGTAGCCTGGAGGACTGAAGGGGGCGTGAACGAGACTGGGCCGTTTACATTGCTCTGGGCGGGGGGCTTCAGACGTCAGGTCTTGCTTCAGACGTCAGGTCTTGCTTCAGACGTCAGGTCTTGCTTCAGACGTCAGGTCTTGCTTCAGACGTCAGGTCTTGCTTCAGACGTCAGGTCTTGCTTCAGACGTCAGGTCTTGCTTCAGACGTCAGGTCTTGCTTCAGACGTCAGGTCTTGCTTCTGACGTCAGGTCTTGCTTCAGACGTCAGGTCTTGCTTCAGACGTCAGGTCTTGCTTCAGACGTCAGGTCTTGCTTCAGACGTCAGGTCTTGCTTCAGACGTCAGGTCTTGCTTCAGACGTCAGGTCTTGCTTCAGACGTCAGGTCTTGCTTCAGACGTCAGGTCTTGCTTCAGACGTCAGGTCTTGCTTCAGACGTCAGGTCTTGCTTCAGACGTCAGGTCTTGCTTCAGACGTCAGGTCTTGCTTCAGACGTCAGGTCTTGCTTCAGACGTCAGGTCTTGCTTCAGACGTCAGGTCTTGCTTCAGACGTCAGGTCTTGCTTCAGACGTCAGGTCTTGCTTCAGACGTCAGGTCTTGCTTCTGACGTCAGGTCTTACTTCAGACGTCAGGTCTTGCTGCTGACGTCAGGTCTTGCTTCAGACGTCAGGTCTTGCTTCAGACGTCAGGTCTTGCTGCCGCGCCAGTGTTGGCGCCAGATTCATAATTCAAATGTAGTAATACAGGTCGCCAGCAGATGGCGCCTCACAGACGGTTTAAGGCAGAAAGTTTAACTTTCAACTAATTTGCACCAAAGTGACAAGATTATGACCAGGATATGTAGACAACACTATTGGACACTCATTTATACCGTTTATCAGCAAAAAAAAGTGGATTTGAGGGTGAGTTGTCCTTTAAGGTTTTCATGACAAAAATACTGTTTTAATGCGAGAAAAAGCAATCGCGAAAAACCTGAAAGTAGATTCCGGGACATTTTAGGAACATTTGCAGAGGATGGAATTATGGATTTAGGGTTAGTTTATATTTATGTTTCACTCACCGCTGATGTTCAGGATTCTTTGTTCAGTTTTCATGCAGTTCGAGAGAGTTCTAGTTTGGAAGTTGCTAGCCTAACTGTTGCTAGCCTAACTGTTATTAGCCTAACTGTTATTAGCCTAACTGTTGCTAGCCTAACTGTTATTAGCCTAACTGTTATTAGCCTAACTGTTATTAGCCTAACTGTTGCTAGCCTAACTGTTATTAGCCTAACTGTTATTAGCCTAACTGTTATTAGCCTAACTGTTATTAGCCTAACTGTTACTCGTAAAGCCACGGGAAAACCTTTGGGAACTATTTTATTTTCTGCATTCCTAAGAGCGGACTGAAGTTTATATTGTGTTCTGTTGGTACAAAGCCGTATAATAAGCGGGATAATGTAAAGTCATTATTGGAAAATAAGTACCGACAGGGCGGAAGGTACTTATTCATACATTATCCCTTATTTATATAGAGCCTTCCCCAACAGAGTCACGTGAATGAAGGCCTCTGATTGGTCAATCCTTAAATGGCTCATACAGACACAAACACAGGCTAGAGGGGAGTTTACTTTTCAGTGTAAGCAAATAGGAGCAAAACTTCATCCATGAGCTCTTTCCCGTTGAGCTTCAGAGAGACCAAAGAGAGACAGTTGACAACTTGTCTGTCCTCAGGTGTCTGGCCAAAGGAAACGGAGACGTGGCGTTTGTCAAACACACCACGGTTTTTCAAAACACAGATGGTTGGTACAATATTCTTCACTTTTGAACTTTTCTCTGTCAAGTTTCTGTGTGTGACTCCCTCTGGTCTCTCTCTGGTCTGTCCCTCTGGTCTCTCTCTGGTCTGTCCCTCTGGTCTCTTTTGACTCTTTCTAGTCTCTCTCTGGTTTCTCTTTCTGGTCTCTCTTTCTGGTCTCTCTCTGGTCTCTTTCTCTCTGGTCTCCCTCTGGTCTCCCTATGGCCTCTCTCTGGTCTCTCTCTCTGGTCTCTCTCTGGTCTCTCTCTGGTCTCTCTCTGGCCTCTCTCTGGTCTCTCTCTGGTCTCCCTCTGGTCTCACTCTGGTCTCTCTCTGGTCTCCCTATGGCCTCTCTCTGGTGTCCAATCGGTCTCTCTTTTATTTCTCTCTCTGGTCCCGCTCTCTACTCTCTCCTCTGGTGTCGCTCTGGTCTCTCTTTGGTCTCTCTCTGGTCTCTCTCTGGTCTCTCTCTGGTCTCTCTCTCTGGCCTCTCTCTGGTGTCTCTCTGGTCTCTCTCTGGCCTCTCTCTGGTGTCTCTCTGGTCTCTCTCTGGTCTCTCTCTGGTCTCTCTCTGGTCTCTCTTTGGCCTCTCTCTGGTGTCTCTCTGGTGTCTCTCTGGTCTCTCTCTGGTCTCTCTCTGGTCTCTCTTTGGCCTCTCTCTGGTGTCTCTCTGGTCTCTCTCTGGTCTCTCTCTGGTCTTTCTCTGGTCTCTCTTTGGCCTCTCTCTGGTGTCTCTCTGGTCTCTCTCTCTGGTGTCTCTCTGGTCTCTCTCTGGTCTCTCTATGGCCTCTCTCTGGTGTCTCTCTGGTCTCTCTTTCTGGTCCCTGATCCCTTGCTTCTGTCTCTGCAGGGAACTCGGGCTCCTCGTGGGCCTCTGACCTGCGGTCCTCAGACTTCCAGTTGCTCTGTGGTCACGGTGGGAAAGCTGAGGTGTCCCAGTTTAGATACTGTCACTTGGCCTGGGTCCCGTCCCACGCCGTCATGGTCCGACCGGAAACCAGCGCGCACAACGTGTACGGCTTGATGGACCATGCTCAGGTGACCCACACTCACCACTAGCCTTTAAAGCCAGAGTCTCTCTCTCTCTCTCTCTTTCTCCATTTCTCTCAAGTCTATCTCTCTCTCTCTCTCTCTCTCACTCTCAAGTCTCTCTGGTCTCTCTCTCTCTCAAGTCTCTCTTTCTCTCTCAAGTCCCTCTGGTCTCTCTCTCTCTCTCTCTCAAGTCTCTCTGGTCTCTCTCTATCTCTCTCTCTCTCTCAAGTCTCTTTCTGGTCTCTCTCTCTCTCTCTCTCTCAAGTCTCTTTCTGGTCTCTCTCTCTCTCTCAAGTCTCTCTGGTCTCTCTCTCTCTATCTCTCTCTCTCTCTCAAGTCTCTTTCTGGTCTCTCTCTCTCTCTCTCTCTCTCTCTCAAGTCTCTCTCTGGTCTCTCTCTCTCTTTGGTCTCTGGTCTCACTCTGCTGTCTCTCTCTCTTGTGTCTCACCTCTCTCTCTCTCTCTCTCTCTCTCTCTCTCTGGTCTCTCTCCTGTCTTTCTTTGGTCTTTCTCTGGTCTCTCACACAACTGTAGACTGTATATAGATGGATAACCTGTTAGCTCCATGAAGCTAATGCCACAGAAGGAAAGCCCATATAAGGAAATTGGCTCCAACTAATGTGGAAGAAGCCGATTTGAACATGGTGATGTCACACTTGGTCAGTCACACGCACACTCAATACATCAGAAACAGGTGCGTTCGGCCATCTTGGATTTTGAAATGCTACCATAAGGTTTTACCAGATGAGGGCGCTAGAGAATTCACTAATATATAAACGTATTTCTGAGTTACCACAGAACAATAACATCTTCTCAACTGACTGACAGTTAAAAAACGATTGACTTGTATCTGGTTATAACGTGATGTTCTGTTGCGTTTCCCAGAGACACTTTGGCAGCGACCTGAACCCCGGCTTCAAGATGTTTGACTCAGGATCCTACAACTCGTCCGACCTGGTGTTCAAAGACTCCACGGTGCGTTTGGTGGCGGTGGGAGACCGGAGCACCTACAGGGAGTGGCTGGGACAGGCCTACGTCGAGTCTCTGGAAGATCTGCAGTGCAACCAGGCCAACGCAGGTCAGACCCAGCTCAGAGACATGGCCCAGTTTAACCATGTGTGACCAGGAGGAGATATAGGAATGGTACAGATGGTAATGGCACAGATGGTCATGGTACAGATGGTCATGGTACAGATGGTAATGGCACAGATGGTCATGGTACAGATGGTCATGGTACAGATGGTCATGGTACAGATGGTAATGGCACAGATGGTCATGGTACAGATGGTCATGGCACAGATGGTCATGGCACAGATGGTCATGGTACAGATGGTCATGGTACAGATGGTCATGGCACAGATGGTCATGGCACAGATGGTCATGGCACAGATGGTCATGGTACAGATGGTCATGGCACAGATGGTCATGGCACAGATGGTCATGGTACAGATGGTCATGGTACAGATGGTAATGGCACAGATGGTAATGGCACAGATGGTCATGGTACAGATGGTTATGGTACAGATGGTTATGGTACAGATGGTTATGGTACAGATGGTTATGGTACAGATGGTCATGGTACAGATGGTAATGGCACAGATGGTAATGGCACAGATGGTAATGGCACAGATGGTTATGGCACAGATGGTTATGGTACAGATAGTTATGGTACAGATGGTTATGGTACATTTGTGCTTATGTGAAAAATGAAAATATGGCAAATTTTCCCGCAAGAAAATGTGAACAAACTCAGCCAAGAACAGCTTTTGGACCGGACTGTAAAGCCAATTTTGAGAGGAACAAAGGTGTCATAAGAATGTATTGGATAATTCTGTTTCCGGGTACACCCCCACCGGCAAGGAGTCAGCTTAGAAGCATGTCAGCGCTCGTGCTCATGGATCTTTTGAGCCGGGGAATCTCTTAACGTTGTCTTGCTTCCTGTGGTTTCAGCGCTCTCGTCTGTGTGGCTGCTGCTGATGCCGCTGCTCACCGCCGCCTTCTCCTAAAGCTGTAAACTCCCTGAACCTCCTCAAATCTCCACGCCTCGTCCCTGTGCTCTCGTCCTCGTCCCTGTGCTCTCGTCCTTGTCCCTGTGCTCTCGTTCTCACCTGCAGAGGACAGCGTGGGTCTCTGATCACCACAGCGCGCAGCCGTACCAGTGCGTACGCTGCTGCTTGTTACATGATCCGCGCCTCCTTCTGTCCTTCAGCGTCTTCAGCTCCAGACCTGGTTTTAAAAAGTGGGTCTCATTCCAAAGTCCATTGAGCATCCAAACTTTTTTAGCTCTGCAGAAATCTTTGGCAGCTCCGCAGACTCCTATTGATCCAGTCCTGTAACAGTGTGATGTCATTGAACCACTATGACATCACACTCAGTTTTTTGCCTTCTTAAACAAAAGTTTCGGTGAATTCTAAGACGAAATTACGTAACAGACATAACATGTTTGTTTGCAGCTCCCTCTAGAGGCAGCATAGAGAGTTACAGGCAGAACGTTTTTTTTCCCTCTCTCACTGGTCTCTCTTTTTAGTCTTTCTCTGGTCTCTCTCTAGTTTCATTCTAGTCTCTTTCTCTCTCGCTCTCTCTCCAATCTCTCTCTGATTTAACTGTAGACCCTCTCTCTGATCTTTCTCTCTTTTTCTGATCTCTCTCTCACTCTGGTCTCTTTTAGGGGGTTTCAAGCAGAAGGCCTTTTTTACCCTTCACACCAGTTTCACCATATATTATTCCACTTTCTAAAACATGAAATGACAAAGTAAACGTCTCATCCTTTTCAAAGACCAAAAATAATCTTTTTCCTGAGGTTGGAGCCGGCAGCGGTGGCGTCGTGGTGCAGGCAGGCCGGTCACACCGGACACCGCTGCTGGTTATGTCATTTTAGATTATTTACAGACCCTGTGCACTTTGTTTCCAGGCTTCACTTTGAGATTTGAGGAGGATTATCTTTTAAATCATCATTAATGTGGGAAGTTGCCGTTTTCTTTTGTTGATTCGATAATGATCCGTGTGAGTTTCTTTGCTTTATTTCTGTTTGAAGTTCAGCTGCCATATCAGTGAATATGTACTGACTCCGTTTCTTTGTGGAAATGATGCGATCTGACTAATATTTAGTTGCCAGGCCAGTGCGTCTGCAGAAGTATTATGGAACCATTTTTACTGTTATTTCGAATAAACATTGTGCAAAATTGTGTTCTTCTGTTGTCATGGTTTTTTTCAACAGCAGTCGTCAAGCGGAGCTCTACAAAGTTGTGGATTCGCAACAAATCAGAGAATCAAACCATTCAAACAAAGGAAATGCAATAATTAGAATTACACAAGAGCCATTGGTCCATGGTATGACCAGAATATCAATTAATGTCCTGTAACATCAGTCTCTTTATTATTGTATCATGCATCAGCAAGGAACTAAAGATCAGTGGAAAAAAAATGTGAGAAACCTCAGTGAGGCCCATATGTAGGGAGGAATCTGCTCCCACAGACAGACGGGACTGAGTAACTTAATTACAAGTATTGTCAAAGTAATGCATTGCACTAAACTTTTAGTAATCTAATTATAGAGAAAATGTGTATTGGAGTTACACCCAATCAGACTCTAATTACTGTCTATATACACCAGTCTATATACCCATAGACCTATATACAATTTATGAAAACACAAGCTATTTGGCAAAGGATAACAAGTAGCACAAGTCAAAATCCCATATTTTATTATATTTATAATTTACTCTAATTTTCCACACAGTGAAATATAAATGTCCATCTACACTGCCACAGACAGCATGATAATATCCCCGTTATTACATCATTAAAAGGCATCAGTCCGCTCTCGATGCCTCTGGACCCCTGATCCAGTCCGGGTGAGTTACTTCTTGATGGCCCTGGACCCCTGATCCAGTCCGGGTGAGTTACTTCTTGATGGCCCTGGACCCCTGATCCAGTCCGGGTGAGTTACTTCTTGATGGCCCTGGACCCCTGATCCAGTCCGGGTGAGTTACTTCTTGATGGCCCTGGACCCCTGCTTGAGACCCTCCTTCACTTCACTCATGAACGTGTCTCCGACCCTCCTGATGCGGCCCGTCACGTCCCCCACATCCCGCGGCACCCGGCTCGCCTCGTCCCGGATCTGGCGCAGCGTCTGAGAACGCAGCACCCGCTTGGACGTGTCCTGGCCGAGGATCCGCGCCTTGGTGAGGGTGTAGGCAGTGAGCTGGGCCGCCCTCCGGATGGGCCGCGACTCCGCCAGCTTCTCCACCACCTGCATCCGGTTCAGCAGCGAGTACAGCAACCGGGCCAGCATGGTGCAAGAGCTGCGAGCGGTGTTAGCTCTGGAGGTAGCCGCGTTAGCTCTGGAGGTAGCCGCGTTAGCTCTGGAGGTAGCCGCGTTAGCTCTGGAGGTAGCCGCGTTAGCTCTGGAGGTAGCCGCGTTAGCTCTGGAGGTAGCCGCGTTAGCTTAGCCCACGGTAAGAGAAACCGCGAACTGTGTCAAGTTTAAAAACAGAAAGAGGAACTGGAGAAGACCGGGACGGCGCTCGGACGGTTCTTTGTGCTGTTTAAAAAACGTAAAAACAGTTAAATTCAGAGTTTTTATCTCGGGAAGGTCACTGCTGCCAATGCTAACAACATCTGCATAACACCAGTCTTCTTCTGTCGGGCTTACAGACGGACAACACTGAATAAAAAGTGCATTTACCGCCACCTACCGCGCATTTTATGAACAAAGTATTCGTTTCAAAATAGTAGAACGAGGAAGAGGAGAAGGGGTGACTAAAACTAAAACTTTTTATTTATTTATTTATTTAGAGAATAAGCCCCTTGAGATGAATCATCTCGTTTTCGAGGGGGTCCTCAAGATTTCACAAAGTGACAGATGCAACAAAACAGATGCAAACAAAACAAAAATACAAGAAAAAAAATGAAAGAATAAAAAATAAAAAAGCAACCATAAAAAATACACACACGTAAACCCTCAATCACACACACACACACACACACACACAGACACACACGCTGTGACTGTACTGTAATTACACTAAATAAGGATAATACTATTAATGATAATAGTAATAACAAGAATTGGGAGACACTGTAAAGACAAGATTAGATCTTACAACCTAAGATCAAAAACAATGACATGAATTCTGGAGATATTGTACAAGATTAGTTTTAAACAGCGGCAGATAAGTTATAGAGCGAATAGACATCGGCAAACTGTTACACTCTTGGAACTACAAAAAAAGTTCTATTTCATCCTTCCTGCTTTAAGCACTGAATGATCATCTTTGAGCATGCGCAGTTCAAGAATTAAATGACAACACTTGTCACTTGTGACCTCCTCGTGACCCCCGTGAGTCTATATAGGTCACGTGACACGAGAGCCCAGCCTCCTTTCTTCTTCTCGCAGCGCATGTTTGAGTTGTGCGTGTGTGTTGAGCGTTTGAGCTACCTACTACATACGTCCTGCTTGCACATCAGCTCCGTGACTCGCGTCGAGGCAGCGGGTGGGTCTCGCCTCTCAGGGGCTGTGCAAGCTCCGGCGGCTCACCGGTGAGTTCTGTCCACGTGTGTGCGTGTGATTCTTAGTTTAAGCTTTCCGTTTTCGGAGTGAGCTGACGTTTGCTATCAACAGTTCTACTGTTAGTTTTCTGTTCAGTTTGTGTTTATGCTCTGTTTGGCCGGTGTTAATAGAGTCGTGTGTGGCGTTCACTGCCCCGACCACGTTGTGTTTGTGTGTACATTTTTCGTCTAGTCTCCTGTTAAATTTAAATAAAATTAAATAAAATTAAAGTTTATTTTTATTTTATTATCTCTTTCTGACTGTTGCACTGAGCCAAAGCAATTTCCAAGTCTGTGACTTCCTGTTACATACGTGGCAATAAAAATGATTCTGATTCTGATTTCAGTGTGTACTAGCGTTTGTTTCATCTATCAGCAGTTCTACTGCTCGTCCTCTGTTCAGTGTGTTACTTTGGCTCTGTTTGGGGAGCCGTGTGTGGTGTCCTCTGCCACACCTGGCTCTTTACTTGGCCCACGTTGTGTGCGTGTGTGCATTATTCCGTCTAGTCTTGTTTTCAGTTTGTACTCTCGTTGTATTTTTATATCAACAGTTATACTGTTCGATTTCTGTTCAGTTTGTTGATATTGCTCTGGTTGTGGAGGCGTGTGTGGCGTTCTCTGCCCCACCGGACTCTTTCGTTGGCCCACATTGTGTGTTTGTACACTTTCGTTAGCTCTTCTGTTTTCAGTGCATGCTAACATTTGTTTTTTCTACCAACAGTTGGACTGTTCGCCCTCTGTTCAGTTGTTTGGTTTTCACCGTGTGCTTTGAGTCGTCTGTGGTGTTTTCAGCTCCACCAGTTCAGGCGCTCTCGTTATGCACGAGTCGCTGGGCTGCCGTGGGTGCATGGCACCGATGCCCCGCGAGGATGGCAATGACCTCTGCCCTGCCTGCCTGGGTGTCAGACATTTGAGACAGGGCCTGACGGTGGACGCCTGCTCCAATTGTGCGGTACTGCCACACTCTGTGCGCGTGGACCGCGCTGCCCTGGATCCGGATGAGGGTTCTTCGGAGGTGCCGCCCTGCCTGCCGCCTGCTGCCCAGCCCTTTGGGTCTAAGCGTGCGGCTGTGTCCACTGCTTCCTTGACTCCGCAGAGGAAGCGTAGGGTGCCTGCAGGGTTGTCTGCACGGATGGACCACCTTGCGTCAAAGATGGCCCAAATGAAGGCACTTCTGCAGGATGTTCGTCCGTTTTCTGGGGAACATGTGCTGGGCCCTCCTGTGCCGGACCTGGCCCCGTTGTGTGAGGACGATGTGATGTATGTGGCTGCATCTGACGCTCATTTTCGTCTTGACCCTGAGGAGTTTGACTCCGGGGCCTCTGACTCTGGTTCCTTGGCGTCCACGGGGTGCCTGGACAGCGAGGAGAGTGGGGCTCCCTCTGCCGTCCGCTCTGCACTCGCCCACTTGGGGCTTGATGTTCCGCAGGGAACTGTGCCGTTTGGTAGCGCTTTCTTTAAGCGACAGCGGCCCCTTCCCTCTGTCTCTGTGCCTCCTTCGACTGAGTATGTGAAGGAGTTGCATGCATGCTGGACGGATACGAAGGCTATGTCCAGACTGACCTCGGATGGCCGGGCTTTGGCTTCATTGCAGGATGCCCCCCAATTTGGCTTGATTGTTTCGCCGGAGGAGGCCCTCCGGTCTGATCCGAGGTGCCCTAACCTCCAGTGTTGCCTCACAGATGAGCTGCTGTGTTGGGCGTACGATACTGGTGCGCGAATGGGGAGCATGGGGAACTCTTTCCCATTTGTTACTGGGCCTTTCAAACGCATTGGAGGTTTCTACAGTCGATGCCCCGACCCAGGGACTGTTGGATGCATCCCTCCACACTTTTGCCCTTTTGTTGCGGGAACTGGGCCGCCTCCTGTCGGCCCTGACTCAGACACGTCGGCGGGATCTCCTGTCCCAGCTGAGGGGGAGGCTCCTGCACCCCAGTTCCGAGCGGCTTCAGCTCTGGGTGTGGCCACTGAGGGGTCCAGTGCGATTGACGTGGGGACATGATGCTGTGCGTTGCCCGGTGCCTGCCATTCTGCAGTTCCTCCAGCATCTCATGGACCGGGGGAGCTCTCCCTCTACACTCAAGGTAAATGTGGCGGCAATATCTTGTTTTCATGAGGGTGTGGCCGGTTCTACGGTGGGGAGTAACGGGGGTATTTCACTATTCCTGAAGGGTGCTTGGCGTCTTCATCCCCCGCGACGGCCCATGGTTCCGCCCTGGGACCTGACGTTGGTTCTAGAGGCGTTGCGGGCTCCCCCGTTTGAGCCCCTGGATCGTGTGGACCTGAAGTGGGTCTCCCTTAAGACCGTAAGCGTGTGAGTGAACTGCAGGCTCTGTCTTTTTACGAGTCCTGCTGCAGATGTACTACAGGGTCAATGTGGCGGTCCCTGGTCCGCTGGAGGGGGTGCTGCGGCACCATTCGTCGTTATGAGGTGGGGTGTACCTCTCGTTGACCCCTCGGGACCTTGTTGGTTTTTGTCATCCAGTGCTTAAAGCACCGCCTCTGGCGGTCAGGAAGGATGAAATAGAACGAAGTTACGACTAACTACGGTTCTATGAATCCTGGATGACCGCCAGAGCGTCCAGTCCCTCGGGGCCACAGTCTGCTTGCGAGGTGAAAAGGGGCTGGGCTCTCGTCTCACGTGACCTATATAGACTCACGGGGGTCACGAGGAAGTCGCAAGTGACTTTGTTGTAATTTAATTCTCGAACTGCGCATGCTCAAAGATGATCATTCAGTGCTTAAAGCACCGCCTCTGGCGGTCATCCTGGATTCATAGAACCGTAGTTAATCGTAACTTTCGATTGATTTGCATGACGCAAACTGTACGAGGATTGGAAAGGAATCAGATATTGTTTTAAATATTCTGGAAAACTGAGATAAATACATTTGAAAATAAACAATAGCCAATGTAGCTGACGTCTGGAGGACAGAGCCACGACAGCTGCTCGTACATCAGGCAGTGATGGGTTCTGAACGGACAGCGAAGGATGAACCTACACAGGCTGTTGTGAGACAGAGGCTGGAACAGAGGCAGAGGTGTTTTGATAAATTACATCACAGTAATCAAGAATGGGGAGAATCAGTTGAGAAATGATCCTCTTCCTTACAGATAAACTAAAACGGTTAATCGATAAAGTAATTTTAAACGATAGGACATTTTCTTTGTACGTATTAATTGTACGTATATGAATATTAAATGACATAAAAGGATCAAGCCATAAGCCGAACTGGAGACATGTCTGAAAATAAAACATAAGATTAATTTAATTTGTGGAAACAGGACAGACTCTCAGAATCTCTTGAACGAGACACCATGAACTATGGTGACATGAATTGTATTACTTATCAAAACTAATCGAACAAACTCCTTTTGTAAGACCTATATTTTATTATGAAATGGTTTTGAATCGGAGTGATAATAGAAGTGAATCGCATCGTTTTGCTGACAAGGTTGAATCGTATCGCTTCATATTGCAGCAGGGCCTCAGTGTATTGTAACTATCGCATTGGTGATAAAAGTATTGATTAATATACCCATCCCTAACCGATACTGTCATTTGTTTATATTGTGATCAATCCAGATGTGAGCCATATTGTCGGAACAAATGACCATATACAGATATTTTCAGGCTTCTTCCTCATTTGGCTAACGCTTTGGTGATGTCAGCACTCCACATACAGTCTAAGCTAGAGACCAAAGAGAAAGTTTCTTTGAATAGCCCAGTTCATTCATACACAAGCCAACTCAAAGTGCTGTCCATAAGATAAAAACACACAGCAATTCGATCAGAAATAATCACATTAAAACTGAAATTGAAAATAGTGAAGATGCTATGAAAAATGAAGCTAAATTTGTTGACTAAATGAAACTGTTTTTAACCTGGATTTAAACATTCATCCATCAGACAGCAGGGGGCGGTAAATGCTGCAGCGTCCCACAACGTCACAAGAAGAGACGCTGGGAATCCAAGATGGCGGCGCCCGGGAGCTCACGCGAGTCTCGTGCAGGTAAAAGGGTTTGTGTTTGTGTTGTCATGACGACGCTAACGGCTGATGCTCCAAAAAAAAAAAAACTTTATCAGACTTAAAATCTTAAATTTTTCAGATGTTGTTGATGTTTACGCAGCAGTTGTGAAGAACAAGGCTGACAATACTTTCCACTGTTTACCAGAGATGTTTTAAACCTCAGAGTGAAGAGCAATACTGAGAGCATCTATGGGACGGTCTACCTCTCAACGTAGGGGCTCCAAAACTACTAAAGCATGAATAAAAGTTAAGCATTATGGAGAAGTATAGATCACTTAATATGATTGATTTGATAATTACACAGTGGTGTGACAGCCGGTGGTGTCTCTTGGTCCCTGTTACTTGACCTGAGGTTGAGTTTGGGTTAATTCTGGAAGATTTTTCTGAACAAAATGACTGTTTGGATTTAACAAAAATGTTTGAATGCGTGAAATGTAATTGCACACCAGAGCTCGATTTGCACACTAGGAACATCAATGCTGCAAGTTGTTGTTAAGATTCTTTATTTAGCTTATCTCACAAGGAGGAGAAATGTACATGTCACGTTTGGCATGGATAGAAACACTCAGATTGTGCAAAAAGGGAGGAAATGTGCAAACATGTTAATGCAGGATATATTATGTACATAATAATTAAAAAAAAAAAGTGGCAATCAGAAATAGTGTCAATATTAGTGCAGGTTTTCAGTCATAGTGCAGTGACTTATTGTACAGTCTGACAGCGGTGGGGTTAAAGGCCCTGCGGTAGCGCTCCTTCCTACACTGAGGGTGTCTCAGTCTTCCACTGAAGGAGCTCCTCAGCTCCTCTACAGTCCTGTGCAGTGGGAGGTATTGTTCATGATGGAGGTGGCTTTGGCTAGCACCTCTTGTCCCTCACCTCCTCCAGAGTCCAGGGGCCTCCTGTCCCTCACCTCCTCCACAGAGTCCAGGGGCCTCCTGTCCCTCACCTCCTCCACAGAGTCCAGGGGCCTCCTGTCCCTCACCTCCTCCACAGAGTCCAGGGGCCTCCTGTCCCTCACCTCCTCCACAGAGTCCAGGGGCCTCCTGTCCCTCACCTCCTCCACAGAGTCCAGGGGCCTCCTGTCCCTCACCTCCTCCACAGAGTCCAGGGAGCAGCCCAGAGTGGAGCTGGCCCTCCTGACCAGCTTGTTCAGTCTGTTTCTGTCCCACTCTGTGCTGCCCGGGGCCCAGCACACGGCAGCGTAGTAAATGGCAGAAGCTACCACAGAGTCATAAAAAGTCCTGAGCAGAGGCCTGCTCACTCCGAAGGACCTCAGCCTCCTCCGAAGGACCTCAGCCTCCTCAGAAGGACCTCAGCCTCCTCAGAAGGAAGAGGCGACTTTGGCCCTTCTTGTGCAGGGCGTTTGTATTATGGGACCAGTCCAGTTTATTGTTAATGTGAACACCCAGGTACTTGAAGCTGTCCACCAGCTCAATGTCCTCCCCCTGGATGTTCAGCAGCGTGTGGGAAAGAGATGTTTTAATAATAATAAAACATCCGAACTGTCAGACTGTGTCTGTGACCTGCAGAAACCTGGATCAAAGAGGAACCTTCAGAAGTGAGAGAGCAGCTCGTGGAGGTCTCTGCTGTCGCTGTGAAGAGTGAGGAGCCGCCCTCGAGCATCAGTAAGACTCAGACCCAAGATCCAGTCTCTCTGTCCCTGTAGAGACCAGGACTGGACCATTACGCACAAAGACTGCAATCCAACTTATTTCTACTAGATAATGGTTGTATAAGGTTAGAACTCTGGCCTCTTTCACTCTGGTCTCTCTTGTTCTGTCTGTTCTCTTTCTCTGGTCTTTCTCTCTGGTCTCTTTCTGTCTTTCCTCTCTTCCTCTCTTTCTGTCTGTTGTCTGGTCTATCTTTCTGTCTGGTCTCTCTCTGGCTCAGTCTGGTCCTGCTCTAAAACCAGCTCTAGCGGCTCGGCACCGCTCATTTGTGAAAACCCAATCTGAGCCGGACCGTCCTGCGTCGAGTCCATGTGGAAACGTCTCAGACTCGAGGGAGAAGGACCTAAAACTGCACCTGCTCAGAGGAAACTCTCTGAACCCAACACAAGTCATGTAAGAGATTCTTATTTTAGTCCAGACCGGTTCAGATCAACAAAATCTTTGGACTTTAATATAGACCAACGTATTGTTACAAGGACAGCTTTATAAATAAATAAGCGGCACCTGCCAACTGCGACAGTGAGAGCTTCATTCACCCAAACTCTGCTCCACGGCTCGTTACGCTGTCATTATGCAGAGTATTGTCCCTTGTGTGACTCATGTGTTTTTGAGACTTAAATCAGGGTGAGCAACAGCCCGTGTTGCTCAGTGTAGGTTTTTGCTCAGTGGGAACGAGGCCTTGGACTGGGTTCAGTCGGACAAACACATGTGGAGGTTTCGGTCCTTGGCGTCTGTCTCCTGCTGCTTCTTTCCAACTCTCTAAACATCTCTATCAGGTCTATTGACTGTGTCTGTGTCTGTGCCCTGCAGGTGTTCAGATGGACTGGTTGAGTCCTGATCCCAGAGTGAAGGAGGAACCCCCGGAAACCTGGATCAAAGAGGAACCTTCAGAAGTGAGAGAGCAGCTCGTGGAAGTCTCTGCTGTCGCTGTGAAGAGTGAGGAGCTGCCCTCGAGCGTCAGTAAGACTCAGACCCAAGATCCAGTCTCTCTGTCCCTGTAGAGACCAGGACTGGACCATTAAGCACAAAGACTGTATAGTGAATGTTTTATTTACTATATAATGGTTGTGCTAAAGGTTAGTTCTTTGGCCTCTCGTTGGTCTTTTTCAGGTCTCTCTCTCTGGTGTCTGTCTGGTCTGTCTCTCTCTCTGGTAAAAGGGATGCAGCATGTTCCATGTAGAGTCTGATTCTGTTTCTCTCCTTCTGCCTTGCAGCTGTTCAGATGAATCTCAGAGTGAAGCAGGAAATCCCAGAGATGCCGCTGGTGAAAGAGGAAGTCTCTCCCAACATGAATATTGTCCACGTGTCTTCTCTGTGCGGACGCAGCTGCAGAATCTCAGAGACTGAAGCACAAAGCAGCGACACTGACGACGATGACGACTGGGATCCTCCGGCCGCCGAAGCCTCTATCACAGAGAAACCCAGAGACGGAGCAGAGAAGAGACATCAGTGCTCTGTGTGCGAGAAGAGATTCACCACGAAGCAACACTTACAGAGACACTTACAGCTCCACACAGGAGACAGACCCTTCAGCTGTTTAATCTGCATGAAATCTTTCAGACTGCAGCAGGCTCTGAAAATACACAAGCGGGTTCACACAGGGGAACGGCCTTACAGCTGTTCATTCTGTGAGAAAACATTCACCTGCAAGAGCGATCTCATAAGACACACACGGATCCACACGGGGGAGAGACCTCGCAGCTGTTCAGTTTGTGATAAGACTTTTCCCTCCAACAGTTCTCTCAGCAGACACATGTTGACTCACACAGGAGAGAGACCTTACAGCTGCTCAGTCTGTTTGAAATCGTTTACGCAAAAGGCTTGTCTGGGTCAGCACATGATGGTCCATGCAGACGAGAGCCCTTACAGGTGTTCAGAGTGTCAGAAAACATTTATATCTAACAACAATCTCAGAAGACACATGAAAACGCACTCAGGGGAGAGGCCTTACAGCTGCTCAGTCTGTGAGAAAACATTTCCCTGTAGAGGCAGTCTCAACAGACACGCAAAAAGTCACACGGGGGAGAGACCTTACAGCTGCTCAATTTGTAATATGACTTTTACGTTAAACGGTAATCTCATCAGACACATGAAGGCGCACACGGAAGATAAACCTTACAGCTGTTCAGAAAGCCCGTCTGAAACGCCACAGGCCGCGGTTTCTACTCGAGCAGTACGATTGGTCGCAACCAAAAAGCAGTCGCAATGTTAGAGGTCGCCAGAGAAAGATCTTTACCTTTATGGAAGTCTGCAGATGTTCACTGCATTCAAATTATATTCATGTCACATTCAGGAATAATTAAGATTAAATATTGTTTCAAAAATGATATTGTATTTGTAATTGAACCTCTGAATGTACTTGTCATTGTCTAAAGAATGTTGTGTATATGTTGTGTTTCATTACAATATGACTCGAAGAAATTAATTGACGCTTTTTATCAAAAGCATGTATTAGTTTTCCAACATGAATACAGGTAAACGTCTTTGATTAAACAGTTGATTTATGAAACGCAACATGGCACTGAAGCTTACACTACATTTATACATAAAGTGATTTTAGGGCTAAAGTTAAACACGTTGATAAATATCTATGCGTCCGGAGTTATTATGCATTTATTTTGACAGCTTACACCAAACTAAAGACAGATAGTTACTAGTCGTTTCACTACAGGTTATTGACAGTGTTGTTAGCATTAGCGCTTGTGTTCACTAGTGTTAGCATTAGCCGACAGGTTTTTGTTCATTCTGTCTCTCACAGTTGAAGTGTAACTATGATGAAAATTAGTCATTATTTTAAGTGGGAGAACTGGCACAATCGGTGGCTGACTAAATACTTTTTTTGCCCCCATTGTATAAATACATACATTTAACTGATGAAATTAGTGTCAAATGGGCTATATTCACGGGGAGGCGTGACGTAATTTCCTGTTAACAAAGACCAGCCCTTTCACTTCCTGTCTGTGCTGTCCTATGGCTTTTAGGTGAGTTTTATGTTTTTTAGTAATTACAGCACAATCAAAGAGCACTGCTGTGTCCCAAAAAATGCCCAGTATCTTCACAGTTTAATTCCCGTTTGAGCATTATTTGGGAAACTTGTGTAAACCGCTGCTGAACTCCAGTGAAACTCAAGCCGTTTCCTGCGAACAGGAAGTGAAGTGGGGTTGTAGCTAAAACGCCGAAGTGGTGCGTAGAGTCCATAAGCACATTACTGAATTCTATAAAAAATTATACAAAACATTTTCAACTATTGATGATGACTCTTGATTCTATCACAGGTAGTTCCTTCTGTAGACATGGACTTCAGAGACTTCTGTGACTCAGATCTTACTTTAGCTGAACTCAATACTGCTGTAGCCGGTGTTCTGTATCGACAAGGGTGCACTTCTCGACAGAACACCTGCGCTGACGGCATAACTACAGAATTTTAAAAGATTTTCTAGAATGAATCAATAATTTGTTCTTTGAGGCTCTCAAAGAATGCATTGAGAAAAATAACTTGACCCCAACTATGAAGCGAGGAATAATATCCTTTTTACCAAAACCAAATAAAGATACTTATCAGCTTCCCATTTATGTTAAGGAAGCAGATACGGTCTCCACATTCAAGGCCAGGCTTAAAGCACTTTACTTTAATTTAGCATATAATTAGGTAATATATAATATGTAGTGTATATATTATATATATATGCTGTATTATGTTATATATTATTCAATAATGTATTGTGTTATGTTGTATATTATGCTGTATGTTATTCTTTATTCAAGGCTAGGTTTAAAACAGTCCTCTTTAGTTTAGCATATGGCTAGGAAGGTAAGACTCGGAGAAGGTTAAACTCCTCAGAGTGTTAGTCAAGCTGCATAGGGAGTCAGTTTGCTGGGAGAAGTATGGTAACTTGAGCACTATCCTCTCCTCCTTCCTACTTTATCTGTTTAGCATTTTTAGGATTCTGACTGTAGTTTGTTCATTGCTATTCACCCGTTGTCCCATTGTCTGTTTCATGGTACGATGACGGGATCTCTGAGCCTGGCCTCTTCCATCTACACCTGCGGACTGCCCCGCCCGACCCGCCTGGGAGTGCTTCAGTCCTGCACCGGACCTGTCCACGTTCAGCGGCCACTGGTCCACGTTCTGTAGCTAGCTTAGGTCCTAGATCATTAGTCTGTCCGTCCGGAGGAGCGGATCCCTTTCTCATATGGGTCTCCCTCCCTGTGGGTTTCCCTAGTTCTCCTCCAAGGTTTCTCACTTTTTCCCACTGGGTTTTTTAAGAGTTGTTCCTTGTCGATGCAGGAGGGTCTTGTTGGACAGTTAGTGTCCAACAGAAAGGATTGGTGATGATCAGGACACTTTAGCATTCTACAACATGTATGGACATTTTCTTCTGTGTGTGCTTTATATTCTTCATGTGTTTTAACTGTTGATTCTCTGACCTGTGTTGGTGATTTCAATGGTTTTGTTAAGTCTCTGAGATGACTTCTGTTGACCTAGGGCTATACAAGAATAAATTGTATTGTAATTGTATTGTGTATTGTATCTATAATAATTATCTAGATATTTCTAGATAATTGGAGGCCAATTACACTCCTCTGTTGTGATTATAAAGTTATTGCTCATGTGTGCAAACAGACTGGTATTGGTCAAATGATAGAAGAGACACAATCAGCGTTCGATATTAGACATGTCAGATTACAATGTTGTCCCTGATGAAAGCCTTGTATTTCTTGATTTCTTTAAGGCTTTTGATTCTTTAGAGCACACGGTTCTGTTCAAAACTCTAGAAGCATTTGGTTTTGGGCCTAATTTTTTCAATATTGTTAAAATGCTCTACAATGGTTGCGTTAAAAGATGGCTTCTCTGACCAGTTGTTTGTTAAACGCGGTGTACGTCAGGGCTGTCCGATTAGTCCAATTTTATTTATTATGGCCGCTGAACTTATGGCAATTTTAATAAAAAATCCCCCAGAAATGGAAGGTATCAACATTTTAGAGAGAGATTTTTTAATCAGTCAATTTGCTGATTTTTCTTAAAAACAAAACCATGGTCCGACCTGCAATTGAGAAAATATGCCTTTTTTCTAAAGCGTCTGGCTTCACACTGAACATAACAAAATGTGAAATTCTGCCTATTCATACTTCAAACCTTTCTGACAGAGAAAATACTAATATAACATTATATATTATATTATATTACTTTCTAAGTCTGAAGGATCAAGACTCATTTATCCATGTAGCTCCATGTTTACATCCCCAAAGGTTAGAAAAGCGTCTAACTCAATATTATTTAAATGTATTTGGAAAAATAAAACTCACAATAATCGCAAATCTCAACTAGTAAAAGAACATGAAACTGGAGGATTAAAAGCTCTAGATTTTGAAGCTTTAATTACTTCTTTTAGAGTAAAATGTTTAAGAGAATGTCTAACTCAGTCTATTTGGTTCATATTAAACTATCCCGCAGGAGGGCTGACATTTCTATTAAAATGTGACTCAGAATTGTCCAAAATACCAATTAAATTATCAGCTTTTCAAAGGAAAGCGCTACAATTTGGGAAAAGGCTTTTTTCTCAAAATTTCTCACCGCATAAAACTGTTTTATGGAACAATAGAGTGATCACTGTCAACAAGAAATCTGTATTCAGATCTGACTGAGAGAGAGCGGTGTCTTCATCTGTGACACATGGATCTTTTAATCACTTGAAAGATTTAATGAGAAATATAAGATGAAAGTTTCCACTAACAGTTACACTAAAGTATGTAAAGCTGTTCCTGAGTCTACCTCCGTCATAACGAGCTTGCACTCTCTCACAATTAACCAAATGAATCTACAAGAGAGGAAATGTAAAAACAAATTCATTGCCCAGACTTTCAATCAGAACATTTTCTGCAACTTTAATACTAATATAAGATATGATTTAGAAAGCTCATTTAGAAAAAAACATTCACTTTTTATTTGTCATTCCCACTTGCACCAAAAATGAAAGAAACACATTTGAAGATTATATCAGACATTTATCCAGCGGCGATTTCACTTTGATGCTGAACCATGAGACTCTTGAACATCTGTTTTATTCTTTTTCAAATTATTTCAAAAGATGTTTTGGACTGACTGTCACGACTGGATAGTTCTAAACATCTCTAATGTGCCTCATTTCACTCTGGAAGATGTCATTTATTCCATGGACAACTTGGACCGTAATGTTTCTGATGTTGTGAATTTGATTATTGTAATGGGGAGATACTTCATTCACACATGTAAATGAAAATTGTTGAATATTTTAAGTCCTTGCATCTTATAAAAATCTAAAAATTATAGAAAAGCTTTACGTATGTATGAAAAATTGCGAAAATCTCTGCGCTTTCCCGCTTGTGCGATTTCTGTTGGAAAACAAACTGTTCTTTATACACTTCTCCATTTTTCTGAAACAATTATTTAATTGTAACATTGTATGTACGCTGACTTGTATTGTAAATGCTTGATGACAATAAACAAAAAGACTTCACTGCTTCCTGCGGGAGGGACGACCCGGAAGTGAAGACGCACGTGGCGGAAGCGCATCTTCTCAAAGCAATAGTTCAAACCCGGTATTATAATAGTTCTAAGGTTTATACAGCCACAGTTTGTCCTCTCCCACAGAGACAGGTGTAAGTACAAGACTTTAAACTCTGTATGCTCCTCTAACAGACTGTGGCTTTGAGCAGCGTGGGCCTCGGGGATTCCAGCTTTAACTCAGTTTGTGCCAAGATCTGAGTGATGCTAATGCTAATGCTAATGCTAGTCGTTAGCCTCGCTGTTTCCGTGTAAACTCTTCTTCTCACAAACAGCTCCACAGCTCACGGAGCCAGTGACTCTGGTTGGATGTAAATGTATTTATTTGACTGGAACAATGCAGTCAGACATAGTTACAAACCAAATCTGCAGCTGATGCAGACAGAGGTTACAGCAGATGCTCAACGTCCTGTCCCTGGTTGGACTTTTCTACACACTTTGAACATTTCATATAGTTTGAAATCACACAATCAATCAATTGCTTCAGTTTTTCAGTGAGGAAAAAGTTAGCAGAGATGAGTACAGACTGAATAATTTAATACATATTAGTGGAAATTAGTGGACTCCTGTCTTTCTCCTGGTGTTGTGCTGGTCCTCTCCTGTCTTTCTCCTGGTGTTGTGCTGGTCCTCTCCTGTCTTTCTCCTGGTGTTGTGCTGGTCCTCTCCTGTCTTTCTCCTGGTGTTGTGCTGGTCCTCTCCTGTCTTTCTTTTGGTGTTGTGCTGGTCATCTTCTCTTTCTTTAATTATATAAACCAATCATTTTCACACACATTACTTTTTAAATTTGAAACATCCTCCTAAATAACTTAAGAAACTTCAGAGCTGATTGTATAAAACGTAAACACTTTACACTATTTTGGATCGTTTTAGTTTCTCCCGTAGCGTCTCTGTGTGTTTGTGTTTTTCTCCTTTTCAGAAGATCATGCTCATGAGTAAACACAAATGTTAATTATTTAATTTGACAGTAACAGAATCAGTTTGAAAAATATCATTTCTCACTTCCACCACCATGAGTGTGAATCTATATGATTATTATCTGACATTCCTTTGTTGTTTGTGGCAGATCTACAAAGTCCATCTACAGAATGGGGTTCACCTGTGATCAGTGTGGAAAGACCTGCATCTCTGCTTCTGCATTAAAGACCCACTACAGAACTCACACTGGAGAAAAGCCCTTCAGCTGCGACGTTTGTGATCAGAGTTTTAGACAAAAGGTTAATCTCAAAGAACATCAGAGGATCCACACAGGAGAGAAACCATTTGAATGTGACGAGTGTGGAAAAACATTTAGGAGAAAAGAGACGCTCTCACTACATCAGCATGTCCACACAGGAGAGAGACCTCAGCAATGTGACCAGTGTGAAAAGACTTTTACACAATTATCTCACCTCACTGTGCACTACAGAATCCACACTGGAGAAAAGCCATTCGTCTGTGGAGACTGTGGGAAGACGTTTGCTCAGTCTTCACACTACAAAATGCATGAGAGAATTCATACTGGACCTAAAACATTTCCATGTGACCTCTGCAGTAAAACTTTTAAAACTGCAAAAGAGCGCACAGTTCACCATCGGAGCGACACTGGAGAGAAGCCGTACGAGTGTGATCAGTGTGGAACATGTTTTTCCATAAGGGCAAGTCTCAAGGTCCACAGCAGAATCCACACTGGAGAAAAACCCTTCAGCTGTGACGTTTGTGATCAGAGTTTTACTCAGACTGGAGATCTCAAAGTGCATCAAAGGATCCACTCTGGAGAGAAACCATTTGTCTGTGAAAAGTGTGGGAAGTCTTTTACTCGTGGGTCACATCATCGGCGACACATTAAAACCTGTAGAGCAGCAGGTGTGAAGACGCAGCATCTGGAACAAAGTGAAGGAGACAGAGCTGAGGCTGCATCATGTGAACCCAGAGTCAGACTCTACAGGATCTTATCTTAAGTCTTAAACACTTAAGATTAGATGTACTTTATTAATCTCACACAGGAGAAATTTACATGTCACATTGGCAAGGACAGGAACACTCAAGACTTGTGCAAAAAGTAAGAAATGTGCATGTTAATGCAGGATATATTATGTACCAAAAAGTGGCGATTAGAAAGAAGTGTCAATAGTAGTGCAGGTTTCTTTTCAGTCATTGTGCAGTGACTTAAAGTGACTTATTGTACAGTCTGACAGCGGTGGGGATAAAGGCCCTGTGGTAGCGCTCCTTCCTACACTGAGGGTGTCTCAGTCTTCCACTGAAGGAGCTCCTCAGCTCCTCTACAGTCCTGTGCAGTGGGAGGTATTGTTCATGATGGAGGTGGCTTTGGCTAGCACCTCCTGTCCCTCACCTCCTCCACAGAGTCCAGGGGCCTCCTGTCCCTCACCTCCTCCACAGAGTCCAGGGGCCTCCTGTCCCTCACCTCCTCCAGAGTCCAGGGGCCTCCTGTCCCTCACCTCCTCCAGAGTCCAGGGGCCTCCTGTCCCTCACCTCTTCCACAGAGTCCAGGGGCCTCCTGTCCCTCACCTCCTCCACAGAGTCCAGGGGCCTCCTGTCCCTCACCTCCTCCAGAGTCCAGGGGCCTCCTGTCCCTCACCTCTTCCACAGAGTCCAGGGGCCTCCTGTCCCTCACCTCTTCCACAGAGTCCAGGGGCCTCCTGTCCCTCACCTCTTCCACAGAGTCCAGGGGCCTCCTGTCCCTCACCTCTTCCACAGAGTCCAGGGGCCTCCTGTCCCTCACCTCTTCCACAGAGTCCAGGGGCCTCCTGTCCCTCACCTCTTCCACAGAGTCCAGGGGCCTCCTGTCCCTCACCTCCTCCAGGGGCCTCCTGTCCCTCACCTCCTCCAGAGTCCAGGGAGCAGCCCAGAGTGGAGCTGGCCCTCCTGACCAGCTTGTTCAGTCTGTTTCTGTCCCGCTCTGTGCTGCCCGGGGCCCAGCACACGGCAGCGTAGTAAATGGCAGAAGCTACCACAGAGTCATAAAAAGTCCTGAGCAGAGGCCTGCTCACTCCGAAGGACCTCAGCCTCCTCCGAAGGACCTCAGCCTCCTCAGAAGGACCTCAGCCTCCTCAGAAGGACCTCAGCCTCCTCAGAAGGACCTCAGCCTCCTCAGAAGGACCTCAGCCTCCTCAGAAGGAAGAGGCCACTTTGGCCTGGAGTTTTACTGCACGGTCACATAGGTTTTTACAAACGACCGTGCCAGGGAAATTGTGCTGTAGTACAACACTCGGTCCAGCTGGTGGCGCTAATACTAACACCATAGACTACCTCGTTGCCCTGGTTGAGATCCGCTTCTTTTCTGTTTACATTCTGCTACAGTAGCTAACAGCTCAGTACGGATCGTGTTGTTTAGAGAAAGATCAGTGTGGGCAGGTCCCAGCTCAAAAGTGGTCAAAATGACGTGCGCTGACATGCTGTAATACCACCCCGGGCCTGTGGGGGTGGACCCAGAAGAAGAATTAGCCAATGCTAACATATAGCATTGGCAGACCTCTCAAACGTCTTTACAGGATGGTCCAAAAGCTGGCTCTTGGCCAAAGCTCCGTTCCACATGTGTGTCAATGCTGAGGGGGGCTTTTTTTGGTCCAGTCTAGTTTACTTGCTGTGAATTTCTGAAGTCTCTCGTTCAAATGAATGGAGCTGCTCCGGCTGACGCATGCGCAGATGCGTTTTTTCACAATTTTCTTGTGGGCGGGACCACTCGCGGCCATTTTGGATAGCTCCAGTAGAGCACATTTTTGGCCCATTAGTTATAACAGCGCAGATAGGGGTGACTGAAAGATACATCTCACACTTGTCCAAGTTGCTCTGATGCGAAGTGCAGCAGTTCAGTGGGTAACGTGTGAATGCACACGTTTGTGTGTGTGCGACACACGCAAGCAAGCAACGAGCGTGAAAGCGCTGAATGAATGACACGTGTGGAGTACGAGCAGAGCGACCGCAGACAGGGAGGATACAAGTGTGTTTGTGTGTGTTCTGGTGATTAAATAAAGACTGATTCTTGAATGTCTGAAGTGTTATTGCAATAGCACCACACTGAGAGCGAGGGTCAGGACAGAAGAGAGCTACACCCGTAGGAAACTTTTCTTTGGCCCTGCAGAGAGACACTCCCCCTGCGTCCCTCGACCACGGTCCGGGGTTTATATGAAAGGTTTCACACAGCGGAGAATACAAAAGCGCAGGAGAGACGAGTGTGAAAATGCGTGTCACAGGAAGACAATATCAAGTCCCACTGTTAGTATTAGATAGATAGCAATATGGCCTACGTGCAGGACTCTACAAGGACTCTACAAGGACTCCATGTTATGACTATGATTTGACTGTCTCTTTGTGACACGTATGTCTTTCGATGTGTGACGTGACAATGACTATATAAACTGTGTACTGCCTCCATTCTGACTGAGAGAAAGAAACAGAGTAAACCAGAGGAACTTGAGAGAAACTTAAATAAACTTCCAGAGTTTGGCACACCACGATCCGTCTTTCTCTGCTGAATCCTGACAGATTTGGTGGAGAATGCGCGGCTCGGTGTGTGCCATTCTCTGGATTGTTTTGAGGGAGTTTGCTTTGTTTCTTTTCCTCGGCGTGGGAGAGCTGAGAGTGTCTGGGGCCTGGGAGCGGTCCAGCAGGCTGGAGAGGCGACCGGCTCCGGGACTCTTTTTCGCTCTCTCACTATATTTTTTTTGTGTCCTGTTTTTTGGACTGAGCGTTTAAAATTGTTTTCCCATGTCCACATTCCGGGGATTTTTAACGTGCGATTGGTCTCTGCCGATGGAAACTAGTTCCCGGTACTAGTGAGCGCTGGTTCATGATCTGGAGACCTGGTTGGACGTGGAAAAGCTGATATTTGGTGGACTTCTGACGGTGCCTGGGCCCTGTTCAACAAAAGGTAAGAGCGGACACCTGTTTATTCAAAGTCTGCTAATTGAGTGAACTAAATTATGGTCTGTTTTGAGGTCTGCCAAATTTAAAACAGGTTCGCTACCTGACGGGGTTAGAGTCCCTTTGAGAAAAGATAGAGAAGGATCCTTAGTGAAACCATGGTGTAATAATAAAAGCAATAAAAAGGGAAATGTGTTAAAGAGGCCTTTGTTACAAAAGCTTTGAAATTGACGAATTTCAGGCTTGATAAATGACAAAAGTAAAGAAGCAACAATATTTCAGTGATCACGGTTTAAATTACATACAGAAAAAAGGAGTTTTTGTTTTTGGCGTGAACAGAGTTCACCGGAGAATGCAGAGTTTTATCTAAAGTTGAGCTATGAGAGCTTTCGTGAGTTATTTACATTTTTTGCCGAGTTTTATCTACAGTTAAGCTATGAGAGGGTTGTATCCGA